TGTATGGTTTGGTGGTGGTGGAGGTGGATGGGATGGGATGGGATGATGATGGGTGGGATTGGTGGTGTGTAGTGAGAAGAGGGTCCTAGCCAGAGGAGGGATAGAGGCATATGAGATGATGGGATTATCAAGTATAGTATAGACTGTATAGTAGTCCTATTCATGGGCGGGCCAGGGAGGCGATCAGTCAGGAACAGGACAGGACAGGACAGGAACAGGGAAATCGAACTACTACTAAGACCGGCCAGTCCATCCAGTCCTACTATCACGTATCTGCCGTTGGAAATCTACCTTACCTGACCTACCTTACCTTAGCCAGCTGCCAGCTAGGTACATTCCATCCATCCAGCCAGACGACTGCTCCTCCGGTCTCGTCGTAAATGCTCGTGTCTTCCAGCCTTCCCTCCCCTCCGCCATCCGCCGTCCCTTCAAGCGCGAACCTTGACGGCGTGAGTCGACAAAAGGACGACGTGATCCTCCGGGACTTTTCGAGCCTTCTGTGTAACGGAGCCGACTCCGACTCCGTAGGCCGTGGGGCGGTTGGGACAGGCGTACTAGGCGTACTAAAGTCGAGGTACGGGACAGTCGCGTTACTGTAATCAAGCACGTTGTAGCCGTTGTAGGTAATTATGGCATCCAAGCGTCGTAGCGGGAGTCCCGACTTGCCCCATGCGGCTAGGCCCGCGACTTGGGCACCCCCGGAGAGAAAGCTGCGCAGACAAGAGAGTAAAGTAGTCTGAGGAGACAAGAGTAGTAGCGCAACGGGTGCGCCGCCGCAGGACGATGGTTGGGCAGGCCCCCCGACTGGCCCGACTGGGATTGCCCGTCAAGCCCCCCCTCCCCCCCCCCCCCCCCCCCCCGCCTGCGCCGAGGTCCCCGGCTCTGCCAATCACCGCCCGCCTTCCGGAGGGCGTGTGCGCGCAGGCCTTCTTCGGAGCTTTCATCAGACTTCAAAGCGGCGCCGTGCCAGGGCCAGGCTGGTGTGATGAGTCGCTTGGGACGTGGAACGTGTACAGTACAGTCCAGCACTATGTTCATACCTTATGCCCCGATACGGGTTACGAATAATGCACGCGCATAATTAGAAACCCGCGCGCCCCTCCTCTGCTGCGAATAATGCGCGCGCATAACAAGAGCCCCCCGTACGAATAAGGTGCTCGCATAAGCCTGGCAGCCGTACAGTAGTGAGGCCCGCGAGGCGTGCCTTGGGTCAGACTGGTAAGACTTCGCCCTCCAGACGGCCCAGCTTATAAGAAGAGGCTGTAGAGAGCAGACGAACCTTCGCTGTACGAATAATGTGCATGCATAAGCCCGCGGGGAGCACAGCAGTGGACAGGAAAAGCTTTTGGATGGGTGGTACCTCCGTACGTATGCTGGATGGTGGATGGTGGATGGTCGTATGGTAGAGGTGTATGGTCGTACTGCTACTGCGTCGCTCGTAAACTACACACCACCAAACACCCGCCACACCCTCTCTCGCGGCTTCGCCTGGAGACCGCATGCCAGATTACCATCCATCAGGTCAAATCAGCACACCATCAGGCCATGTCGGCCATCTAACGACTCGACGACCCGACCGAGGGAGGCGGGGTCCGCGAGAGTTGCCTTCGTATGTGCCATCGTATGAGAATTCATCGTCCTGCTACTCCCCGGACATGCAAAATGGCACCGGCGGCACAGCTGCGAATAGCAATATCCAAGTAATATAATATATCGTGATAGGATGCAGCAGACAGCAGTGGCAATTTGTGGCAATTTACACAGGACACGGTAGATATTGCCGTGACGGGGCATCATCTCACCTCTGCGGCCACAGCATGCTCCTCGAGCATCCGTATTGGACCACCGCTGCCCCAGAATCACGAGCAGAGACGCAGCGACAGCGAGTCGTCTCAAGCCTCCTCCCGAATCACACACAGCCACACAACCAAATATCAAATAATCAATCCACAAGGAAAAGAAAAAAAAAGGTACAAACAAATAAAAAACTTTTCCGGGAGATAAAAATAAAACATCAGCCCCTCATGCAGCCTTAACAGACAGCTCTATTGAACTGTACAATAATACCTGATACATCATACATGATCAGATATTCTGGGCTCTCAGCTCACTGCGTCATGCAATAAGAATCCATCCGGCAAACCAACTTCTGGTGAAAGAGGCGCGCGCGCGGGGAGGCGGCTTTTCCGGCCTCGAATAATGCAGGTATGCGCGCCGGGCCTTGGGAGAGAAGAGTAAAAATGTGAGAGAAAGTCAAAGACAAAAGAGACTTCTCACACACAAACTTTCCTCAACAATTGTTGTCTTCAGCCTGAGTCAGCCCTCGTCGCTCCTCTGCGCTCCCATTCGAGGGCCGCTCATGCACAGGACGGACTCGCGAGCGAGACGCGAAACACGTCGCTGTCCATTCAGACGGCGACCCAGCCCTCCAGTATGCTCCGTGGCGACGGGTCGCGATGCAATCATCCAGCCAAGGAGAATTCATTGATGCCAATATTGCCCGCCAGTCTTACTTTGGCTCTCTCGACTTTCCCCATCTCTTTCTTTGCCTCCGAGCCCGTCACTCGCGCGCGGCCGAGACGACCTATCACTCCTCCCGCCCTGCCCCTCTTATCCGCCAGACATCAAACATGACAGAATCTTCCCCACGAGTCATCGTATCTATCTATCGATAGCGGTCCTTGAGGCCTTAGGGCAAATTCAAAATCTGCTGGCCATTGCCAAGCAGCACAGTAGTGGTGGTAGTTTGTAGTTCGAGGTTCCAACTATCTATCAGCTTTGCCCCGCCTGCGATCAGGAAGTGGGGAAACCCCCTCCACATGGTTCGTGAAACTCGAAACAGTCGCTCGTTCTTCAGCCCAGTTTGCGCAACTAATGACGACGTCCAGCACCTCGTGCCGCAGGGCAGCCATCAGAGAGGTTTGCCGCCGCAGTGTACCAGGTAGTCCTATAGACAGGGTTGAATGGGTTGATAATAGTAAATGCTTCTGGCATCACGGGGACGGCAATCACTACAGTCTCTGCAACAGAGTAGACGGGATTGGGATGGATGACCGAGGCCAGTTCGGCACACAGGCTTGCTGCAGGAACGAGAGACAGGCACACTGACGGCTTCAGCCGCATCGTCAATAGCAGCATCAGCGAGAGCACTGAACAGAGTTTCTGTCACTATCTTCCTTGGGACGGCTGATAGAGCGGTTGAGAGTGGAGTCAAGCTCGAGTTCCTGGAAGATGGCTGAAGTTTCTGGAGCTCTTTCGTATGTATGACTTAAAACTTTTAGCTGTGCCGACTACCAACAAACTTAAAAACTGACGCCGTTGTTTGAGACTGTCCCAAATGCCCGTACCGAAGAGCTGGCTGGGTTTCCCCTGGGCGTCATCCAGATTTCAGCGCTGGAGGCTGGATGGCGGACGCACTACTGGATAACCAATCCACTTATCGATACCAGATAGCAGCCCGATGCTGCGATCCCGCATCGATAGCTGATAGGTACGTGAGACCCGAAGCCTCCGTACGATTTAGTCAGGACAATCAGGAATCCAGGCTCGAGAGGAGAGACAACTGGCCGAGTACAAGAGCGCAGCGTGTCGCCCAGTTGGAGGTTCGGAGAGGCCACCATTCAGTTGAGAGAGTAACTCTTGCTCATTTCTCATCCCAACCCATCGTGCTGTGCTCTGCACCCAACCTGGACTGTGCCACGCTCATTAATTGGCGGTGCATTGGTTGTGCACAAACCAGTCGCTGCATGGTACGGGCGCTGTGCTGTGCTGTGCTGTGCTGGACCGTAGCAAATGCAATGCATTGGACAGCACAAAAGATGTACAACGACCTGGACTGCTAAAGATAGGTACAGACTGTGGAATTGCCTAACTGAGGTAGTCCCTCCTGGGCCTAGCTCCTGGCTGCTTTTGCGCGCCGCGGTGGGTGGCCTGTGGTGCGGAGCGGCGAGATGAGATGCGAGATGCACAGTAGCGTTGGCCTTGATTTCGAGGCCCCCACGCCCGTCCCGCATGGCCGCATCTCTTTCTCGCGGCTCGCCCTGTCCTGAGTCCTCATTCTATGGTGTCCACTCCCCTACAGTCCCGACACTACAGAGCATCGCGCGGCAGATCCCAGTCCTCTGGCCGCCCAGTTGTCCTCTTCAGGCTCCTCTCCTCCGTCCCTGGTCCTGTTTGATGATCGGGAAGCGAGATTCATCTCCCTCGGCGGAATCCACGACTGGGACCATGGAATCATTCCAGAACGGAGATGCCTAGCAGTCTGGGAGACGCTTGCCGGGGCCAGCGTCGCAGCCGACGAGACGGCGGATTGAGTGGACAGCCCACGGCAGCCCTCGACAGCCCTCCCCAGCCCGTGGGCAGCAGCTCCCTACCGCTCTAGGGAATGCCTTTCCGGAGACGACCGTCTTATCGTCCTGCGCTGGAGATGCTACTGTACAGAGTACAGTGCTGCAGCACCACCAACCGGGGATGCTGGGCGTTGGAGTCGAGGTGGAACAGGACCGACGACCATCCCTGCCGTGTCGACTGGTCGATGGTCATTCTTACGAGTCCCGCGTACCGTGCCCTCAGTCTGCTGCAGGTACAACGCAGGTACATACGGCCATGCGTTGAACCTAGGTATCTCTGCATGGTGATGATGATCGGGGGCCCTCTAGTGCTGCAAAACGGTTCCAACGCATGAGCTTCTTCCCACTACTGCCACCTGCCAACGGGCACTCTTACTCGGTGCATCGTCTACGGTGTTGTGTCCTGTGTTGTTGCGTGTGATGGCCATACAATGATACAACTCACTACTACGTACAGTGCTCGACGCCCAGGACGGCACGCCCACCACCATCTGGAGCCTAACTCGCTTCTTCCCGTTCGTATCGATTAGAACTGGGCTATCTGGCCACAAGCCTCAAGGCCGGCCGCCCGAGAGCCACGTACCCGTCCGGGTCGATGAGGATCCAGGAACCATAGTCGTGATTCCTAGCCCGCTATCCACCCCACCCGCGGGCCCGGCTCATACGCTCTAAGCTCCCTATGGGATTGGTTTACTGGAAGACGTAAGGTAGGGTTCACCATCCTAGTCCATCCAGAACTCGAATACCCTCAAAATCGCGCCGCACATGCGAACCGTCTTGTCGATGAGCTGCCGTGCTGTACACACCTATCTGCTGTGTCGCAGTAGTCTTTCAGCGACCGCAGATATGATACCGGGCAGAGAGAGGGAAGAGGAGGATGGAACAATCTGACAGGTTCCAACGACTTATCTCCTGGGAGGACGGCTGGGGTCTTCCGGTGCATCTATTTACGAATTCCATCCTGCGATCTACACATCTGCAAGCCATAAAAAACCTTTTCTCGACCAGCGTACACGTGCTCTCGTCGCTCCAGCTCCAGCTCCCGGTACCTAGGGGTCTCGCACATGTCTCACACACGTGCCCATCTCTTCCATCTTGCAAGTTCGCTGCTCATCTCGCCCACCTTTATCTGTTACTTAAGAGCAATTACTTAGATCTACCGGCAGCTATTTTCCTGGGGTGCCAGAAAATCGCCGACGGGTCGAGAGCACCACAAGTCGTAAACAAGTAATCTCCCCCGGATTCCATCTCGTATCGACTCGGCCCACTGCTGGTTATCGGCAGATTCTTACCAACCCGCTGTGGTCATTGCAGAGGTATTTGATTTGTTCGCTGCAGGATTTGTGACGTTTCGCCGGAACTGTTTGGACAGTCGGCTTCCCGTACGCTGTATCCAATGACAAACGCTTATTTTGTTCCTTTTGCCGGGCATTTCTGTCACTCAAAAACCAGCTTTCGGGGACGACAACTGCTGCTGTCACATTCATCCGCATCACATCACTCTGGAGGCCTCGCACGCAGGTTCTACTGTACGGCACTGACAGTAATTGCGATCTACTGAATCGCAGTGGGGCCACGGGCAAATGAGAGCATTATTCGCCTGCGAATGTCTCTCGCTGCCTCAGTCCCTCTCGGTACGCTTCCCCGGGCCCGGCATTCAACTATTGGAGCTCTTAGGGCTCCAGGACAGACGTGCGCGGTCTAGTCCCTGCGTGCTCCGAGAGATTATTTTTATATTCTTACCTCATACTGGTCTGGACGGAGGATTCATTGGTGACAATGTCCCAGTCTCCACATTGATAAATGGAACTGTTAATTGCTTGATTGATTTACCCTTCGATCCTCCTCCCCATGCTGCTGGGCCGGCCATACAAGAGTATCATTTCCTGATTTCCGCACCTGCCCCGGCGCCAGCGCCCTGGCGCACCCGCGTACCTTGGCGACGGGCTTCCGACGACGTTTCACCGGGAGCCAGGCCTCGATCGCCTAACCCTCGTCGGCCGCGGCGGCAGGGTCCGCGGGCCCGGAATCCCTGATAACGGGGGGGGAAGACGTTTCTTATGCCTCACGAAATGATGTATCAGGGCCACGGAACAGAACCCAGAACATTGCTTTGGAAATAACGTGGTTCATGCATCGTCCTCCAAGTCGGGTTGGTCCCTCGGCAATGCATTCGTTTGCTGTTTGGTGGGTTTGCATTGCTATGGGGAGTGAGCATGGCATTATGCGTGTCTTGAATCGTCAGTGCATATACCACGGGCAGGTCTGCATGCACTTCTGTTTTGGGGACTGCTTTGCAGAGACGTTCTATCGCGTAGGTATGCTGTATGCATGTACATACGAGGTTTGTACATTCTGGCTGACTGTGAAAGTTGCCAGTGCGCGGAGATACACGCACCGCTGCTGATCCCAAGTTCTTATCTGGAGATCGGAGAGATCTCTTGCAATGTGCCGGCGGGCTGATCGCACCCTGAGATGCACGGCGGACGATAGGAGAAATAGCTGCTTGATAGTAGCAGCCGTACGGAGTAGCGAAGCCCGAGTTGGGGGATCTACATCCGCTTCCTTCTTCCGCTCTCTATTGTGCTTGCCTCCCAATAGATGAGTCGAAATTTGGAGAGGTCTTCGAGACGGGATCTCGTTCGTATTGAGATTTTCTTCCATGCACCTTTTTTTAGACAAGGTCTGATTCAACACCGTGCGGAAAGTTCTCGTACCGGGATAGGATGCATGCGGGTATAATGTGAAGATTCACATCTTCCAGATTCAAGCCTCGTTTCACTGTTCTGTCTCTATCTGCAATTTCCTGTCGTTGTCTCTTAGCCTCATTCGTCCCTTCACTTCCCGACTCATCTCCGAATATCCACGTTCCAAGGCTTTTCTGGATCGATTCGTTCATTCTTGGGGATCTTGTGCGTATGCCGATGAAAGCAAGCTTGGTAGGTTATCTGGCTAGTACTAAGAATTGGAATTCTCTTTCTGCCAAGGAGCGGGCTTGCTCTCGAGCTTGTGAGCAGCTGAGCTCGGGAGGGGGTTCTGAGCATCGACAAGGTTCGACGACGAAAAGTGTTGGCTGTTCTATACGAAGGTTGGATAGGACGGCATGATCGAAAGCCTCGTTCTTCTTGACGACCGTTTAGCCTTATGTTCTGTGCGTAGGCCCGCACTGTGCATTGGAAAGCTGCCTTTTGCGTGCACAGAGGTGCTAGATACTAGACCGTCACGTTGAGGTGAGCATCAACATCTACTCAAACTGCCGAGCCTCAACGGTTGACAGTTGACCATGTTGAGGTGAGGTTGTCGGAGCGGAGATGTCCCAAATTTCTGCTCTCTGCTTCGAAGAGTGTGACCCGCCAGCGATTGTAGTGTACCGCATACATAGAGAGAACATGATGTATGTTCTTAGTGCAGATCCAACCCTGATGTATTGTTGGTTGGACATCTAGTCAGTTTATCTTCTTCAGTATTTGGTGAGAGTGTCTCTTTCCAATGCGAGATAGAAGAAGGATTGCAGTGTTTTAGATGGTGCGAGGTTGCGTCAGGAGAGCTGCGAGTGCACTCTTGCTTGCTAGCTTGCTCCTGCGAAAATGAAAGGTGGTGAGATCAATTTCTGCGTATCGCTGATGTAGCTAATCCATATCTCATCATCATGTCCTTCAACATCGTCTGTTCCCGGGTTTATGGCTTTGTCTTCTCTTGTATGATGGGATGGGATGGGAGCGGGCGTTCTATCCTCAATATCGATGTTTTATCTTTGGAATTATCATTCATAGTTCTAACTAGACTGTCCTCATTCCCTAACCCAGGAGAACTATGGAGGTGCAATCTCTTTGGCTAAGCAGTCTTTTGAAGCAGCTGGCATTCCCGGCGCAAAAAACCCATGATCCTTACGACACTGGCAACGCCAACTGTCCCCACACAAAAAAAAAGAAATAATCCCCCTCTTTCCTATTCCACCGAATTATGAATCTTGGATATAGAATCTGTTTACCTCTTGGGTTATCTGCTTCTTCTGCTGCTTCTTCTTCTTCTTGATGTATTCTTCCTTTGTGGGAGGGGCCGCGATGGGGAATAGAGCGTGATGTGGGATGGGATGACAGGCAGGGCAGGGAAGGAGTGGGATAGGGTAATTAACAAAAAAAGCGGTGTTTTTGTTATTGTGTTATACATGTTACACTGTATAGGTACTTAGGGTAAGAGTATCTTTATGATTTTTTAAGAGTGATAAGGGGGGGCTATCTCTGTACATACATACAAATCAAAATCAAATACATCTTCTTATATCAAACATGATTTCTATAATTGAAATGCTAATACCTAGATGCTTACCTTCTCATTTCTTATGTATCTAGAAATTTCCATCTTTTGACACATACCCCCCCAAAAAATATACATATACACAAAGCAAGAAAGAAAGAAGGAAAGTGATTAAGTACCAGATTAATGATATGCATCTCTCACTAATTGCCCCGGCTTTGCTTAACATATATAACCATGTCTAAAGTGTGTATGTATATAAGGAACGAACGATGAGTTTGTGTTTGTGTTTGAATAGCGATTATTTCATTGCAAGAAAAAGCCGGGGGAAAAGGGGGGGGGGATACAGAAAGTCAGAACTACCGAAAACCAGAAAACCAGAAATCCAGAGAGGCAGCAAGAAGCCTTACATTATCTATCACATCAACACCACGGGCTAAGGTAGTTTGGTCGATTTGATTTGATTTGTTGGCTTGGTTGGGCTGGTTATTTTATTTATTTTATAAGCCCCTTACCCCCCCCCCCCCCCCAACCAAATCCAAATCCAAATCTTTCTTTCTAATCCTCATAATACTAATCAAAACACCCCGCTATATACCTATTCATCATTGATTCCAACTATCCATATCCATCTCCCCTCACTACAAGCAAGAATTCCCAACCTCTTAATCTCTGGCGCGCTACACATATATGTTTTTATGAGGGTTGAGATGGGATGGGATGGGGTGGGATGGGAGGAGTAGGTAGATATATATATGTCTAGAATGAGTTTGGATTGGGTTGAGGAAAGGAAAGGAATGGAAAGAATAGAGAGAGAGATGAATGGATAGAAGAGCAAGTATTGTAGGTAGATAGGTAGATAGGTAGGTAGGTAGGTAGGTAGGTAGGTAGGAACGAACGTTCGAACAATCAGTATTAGCAAGCTAGTACCCCCTTCCTGACTTCCAGAAGAAAGAAAAGAAAACAAAAGCGAAGTATCTCGATCGATATCTTAATACATTAAATATAAATAAGTAAACATCCACGCCTATCTATCGTACAAGAAAAATCGCCATCCCAGTGCCGGCCCTTCCATACTCCATCTCGGACGCGCAAACAAACAAATGCCCAACTAACCCGTGGTATCATACATATGGAACCAAGTCCTCGTTTCGTCTTTTTATTTCCAAAGGAACGCTCGCTCGCTCGCTCGCTCAAAGGGGCAAGAAAGAAAACAAGAAACTGCTGCTGCAACAAGCTAGGAGAGAGAGGGAAATTAGGTATTTCTTCACACAGGGCTACCGCCCTTCCCCAGCGTCATCTGACTCAGGCTTAACGTCCGCGGGCCGATCCTCGGGCCCGCGGCGCGATTGCTCGAGATCTCGCCGAAGATCTCGCCGCCGAAGGGGGGCTCGGGCCGTTCTTCGGCCGGCGTCTGGAAGTCGTCGTCGTCGTCGTTCTGGCCGAACCGGCCTTCGTCATCGCTGCTGTTGTCCGGGTCGGAAGAGGAGAATCCGACCCGGCGCGGGTCTGCGTGCTCCGTGCCGGCGGAGTGCAGAGCCTGGAGCCGCGCCTGGAGATCTACAACCACGGTCTCGAGATCTTGGCGCGCTGCTTGCTCCGCGAGGATCATGTTGAGCAGCGCCGTGTAGTGCTCGGATGTCAGGTGACCGTCTTTGGGCAACGCCGGGGAGCTTGGTGGCATGCCGCGGATGGTCGTGGAGGTAGAGAGCGGACGGGGGACGTTTGGTGAGGAGTTGAGGGTTGTTTGCTCAGGGGAAGTAAGGACTTGTGGGCGAGAGGCGTTATCAAAGAAAGGATAATAGGAATTATTGGTCGAAACTGTCGAAGGTCGACTGCTCTCATATAAAGATTGGCTACCCCGCGATACAGGACCGCGGGAATTCTGACGCCGCTGTGTTTCTCGCGACTCTTGCCGCTTTGCAAAAGATGGTTCTGGATGGTCCGTCGCTGATAGAGTCAAGGATGTCCTGCGTCCTCTCCTAGAGCTTCTTGGGGGCGGATCCGGAAACACGAGACGGTCTGTCGATGCATGACTGCGCGATCGAAATACCGCCTTTTCCATTCCACGCACGCGCGCTTCAAGCCTCAGCACTCGAGTCTCGAGGCTGGCCGCCTGCGTTATTTTCATCCCGGCCATCTCACCCATCAGTCCGAAGTTGAATGGCTGCGGCGGCGGCTCTTCTGCGCGAACATCCTGCTCGTCCGCCTCCTCCCCTTCAGGCTTGTTGGTAGACACTGGTGAAAGCACAACTGGGTCATAGCTTTCTCTCCAATATCTAATCTCATCACTTCGCCGCCTGATATTACTCGCTGATGTGGTCCCCCGCAGTTCGCCAACGCTCCGCGATTTTCGTCTCGGGTGGCTGCCGCTCGTCAGGGCGATTCCGACCGCCGCCTCGGGCTCGTCGTCATGGAAGACCCGACTCCCCCTAGCATGGCTGCTTGCTGGCCTTGGTGACAGACCAGTCCAATCCACATATCCCGTCGCTCTATTTGGCACCCACAGTCCGCTCGGTGTTGTGGCTCCTCTAGGTCTCGTCTGCCAGTTTGCTTGTGTAATATCGCCGTTGATGTTGGTGCTGGCTAGAGGGAATTCCTCAGTGGACGCCGAGTGAGAGTGCAATGCTCGATTGAATTCGTTGATGGGTAGTGAGGCCGAGCGCTGTTTTGAGAGGGTACCTTTCGGGCTTCTGCTCAACCCAGTAGGAACCTACATTTGTTAGCTATGTTCAAGGAGATTGGTGGGCCTGGATAACGAACACTACGGTGTTGTCCCGCCCGTACACCACTTGTCGAGGAGGCACTGGGCTTATGTTTCCTTCTAAAGAATTTGCCAAATACATTTCTCAGGGAGGGCCTCCTCCCTCTGGCGCTCGAACCTGATTGTATACTTGTGGAGACCCCTAAAGGCGTTGGCTGACTTGTAGGCGGCGCGGGTGGTGCATATGACGGTTGCGGAGGCGCCGTCTCGGACTCGAGACTTAGATTGTCCAGGAAAACGTCAATTCCTTCTCGTCGAAGTGTACTGTCCGCAGACAGTCTCAGGTGCATTTCCTTCTCGACGCCTTCGCTGCCTTGAGGAACTGGCATGCCCGGGCCAACAGGTTTAAAAGGAAATTCGTCGTCCTCCGAAAATGGAATCGGGTTGCTGATGGGCTTCCCCTTGACCGATGACCCAATGTTCATTCGATTGTGCCCATCCGATCTCCATCTTCCATGTCCCTTGGATTTGCTCATCTTACTACTTGCAAATCCGATCGTGGGCCCTTAACCCACCCAGTGCTCAGACAGGATCGAAGACGGCGATGACCCAGCGGTACCTGCATTGGTGGGGTGGTCCCGGACCCGTATCCGCAGGACTGGAGCGGGAAGGATATCAGCGTCCGAGTGTTTTTCAATAGTCGAACGTCGCTTGAGCGCAAGTCTTTGACAAATACCTAGAGCGGCCGTTGATCACCTGGATTATGGATATAGCAGAGGACCCAATTCGGCTTCCTCGGCCAAGCATCGGAAATAGCTAACGCGAATAATCGAAGATTGGCACTTGGTGTCCTGGAGCCAATAAATACGATGCTGGGAAGACGGGTTGAAATAGCAGATACGCAGCAAACTCTTATACAGAAGTCACCTCATGGTCCGAGTATATGTGCGTTGCGGTGTTGTCGAGACCGAGCAGAGCCAGCGATCAACGCGGAGGGACCAGCGCGTATCATATATTTCCCGAACAGCGGTCAGCCATGGACAAGGGGAGTCTGGGAGAAGAAGGCTCGACCCCGAGCATGATGGAAGATTGGGCAAGGGTTTGAATCGAAGAGTGTAGGTCCCTGAACATCAATCAAAAGCGCGGATTTAAAGACCCCTGCTGAGCCGCGTACGGGATATGTGACAGTGTGGCAGTCTGGCAGAAAGCCTACCCCACGAAGTCCCTCACGGTCTTGGCTTCTACGCGAATGAGAGGTCTAGGCTGAGGCCCGGTGCGTGTCCTCCAACGGCGCCGAGACATCCCGCGAGAACGTTGACTCTGAGGATCAGTCGAGTCGATTCATCGAGTCGGACGGAAAAATCGGGGAGACTGTCATCGCGCCCCTGCGAGTGCGAGCGACGCCGTGGGCAGGACCAATGTGAATGGTTCATTCATGGAGTTTACATGAAACAAGTTGAAAGATTCCGATTTCGAGACTCGGGTCCTCGGCCTCTCACAGTCGACGCCTCTAGGGGTCTGGACAACCCTTCTCCACAATTATAGGCCATCGAGGCGAAAGGGGCTGTTTTGACATATCAAGAGGGGGGGTCTGGATGAATGCACTGAAGCACACCGCACAGTATGTATGGAGGGTTTGAGCCCGCGATTATGCCTCATGCTTCTGTAAGCGTTGAATTATTATGCATCGTGACTTGGCAGCTGCGATGGCCTATAGGACCTGTCTTGAGCAGTCATGCTGTCGAGAGCGTGTGGCTCGAATGTCGACATGTCGAATGCTCGTCCAAGCGCCCCCTCTCAACTCTTCAAGCCTCCGCGTCTCCCCAAGGAGTACGAGGTGTTTATATTTGCTACTGGACAGTCCGCCGCACTTCAAAGCGATCAGACATTCTACATGAAACATCGCTAGCCTCCACTCTTTCGTCTGATGCTGACGAACTACCCTTGAATTCGCGTGGCAACGGGCAACGGGCAACGGGCAGCGCCACGCCGCAGCAGTACTTGTAGCAAGTATAGTATAGGTAGGAACCTGTGGATAAGGACTCCCTTTTACAGTCCCTGCTAGGATGCCCGATTAGATTCACAGATTCAACGGCGCCTTACGCATTCAACGACGCCACTGATGGGTATCGAAGATCCGAATGTTCTTCCAGAAATTCCATCCATCGCTTCAGGAAATTGCTGCCTCTGCAACGATCACACATGGAATGTTAGCACGGCGTCTCAGTTGATCGAGGGGAAGCCCCCTAGAGAATGTGATTTGAACTCACGCTCCAACAGTTTCTGAATCGCCGATGATGGTCAGAGAACGGCGCGGTCGGGTCATAGCGACTTTTTTTTTCTGCATCAGCGAGCGCCCTGTAGGGTAGGAGCAGATATGGGAGGGTCTTACCGTTTAATCTACGCTTTTCTCCTAGGAAGCCAACTTCGTGTTCCGGGTTGCTTCTGACAAGGCTGACGATGACGGCTTCTTTTTCCCGTCCCTGAAAACCATCCACGCTTCCCAGTTCGATTCCAGGAAATTCCTCTTTCAGTGTGCGGGATATTAAAGAAAGCTATAGGTGTAAGTATTTTCTCAAATTGGGTTGTAGAGGGGCGCAAGATATCAATTACTGAAGTCCCTTCCTTCCGTGACCAAGAAGGCCACGTTGGATAGGGTGGTCCAACATGACAAACTTCCTCAACCAGTCATATTTCATATGTCCTTAGACCGAATGAAAAATCCAGTGATTGATATCTTGCACTCTCACTACAAGGTGGATTGAGATTGAACTGTTTGGAACGGCCTGTTCTTACCTGGGCATTGTACGGTGTGATGACAGCTATATCTTCAGGATTCAGACCTGCGTTGACGAGATTCTGCACGTGTTGCTTCACCAGAGACGCCTCCATCTCATTGCTTTTACTCTCCCCCATCATACCCTTCCCAGCCTTCTTATCAACATCTTCTTCCTCGCTCTTCTCTGGGAAATCTCCGCCTTGCGTGTCGAAGAAAATTAAAGGCTCGATAGTATCTTCGTTTTCCTCGATCTCGTAGGGTAGTTCCTTTAGAAGTCTTGCCTTAACCCCCTCAGCTGCCTCCAATTTTGACTCGTACAATTCGTCGGATGGGAATCTCATGATTTTCTCATGCATGCGATACTGTATTGTCAGCATTCTCTTGATCCCAGGTCCATGAATTTTTAGTAGCCTATCGAACAGCGTCGTCTCGAGGGTCATTCCTTTGATGATCCCTCCCTCTTCTTTGCTCTTAGTCTTTGTCTTAGAATTCAATGACTTGATCGTGGGCGGTAGTTGAAGGTGGTCACCAGCAAGAACAACCTTTTTCGCCTTCAAGAGTGGCACCCAGCACTGTGCTTCTAAAGCTTGACTTGCTTCATCGATGATGACGACATCAAAGTCTTCGTCCTTCAACTGGAAGCCCCCTGCGCCGTGTAGAGTGGCGAGCACGACCTTGCTCCCCCCGATGAGTGTACCGACGCACTTCTTCTCCCTCTCCCTGTACTCTTTCCGGAGCTCCTTTAGATCACCATATATTGCTTTCCGCTCTCTTCCATTCCTCGTCTTGCGAATTGAAGCTTGCTTTGCGTCCATTTCCTTTCTCACGTCTTTGACAATGGCAGCGGCATCGGATGTCTGGGTTAACACATCCAGCGAGTGATTTAATACGGACGGTAGGAGCCTTGCTGGATGTCCGAGTCGTACTGTCCCGGAAGTCAGAACTGTAGTTCTAAAGAGACAAAACGAGAATTGATACGGAGGATGGGAAAGGGATACGATAGATCAACTATCAAAAATCCTTTCACAGAGTCTCGTGGCTACTAAACCACTGACGGCCATTCGTTGTGAGTAAACCCAAAACTAAGACAGGATATCAGATCTCTGTGAGTCCTAAGATTCTGATAACTGAAAGCTTTCTTGATACCATGAAATCCAAGTTCCATAACACCGCAACACCGAATATGATCCATAACTCGCAAGACATAAGTAAACTGTAAAGGAACAGAGGAAGCTGCCCCGGGATTACCAACCTATGGGTATCTTATGAGGAGCTAGCCGTTCGACTATGTTGTCAACAGATATATTCGAAGGTCCACAAACCAAGACTCGAAGATTCTGCTTCAGCATTTGTAAGATGAGTTCAATCAACGTGTGAGTCTTGCCTGTCTAGTTCCGGTGGTCAATAAATGTGAGGAAATCAAGCGCTTTGAATACTCACTCCTGGCGGTCCATGGATGAGAGCCACCTCCCGAGAAGCCAGAGCAAACCGGATAGCATCTTTCTGTGACGGGTTCAAGCTGTCATCAATCCACTCAACCGTTCCAGTAGATTCAAGATCGTCTGGGACTGGGGAAGGACTGGTGAGCCCAAACAAGACCCTGACGAAATTTGAATATTCATCTGGCTTCATCTTCTGCAGCCTGGTCATGGTCTGATTCATCCTACACCCCAACATCAGTCCCCTACCTACTTCAACACCACATTCCGAAAGAGCACCCACCTCTTGTAAGTAACATCGTTAGCCAGTTTAACCAGCCACAACCTCTTCATCCCAATCACATTGTCATCATCCTCCGCATCCAGCGCAACCCACACCGCACTCCTCCCCACCCTAGTAACCACGCCCCTACTCCCCTTGGCCTCCAACTCCCTCACCTCCCTCTTCTTCGCGCTGCCCGCCGGCTGCTCCGCCAGGACCACGATATCCCCGACGCGGATGCCATGCTCCGGCAGCTCGCCCTCCGCCCTCGCCGTCGCCGGGTCCGGGCCCAGCTCCACGACCGTCTTGCCCCCCAGCCCCGTGCGCTGCGAGCTCAGCGACAGATTGGTGATGGCGATCCCCGCCCGCTGCAGGGCTGTCGGCGACGTGTTCGAGATCAGTGATGCCGTCTCTGAGAGCTCGGATTGGAGCTCGGCGTCCAGGAGCGCGAGTTGCGTGCCTGCGAACGAGGGGATGTCTACTGCGCCTTGGGGCGCCATGTTTATTAGTTGGGCAGAGGCAAATTTGTAGTAGGGATCATCTGGGAGGGGTTCGTGGTAGGAGTTTCACGTTGTCTAGATGGCTCTTGGAAATAGGTACAATGCTTCGTGCTGGTCATGTGAGGTCGTGACGATGATCGGGCGAGGTTGAATGTGGGGTTTGCCGGGCACTTTTTCTTTGGACGTGGAACACCGAACGGCAGCATATATTATTCTCTGAGGGAGCTATCTTGCTCCTGAATCATTTGAATTTTCATTGATATCTACGATTGGGTATTTACATGGTTGATGCCTCCATTCCTATATAACGCCCCCAAATTCCCTTACAGTATAGAATATCACAGTTCTTTACTCCGCCATGTTTATTTACCCCTCCCCTCGTCAGTTCTCGAAGGCGGTTGGCTCCACCACGACGACAATGACTAGAGAGGTAACCATCAACGCAAACGTTATCGCCGCCACCAGTGCGATACTGCCCCTACTCGCAGGGAATTTGCCTTTTATTATCCAGTGCTGCCCTTCAAAGTATCTGTTGAACCCAAGGAAGAGTATGGCGATGCTTATGCCGAGGAACGTTGCGCCTAACGGCTTGCCCATCTGCCGTAGATGTCGATATGCATCGTTTCCCCCCTTGCTAGCGGAGGAAACGTTGAGACGAAAGCTATGCCAACGTCAGCCGGGTGTATACAGTGAGGGATCGCGTAAAGGAGGCGTACAGCTGTGTGATGGCGATGCCAATGGATGCGAAAGCCAGCGAGGTGCGGAGCCACGCCAGGAATGTACGTTCTGCCCATGATATATATGTATTAACACCCCCAAACCTACCCAGTTGGATGTCAACATATCATACCGAGAGCCAGATGATCTCTGGCCACGCTCCCCTTGTTCTCCAGCTCCACGGACCCATATTCCGATGCCAGCCTCGCCCACCACGACGTGTGCTCGCTCGCTACCGAATCCTGCTCGTGCTGCTCAGACTCAGACGTCCGCCCTGATCGCCGAATATTCGTCGTGCTGGACGACCGTCCTTCCCTGCTCTGAGTGCTCTGATAGTTCATATTCCGCGAGCTCGACCTCCTCACGATGCTGGTCTCCTCGTCCGCGCTGGACTCCGCCTCTGCAGTCCTCCCATCGCAGCCCCTGAGCCGTGGGCTGGCAGGAGTCGAATTGCTCGAGTCGCCCATGGCTGCTTTCCGAGCCCGTGCGGATTCTAAGATGCTGTCGATGCGATCCTTCGGCGACTGGACAATACGCGATGGAGCTCGAGATCGCGCGGGTTTGGACGTCTCGGCATCCCCGGTTGGAGCAGACATCTTCGAGAGGGGTTCGAGAGCGGCGAACCGTGAACCTTATAATTCGAAAATTCGGACAGGGGCTCGTTGCCGAAAGCGAGTTGTTGGATTGCGAGCCCGTCCGCCCCTTTGTTCGCCATATGCGGCGTCATACTCGCGATGGCGCACGGACCACCGTACGCATAAGTTCACAATGAACCAACGGAATCTTGGTATTACGGTAAACCAGTAGTACCTCACATGTTGTGGGGGAATGTGTAGCGTCACATGATTCGCTCGGCTGATCTCGCTTACCTAACTTTAGCATAAGGTTTCCTGAGCTAAACGGCAACGGGATGCTCCTCCCCCACATTCTAACATGAACCAACCAAGTGTGAATTCGAAGTGTTCTTGAAGGATTGAAGATGATCGAGTTCGACACTAACATCAAGAGCTCAATCGAGAGCCAGACTGAGCAGATTCGCCCTCCCATCCTCTTTCTCTTGCAATGCCCCTTCCCCAGGCTCCGACATGATCAGCGAAATACTTTACTCAGTAGCCCGAATGCTCCAGCCTCCAGTTCAAATTCTCCTCTCGCCTAGCATCCATATCCATCCCCTTAGGAGTTTATCGATCGACCATGAGGAGAAAAAGTGGTAGTGCTACTCCTTGATAACAACACTCATCTACCTAATCATGGACCACTCTTATAGAATCAGACGAGCCTTTGAAAGCAAAGTGAATAAGCGGATAAGACGACATGTCTGCGACGTCCTCCCCTTCTCCCCCAAAACTGTATCAATAAATCAATCAATCAAATAAATACCCCAAATTTCAAACCTCCCGCTCATGTCCTTCTCTGTCTCTGTGCTTGGTAATGAAAGACGTGTCAGATGATTGATTTATTTATGTAGTGGAGGTAGGTAGGTAGGTAAGGTAGGTTAGGTAAGGTATTTTATCATGTTATATATATTATAGATTTTGCTGTATGTAGATGGGAGTTGAGGGATTCGGGAGCTTAGGAGGCTACCTAACTACCTACCTAGGTATGTCATACCCTAACCTTACCTTTACGTAGTATAGCAGATGTGATGTAATAAAGAAAGGAACTACTTACTTTCTTCAACTACACGCACTTACTGAAATATAGCATGCAGATACAAGATAGATTACTTTAAACATCACGAAATCTTTTACACCGCACAATCAAGGGAATGGACAGTATAGGTGTGAAGAAGTTGGGTATTTTACACAGAAGTCGGAAAAAGGTCCTTGCAGATACGCGCGCGCGGAGACGCTATGACGAGTGCAACAGATCGTATGTCTTTCCTCCTCTCCTCCCCACTAGAGAATCCCGTATTGATACAGACCAAGGACGGATCCACACCTGCAAGCCAGCCACAAGGGTCAATCCATATTGTTCGATATTGAGGGCATATGCAAAGACTGCCAGCGGCTTCGGTGCGCCGTAGGGATAAAGGGCTCTGGGAAGATGTACCACCAGGATAGCCTCCAACAATGACTTGCGAGGAGTGAAGGAGGATTTAGCCCTCCGCTAACCAAGGACCGATTGGAGGAGCCCAGCACCTCCATTGAAAGAACATGCATCTGTTTAGAACACTGCCAGCTCTCCTCAAGAATCGGGAATTTACAACCACTCCTATCCACATCCTTGGGAGTATCAGTGTACGAGCACACCCAGGAACACGCAATCATGTAACAAACATTAACGACATTGGACACTAAGAAGAGGCCCGAAAAATGCCACGGAACCGGAAGATGAGGTAATCCAGTAGTCCTGACAAAGCCATGGTTGCAATCGATATTGGCGAGTAGGGCTGGTCCCAAACATCTAAATACAACCCCCGGCAGGGCGAGAAAAAAACAAGGAAACAACGGTCATGATTCGCAGTCGATTCAGTGCACGAGCAATCAACGTACGCACTACAGAAGGGCGCCGAAGGAGATGTCTACTCTTCGAACCTCCATTACTGGCTGAATTCGAAAGTTGCCGTACCCGGATCCGCGACCTGTGATTTGTTAGATATCTGCTGAAGAAAGCAAGGAATTTTATCGATACTTACGCTCACAGTGCATCCATTCTCTGCTACGTTGCCATTCAGCCAGTATTTTCCTCCCGAGTAAGAACACTCATCGCTGACGTCGCCAGTGATCTTGATAGTGTAAGGGAGTGTTCCGTCTGGGTTTGTGGCGGCGTTCTGGAAGAGGGAGACAAAGGTGGTACCAGCAAGGCCCTTGCCAACACCTGCATTCACAGGTGCCCAGTTACCCATGTTTGAGCCGGCGCTTCCCCAGGTACAGGCCTCGGAACAAGGTACTCCGGCGGGGTTGATGTAGTACTGTGCCGAGGTAGGTCCACCCTTCCAGCTGTAGTAGGTAGATGCATCAGGGTTGGTCAGAGGGAACGTCTGTCCAGGTACTGCGTCCAATGGGACAGTCTCTGATTCAGTGCCTGGGTAATCGGTACGGCAGACACAGACATTCGAATCAAGCTTGTTAACAACCTGGACGCCTCCAACACCTGGAATACAGATTTGCGGGCTTTCAGACCGGGACAGCTCAAGCATTCCGTCAGCATTGCAGTAGAGGCCGCCAATGGACTGTCCAGTGTTGCCCTGCGCGGAAGGCCATTGGGACTTCTGGTAGCCGGGTGGGCAGGCGTAGGAGCAGAATGATTTCGGCGTACACGACTGGCCGGTGATGGCAGTCTCAATGAAGCTGATGACGTCGTCAAGACCAAAGGTGAAGTCGGGAACCTGCTGGACGCCTGTCCATCCTCCCAGGCCCTCCCACGGAACCTCGACAGCTCCATATTCCGAGGGGAATTGAGAGCAAGGAATGCTACCGCTGGGAAACTCAGCATTGACGTTGCCAGAGTTGTTGCCACCAGAGGGAGGGGAGACGGGGCTAGGCGTTGGACTGGGGGACGGGGTAGGGGTGGACGAGGACGATGGCGGCGTGTAGATTGACGTCGAGCTGGAGCTGCTGCTGGTAGAGGTAGAGCTAGGGGTCGGGGTGGGAGTAGGAGTGGGAGTGCTGCTTGGGGTGGGAGTGGAACTCTCCTGCTTCTGGAAGAACTGGCCTGCGGATTCGCTCGAGGGACTTGGGGTTGGAGTCGGGGTCGGGGTCGAGCTGGGAGTTGGGACAGGAGTCTCCGACACAAGGATATATTTGCCCGACTTCAGACCTGACTCGACCTCGTCGTAGGGAATGTCCATGCCGTTGAGCTCATAGACGGTGACCACAGGACCGGCAACCACCTCGGTGACCGCAGCAGCATCGCGCGCCTCGACTGGAGAGCCATGTCTGGCGTGGAGATGGGCGTGGTTGTGCGCGTGTTGGGCCGCCGTGAGAGTTGCGGCAGCGCCCAGAAGCGTAATCTGGGAGATCTTCATTGTGAAGAAGCGGATTCGTGCAGTATGATTGACCTAAGGGATTGACGAGAGACTCTCTAATATCTGCGGCGACAAATGTTCGGACGGGGACGTTGAACGAAGGCAGTTAGGGGACTCGAAAAGGTTGTCGCGATCAGGAAGCTGGAGTGAAACGGACGTTAGCACTGCGACGAGCAAGAAAACCGCGAAGCCGCGTTCGCACAAGCCAGGACGGCTCTACGTGGGAAGCTTGCTGTGGAATCCTGATGGGCAATCCAGAATTGAGTAGCATACATTAACAATCGATCGGACGGTTCTGACAGCTGTGGCTTCTCTCTCGATGACAGTGCGCGGTCGTGGTGTAGACGGGGGGTAAGACAACTTGGAGTGGATCGAAGAGGTTGAAAAGTGAATCTGAACTTTTTTCGAAAAGGGGATACAAGTCGTAAGGGGTTCCAAATGAATGTGGTAGAGAGGCGAGCCTCTCACAGTTGGGATGGAATGAAGGGAAGGGAGAAGGGTGAGGACGTCGATGGTGAAGCGATGATGGGTGGAGGAGGAGAGGGAGGGAGGGAGGATGGATGGATGGATGGATGGATGGGAACAACAGCGAAAGAATTCCCGAGAGACTGAGATTGGGACCTGCCCACGCAGGCACGGGGTGGCTGGAAGGGGACTAGCGCCGCGCGGGCTTCGTTGTAAACAGTGGGGCGGCGCTTCTAGAGGGGGAAGATCAGGGGAAGTGTTCATTTTGCCAGTTTACAGGTAATTTCCCATAGAATTTCCCATCCCTTGCGGTATATTGACTATCAGTCTATCACAATGATCGTAATTATACATGAACCTTGAATCCAGGTACAGCACAACACTAAGGTACCTCAGGTACGGCTGCATCAGCGCCCTGCATCAGATGGGCACGATCATAAAGATAATAATAATAATGATCAGAATAATATCAGAATAATCATCATAATAATAGGATATCCTCTGCAATAACGCACGATCCAATAGGTAATCTCCGCGCAGTGCTCATCGCTCCCACATGAAGCGGGCGACGTAAGCCCCAGGCCGGCTTCTCAATCTCAATACCACCACAGCTTCCAGACCCGGAGATGCAGGGCAGCAGAGGAGGAGCGTTCAAGAAGAAATTGAAGAAGAAGGCCAATGCTGGTCTATCCCCGCAAGTGTGAAAAGCTATAGGTATCTCTGTCTCTCTGTCCTAGCAGTGGTGATGTTCAGTTCAGTCAGTTCCTGCACTAAGCGGTACTGGTGTACTGCCCATATTGCAAACCCCTCTCTAGAGAACAACAACAATACTTAACTCAACTCTACTTCCCTTCCTCTCTTCCTACACGTCATATCAGATTCTTCTCTCTGCCTTATATAAGGTGCATATACCTACCGCTCTCTCCTCGCAGCAAACGCCTCTCTCACGACTCTCGTACCTTCGCTCCGCGGGCGCTTCCTCCTAGCAGCGCAGCCGGTGCGGCCCCAAACTGCCCCTTCGCATCTGTCAGCAACCCGCCCCTGACTAACGCCAGGCACCGCGCGCTGATTGGCCCGTGGCGACACGATGCAATTTTATCTCAGTTATTCCTATTCCTATTCCTACTCCGTGTCATTCATTCATCTTGTCACTTTGTTATTTTCATTACGACAATTGCGACACTTGCGATTTTGATTTCAGATGGGTGCTTGCTGGTTCTAAAACCACGTCACTGTCACTGGGAAGAAGTGTCCTTATTTCATAAGACGTCAGACGACCAGCACATTGTGCGGAGCAAGGTAGTTCAGTCCCTTGGTACATACAGTGTACAGTGCACACAGAGCTGCACTCTTTACGTTTGCATACCCAATTCTCTAGCTCTTACGCGCACACACGGCAGGACGCAGTACACGTGGAGCTTCTTGCTGTCGCTTTCTTTCCAGCATGCGTTTTCATTCTTTCTCTCTTATCAGATCTGCATATCAGTATGACGATAAGGTCAGGGACAGTACCCTTCTCTTAACTACTCCGTAGAAGGAGCCAGTGCCGTGATTGACAATCCTACGCCGCACCCGCATATCAGGTAGTACTGTTTAGTGTACTCTGCCTGCACGACATTGGCTAGGGTGGATGAGTGGATAGGTGGATAGATGGATGGATCATTAAACTTCCCTTTCTTCCGGTCCTTTCGTGGGGCTATCCACCGGATATCAACTATAAGGCGAAGTGCCTTAGATGTGGTGTCGCACATCTACCTTACTACTATTGTCCCTTGCAGAGTATCCGAGTTGGACAAGGTTACAGTAGGTAGATTCTCGCCGTCACATTTCTCTAATCACCATCTATTTGTAGATATGGCGATGCTATCCAGTACTCTACTCCACATGTTCCGTCTTCTTCCAAAACCCCAGCATGACCCGAACCTCCTCCCAAAACCCAACGTGCTTGTCCTCTAGAGTCGCCTCGTATGCGTCGATGACGGGCCGTTCCCATACCTATTTCCATTAGTTGGCTTTGGATTTGATTTACGCTGGTGCATCGTTTGTTGCTCATGAAATATTTTCTGATCTAATGGCATTCGAGAGGCTCGCGAGTGGACAGACCGAAGTAGGGTTCACATCGAGGGAGAAATATAGAAAGGGAGGTACGTACCAGATCCGCTTCTGCAGGCTTGACGACCTTGGTCTTCTTGACTACCTTCCACCCGACGTAGAGAATAGGGCACACAAAGCACATGGTATAGTAGGAGAAGAAGGTACCGACATCCCACCCTAGAGCGCACGTCAGTTTGTGAAGAACAGCCAGACAGGGCTCTTCGCAGCGTTCCGACTTACAGCCCGGTAAGAACGTCGTGTATCCATACGCCCCAACGGTGAGGATCATAGTTACGAGGCCGAACCATCCGACGTATGGCTGGGCCCAGCCGACATAGGGTAGTTTTCTGCGGTCGTAGCCTTGGGCTTTCAGCGCGCGGTAGAAGAAGAGGTAGGTGATGCATATGGCGATGTAGTCGATGATCTGAGAAGCCTCGGTCAGGTTGGCCAGCCTATATAGTTGTCAGCTAGTACGCAGGGGTTTCTCCAATGGCGGGAAATAGTACCAGGTGATGACTTGGGCGGAAGAGCTGCCGACAGCGAGGAAGCTGAGGAAGGGGAAGATCATGGTGACGCAGAAGCACCAGATCGGGACCCCCTTCTTGGTGCAACGGCGCAGGAACTTCGGAGCTTGGCCGTCAAGGGCCAGTGAGTACAGTGTTCGAGAAGCGCAGTATCTGCAGGTGTGAGTTGGGGTTTCTTTTCCTCGGCTGGACTTACACATATGAATTTCCCGCGGAGAAGATGCTGGTGACCAAGAGCGCATTGGTGATATGTGGAAGCACCCCGATTCCCATATTCTGCATGGCGATCACGTACGGGCTGGAGGCCGCGGTTCCCGTGGCGGATGAATTACTCGAGAGGATAGCGACGAGCCGTGCGTCGTCGTAAGGGATGACGATTCCACATGCCAGCGCGCCTCCGATGAAGAAGACGCCGAAACGGAAGTAGATGGTCTTGAATGCTCGCTTGAGGTTCTTGCGTGGGTGCTCTACCTCTCCGGAAATCATCCCTAGGTACTCAGGCCCGACAATAGTGAAGCTTCAATTGGCTGCGGTTAGCAACTTCTCCAGATCCCCTTGAAAGGCGAGGTGCAAGGGCAGACATACGCAGCCTTCCACTAGATACCCGGTGTGTCAGTAATTGCTTAATCAGGATGGAACTTGGAGTATAGAGTATAGAAAACACTTCACGGGCCGCAGGACATTCCTCTTAAGATACTGTCTCAATAGTAGAATACGTCCTACTGGCCATGACGAAGTCCGAAATGGGAAGGATCTCACTCCTCGGGAATTCTTACCAGCGCACTCAGGAACCCTTCAAACCTGCCCAAGGGGCCCGTCGTGACATATTCTGCGAAAGCGCCCTGTTGACCATCAGTATATATCAATTACCCAAACGATCTTAAAAATGATGGTACTTACGGGTGTCTTCCAATACCTGAAACCGTATGCATCATGTTTGGGATTCCCCCCAACCATCGTGATGAAAGTAAAGCTAAACACGATCCCGACGAGGATCACTTTACCGCTGATATCAATCAGTATTTGGCTTTAAGATCTGCACACTCTGAATCATACCTTGAAAGCCAGAACTCACTCTCTCCGTACCACTTCACGGCGAAGAGATTAATGATTCTGCCGGGCTTTAGCATACCAGAGTCGAAGAAGGAGACCAACAAACAATTAGTACCCATAGAGAACAATGCAAGCTGCGCAGATAGCGGCCAAAGGAATATCATCGCTCCAAAACGTGAGGACTAGATTAAGTGCACTGATTTCCCAGGGGATTAAGAAGGCTTCTATGGTCTGATCAGGATGAATTCTCCGAAGACTCGGATTTGGAATTGCTGACCGTAGAAGAAGAAGTTCCACTGGAAGATCGCAACATCAGTATTTCATACCCAAAAATCCAATTTATAGATTATTCAAGTGGTTCTCAGGGGATAGTACGGGCAGGGAGATAAAGAAAGGCTAGGACCAATGGCACAAAAAAAGAGATGTTGTATTGCTTACCCCAAGCATGAATCCAAAAGCCTCATCAACCCACTTGCCACCCATCCTAACAAAAGAGCCGCTGACAGGCATGAAGACCGCCATTTCCGCCATACAACTATTGACCGCAGCCATGAAGACGCAGTACAGAGTAAAAGCAATTAGTAACGAGCCCGGCCCTCCCGTCGTGAGTCCCGAGCCAATGCTGACGAACAGAGCCGTCCCGATAGAACCTCCTATCGCCATCATCTGGATCTGACGACCGCTCAGACGCCGTTTCAGATCATCGACATTCTCGACGATCGTCTCCCCCTCACTGCTGCTCGCAACGTCCGTCGTGGCTCCTCCCCCTCCTTCTTTCGCGTCGTATGTGTACTCCGCCGAGCCCGGGCCGTGTCCTTTTTTGATATCCTCCATATTGACAATTCAAGATGCGTCAGGGGAATTGGATAGGAGGAAAAAGAAAATGCGGGGGATGGGTCTTTACCTTTTGTACATTGTACAGCACTGTATCTATCTCCGTAGCCTGTACATGATGTCGTGATCGAATAGAAGATAAGAGCTCTGCACATCCTTATCATCACTACTCGATCTTGACAGCCGTCCGACAAAAAAGTCATTGCTAGCTTGGACCTGCTGTTGTTGGGAGTTTGCAGCCAGAATGCCCCCTCCGTACCTAGGGATGTTGCAGTAGCGCACTTGTGCTATTCGGTCGCAGCGAGAAATCCTAGCAGGGCCCCTTCAAGACTTCAGGGCAGGACTTCAGGGAAGTAAAAACATATCCTTTTCGAGGCAAGCGTCCGCTGATAAGAATATAATATTGTGGGGATATCGAGATTTCATGGCATACAGTAGTTCGATTCTTACGTTTCATCAAATGCCATGAAGGACTGGCATTGCTGTATCAATGCGCACTAAAAGGTGGGGGTTTGGGGGGTTGGGGGTTTGACAGTATCGTAAATGGTAAGAATTTTTAGATTGTAGAACCGAGTCAAATGAGCTTGACCCGCGAACGAGTGTTCTGAGACTCACAAACAAGGCGTAACCTTCTCATTACTTTAGCCCAATATTGAACCTTGCAAGAGCCGCGAGGCTACAAAGTCATTATCATCACTGACACTGCGTCAGGTGGATCTCCAAACCCCGGATGCTTATCTCTATTGCGGGAACTATACCACCGGATGGGGATTTGATATGCGCCGCGCTATCTCCTTTTCCTGGCCATAGACTGGTTCTCTTGAATCTCTACCTTGATCTGACTAACCAAGCATGACTTCTCCATTTCTATCAGTTCGCCTCTCAGCCTCCAATAGCATGGCCCCTCCTTGTGGCCCGCTGGTATCCAAGCTGACAGTTGTTTTTCTTGTGTCGCTAATGACCCTTATGGTCTCACCAGCATTCTTATAATCTGTCTCAGATGTCACAACTGTATGCTTCGTTTGGCTCCCGCCGACCTCAGCAGTGGCGCCTCCAGGCCGATTAGTCTTCGGAAATGAGGCTGGTTTGATCTCCACATTTGGGTACGGTAGAAAGCCTTCGCGTAGGGGTATCAATACAACAGGAAACGACAGTGCCTGCTTTTGAGATTGGGCTTGGCTTGCTTTGGGGACAGTAAAATGACCCTTCCGTTTGCCTCCGATGAGCCAAGTATCGGATAAGCCTGAGACTTCGTAGACAAACTCTATATCTTCAGATTGCTCCGAGGCATCGAGTTCTAAAGGAGCCTCGTTGTCCCAAGTCCTTGTCCACTTTATGCTCAATGACGCCGAGATTGGCTGGGTAGATGCTACTACAGGAGTAGTTGCTGGAACAGAGGACACTCCAAGTAGTTTCAAGTCGGCCGTATGGACAACTGTCATTGATGGTACCTCAACCGGGATAATGATTGATCGATTCGTAGAAAGAGTGGTTTCGTCAATCGGGACTGGTAACAAAGGGATGTTCGGATTGTTCCGCAGCCATGCCTCAACCCCTTCGGCAAGAAGATTTGCAATATCTTCATTGCCCTGTAAGGTACGACCAAGACCAGAAAAATGATTTCGCCACCTGACGGTCGAAAGAATTGATGTCGAGACTTCGCTCAAAATGGCAGTCCGCTCAATATCATATGGTGACATTCGTTGATGTAACGCCGAGAGAACTGTGGGTACAATAAGACGAATGTATGGATGCAACTCGTTATCTTCGAAGAATCGATGAAGACCAGCGGTGACTGTGTCGTCGATCTCCTCTTCGAGGGTACTATAGTGCAAGGTAAGAGATAATGATGCCTTCGAACGCTTCCCGGACGCAGAAGCAGGTTTCGACGTCTTGGACGGCGATTTAGTGATCTTATACAGAATAGATGCAGGCTGGCGAGGGAAAACAACCAATGATCTTGTAAGTGAAGCACCACACTGGGCTTGAAATACGTCGGAGCCCTCTAACTTGGAGCTCAAAAGTCGCAGTGGACTAGTTGTCGCAGATGAAATGGTGAACCGAGAAAAGAGCGCCTTATGTTTGAAGACGTCCTGGACGTTGACACCCAGAGGTAGCATAATATACACAGTTGGAATTGTAGCAAAGAAAAATTCGCCCTTTTCGGTGGTGTAAGTTATCTCCAATTTAATAGAGATATCGTTAACCTCGTGCTCAAGATTAAACGGCATGCGAAGCTTCGCAGTTGAGTCAGAACTAAAGGCACCGAAGCGGATAACACCCGCTTCGGACTTTTTAGAGATTTCGAGCTGTCCACTGATCATACTGGCTTCACTGGTCTGAAGTCTCAGTCCAGCGGTTGCTGCTCGAAGATGAAGCTCGCCACTGATAACATCATTCCAGCCAGATGATAGCTCAATTTCTAGAGAGCGATTGCGATCCAAATGCATGTATCTCGATGAGAAAAGTTTCAGATCGAAGGCTTTCGCCTGTTGATAGATGAGGAGTTTCGGGCACTTGAAGAATGAATCGGCTCTGGTTCCATGCTCATATTTCAAAACGATATTGCTGGTGTAGAGAGCCACCTGGGTCACAAGATATGTGCCGGGTATCACCATCTATGAGAAGTAAGTAAAATATTCTTGACGGGCCATATCTAAAAAGACTTACATTGGTTTGTACCACGAGCCTAACGCTTCCATTTTTGAAGAGAGTAGGACCCTCGCTCTCCAGCCAGATATCGCGGCTGCCATCTCCTTCTACCGGACTGATCTTAACTTTTGCCTTCTCGATGTTCATGTTCTCGGCAAGCAGGTATCGAAAACGAAGTTGTAATGCGAAGCTATCCTTCTCAGAGTGATATCTAGGGGTATCATCGACCTCGACGTGACTGAAAAAGTTCTGTAAAGGTACCTGCACTTCATGCTGAAACGTCTTCGTTATTTGCAGGAGTTCCTCCAGGTATGGTTCATTCGGAACAAGCTCCTCGTGACTGAAACTGCTGATTGGGCCAGGTTGCAGGTCAAATTTGCGCCTAATCCTCTCCTTCTCAGCCATCGCAGCTTTGGACAGAAGCTTCAAGACAACTCTAACATATTCTTCCTTGCGTTGGAGCTGTTTGAGACATTTTGCATACATGACCAGCATTGAGAGTTCAATCTGCGTCCAGCCCTCTTCGCCATAGAACGGCGCCATGCGATAGAAGTATGATGCTGCAGCCGCATAATCCTCAAGGTGATACTTAAGAATGGCCAGATCAGCCATACTTGCCTGTATTGATTGAACGTGGTTTGCCACAGTATAGTGGCGGAGTGCCTTGTCGGTAAAGGTTTCATAAAGTCTAAGGAAATCATCCTGGTTGTCTAAAGCCACCCGTAGTAACTTGCTGTTAATTCCATGCAGGGATGGAGGTACTTTGGTTTGACTGCTGTCGGTGGGGTTTTCCTCGGAAGTCTCTCCATTGAGATCAACCTCCTCCATGTCGTCGAAGTTACCGTACTGAAAATGCGCCACTTCTGTCCAACCAACACTCCATCCATGCTCCTTGCCGAAGTTTTCAAGTACGCTTCGAGATAGAACGTACAGTGCCGCTCTATGAGCTGCGAGGTCTTCTAATCCAGCTTTGAGAAAGGGGGAGGCCATGGTAGTACTTCGATCCCGCTCTGGCACGCTGGCTCTTCGGCTACCGGAGGAAAGAGCGGGATTCTGAGGCTCTCCGGATTGTGAGCGGACCGCAAGAGAGCTACTCCTGGCAGGATGCATCAGTGTCTTGGGCTCCGGAATGGCAGCTTTAGGCTCCTGGCCATCAGGCCCAATCTGACCGCTTGGGGGAGCTAATGTGGAAGGAGGTATTGGAAGCGCTTTGGTTGATGTCTGCGCAAGAATCTGTTGCGCAATAGAGAATGTGAAGGAGGAGACAATGTTGTCGACTACCTGGGTAGTAACGGCGTCCATTTGTATCTGAGAATTCCTCTTCTTTTCGTCGTCAATCTTTTGCTGGAACGTCATATAAGAGGCTGCGATATCATCCCTCATGACACGAGATATAGATGCAATAAAATCCATGGATCTCCTGCAAATTTCCGCGAGCACCACAAGATTCTCTGCATCATCAGAAGGCTCTGAAGCCGGTAGTCGGGCAGCGACCCCTAAGAGACTTGATTCTCTCTGCTCTTTCAATCTTTCTAGTAATTCTTCCCGCGATGACCATGCATTTGCTAGACGGAGCAATAGAGAGAGTTGACGAGAAAAAAGATAGCATCGAAAATCGAAGATTGAAATATTGTTCGAAAGGATGAGGTCCCGATAGCGCTTCCTCGTTGCGTTCAGCGGGATTTCGTCGACTTCATTATCGGAAGCTTCACCAGTCGACTGTAGATCAATAGCATCATCTGATCCGGCAATCTGAGTCTCCTGCCCCATGTCCTTCAGCAGGGCGGTCCTGGCTCGATCGACCATAGTTTTGAGTTCGTTCGTATATGGTAAGAATGAGCCGCCATGCTCGGCGTCTGAACCCGCTGTGGTTTGTTCTCTTATGATCACATCAAGACCAACAGCAAGCTCATCATATCCCACAAGAGCGTCTTCAACAAGGCCTACATTCTCGAATCCCCTCGCCAAGCCCTCTTTGAGCATGAAAAACGTGCAGAAGTTCCAACCTGGTAGATTTCTTTGGGCATCCTTCTCTCGAATATCTTCCTCATATTGGCTCACGCGCATATCAAATGAGGCTAATATCAGTGATTTAAACTTTGAGATAAGGTCCGACCACGCATTGTCGTTCTCTTGTGGTGTCTCGTTATATGAACCAGGAATCGCTGGAACAACACGTGGGAGCATGTCGTATGGCACATCATTGACACCAATCCTAACCTGTGCTACTCGATCGATTGCAGTTTTGGATGAGCCATTGAAATCTGCGCGCAGTTTATCGAGAATGGTGGATGATCCACCTCCCCTCCAACGTGTCTTTTCGGTGGCCGAGCCGGAGCTCCCATCAGTGCTTTTCCCACTCGTACGAGGCTGTGTAGCCGCAGCCGTATTTGGGACGACCACGTGAAGTATGAGCCACTCGAAAGCATCATGGTTCTCTTGCGCGCTCGTTTTTGTGGTGGTGCTTTGAGATGGCGGTGTGTGCTCCTTAATCCATTCTCTGACCTGCCGCCGCGTCTGCGCCTTGTACGTATCGTTATCATCGCAACGTACAAGTAAGACCTTCAAATAAGGTGTTTGTCGAAGACCAGGTATTTGGTGCCTTCGCTCCTTCACAACGAATTTCGGACCAGGCCGAGAGTCTGGCCCCTCCACCGGGGTCTGTCCCAATGCCTGTGTTCGAGGCCCATCATCGCCGGTGGTCACAGAGTCTTCGCTCTTTACTCGCGCAAGTGGCGTGATAGGTGTGGTAGTTGAATATGCTTCGGTTGTAGACAGAGGGGTTAACAACTCTGGTGAAGGGATGAAGTCGATATGTAGGGAAGAGATTGAGCGAAGAGGTCCGGAATGGGATTCCCAGTGGAGGTTTCGCAGAGGCAATCGAGACAGGAGACCAGGCGATAGCAGCTGATAGATGCCATGCGGATCGAAGTACTCAACTGGGAAAATTTATTAGCTATATGTTAAATCACACTGGGGAAGATGCTTACCTGTAACTTTGGAACTTGATGATGACTGCTCCATTGCTTGGAGGGAGCCGTAACCACCAAATTCCTTCGAAGGATCAATTCAGCATCCGCGCTCACTTTATCAGAGCGTTGGGGAAACAAAGGCTGCCTTGCGCATGCACATGCAGGTAATGGTTGCGTTCGGGGGCTTAAGCATCGTCAATATTGCCATATAATTGCCAAAATAGGTAAGCGGTAAAGCAACGCTCCGGGCCTTGCACACGAGCAATTGTATTTTGTACATCAATAGAGCCTAATCAACAACTTTAATATGCCAAGAAACTATCTTAAGACACCCTCGAGCTCCTCAACTGATACATACATTACAATTTCTTTCTGCCCACATATTCTATACATAAGGCTCCTGTTTCACAGCTGCTCCTTCATTGAGTAGTTCTCGAGTCGAAGTTGTTGATAATCTGCTTTCCTGTATGCTACGTATAATCCAAACTATAAAACTCAGGCCTGGTTATACTACAAAGGACGACTCTACTTTTTATCATGCCAACAATGGGATATGCAATATGTATGAAAATTGCCTTGCTGCTATTCCAACGAAGCAGGCCTTCTTGCTTGGGTTGGATGCACTTAAAAAGGCAAAGGAGCTCAGAACTTAGCATCTGGAAACTGGAAGGTACATTGTATCCAGTGGCAGTACCATATTATGGCCGGGAAATCCCAAGGTTACCGGATGAGTGTAGCTTTCTACCTTCTTAGGCACATTAGATTCTAACCTTTCTTGATACATCCCGGCGAATCTAGTACACAGAAGAAGCTCAAAAGTACAAAAGATATTCCTTTGCAACGATTCAATATCCTGACTCAGAGGTCTCTATGCATCACATAGCGCTTTCCAACGAATTGTCGATAATCCATTCGGTATATGCAAACCGCTGGCCGCCCAACTGGCGATACTGGTCTCGAATGTCCAGGCCAGCACGCACTTCAGCCAATGCTTTTTCCTGCCCCAGACCATAGCCTCCGCTACAGTTGCTATTCCATTAACAAGAAAAAACAGTCCTATGCGTGTCAAGGCTTCTCGGTCGAGAATAGGTTCTAGAGCATACACATGGAATATTGCCATGAGGGTGAAAGCGCCAAGGACGCCGAGGGATCGAGCAACCACAACTGGGACTCCGTACTTTGGAAGGCCATATCTCAAAGGCGCATAAGCTAGGGATTCGCATGGAGATGCAAAGGCGTTGTGCCAAGTTTCGGACCTGTCACGTGTATTAGTATGCCAGGAGGTCCAGCAGGAAGAAAGAAATACCAAAACCCAGACAACGAATCTGCTAAGTACAGCGGTCCGAACAAAGCCGGGCTGCTTTTATATCGCAGAGTGAGTTGCATAGTGGTCCAGATTATGTATATTGCTAATAGTACCTCGAATGCTAGTACGGTTGGGAGGTGTTGTGGTAATGATTGCAATACTGCGAAGGCAGCTACGTGGATACCAAGCTGTAACGGCTCACTGAAATTTTCCCGGTCTTTGGGAACACGAATATGATTCGGGGTGAAGGATTCGTACCGAAGTTCGGTCAGAGCTATGAGTGCAAATAACCTGTACATCAATTTAGCTGCAGACTCCCCGATTAGAAGAAGACAAGAGCATGGAGACATTACTCCTTGACTCTCAAGATATTTTGAGAAAGCAACTACAAAAATCAGTGTATTCGGGAAATACAGACCAGTCAGGCGGAGCCTTGCCTATATATGTAAGGGGCGCATTTCTGCGACCCCAAAAATAGTCAAGGAGCTTCATGGTTCCGATTGCAACTGTGAACTTATTAGCATACTGATTGGTGATGCATACGGATGGATGGACGTACCTGCGAAGTTTTGCAAACATCTTGCTGGACCGCAAGAAATTGGGGACAGCACTGGGGCGATCCAGAACGTTGCAAGAGACAGCAATGCCAATGTGTTATACAGCTTATGGAAGCCCTTTCTGTGGAAATAGATGGCGAAGTACATAAACTCAACGGGAATGAGGAGGAAAGCAACGGCCTTTGGGAACTCATGGCCCAGCTGCTTAATGGCGGGGGGGATATTGTCGTAGACGGGAGGATAGGAGATGTTCATGTTGCTTATAGGTGCACAAGGAGTATGCTCCCCCCCGGCTCAGTATGCACCAGGTAGGAAACGGGATTGGCTATTGGTACTTCGCCCGCCAGTTTGTCACCAGCTGGGCCGTCAAAGTAAGCCTTGAGGGGTCGCGTAGTGATAGCGGGATCTCTTTTTAAGTGTTTTAAATTGTGTATTTCAACTTCGAGTCTTGAAGGTGGGTTCCAAGCGCGTCAATGTTCCTGAAATTTTTATGTTCCAAAACCACCCGGGCGGATGCCTCGGAACCCAAACGTTAGATGCAGCCTTGCGGAGAAGAAGCTCCGTACCTGTCGCGTGTCGCCATCTTCAGCAATCACAGGTTCGCCGACTGTCTGCTAAATTTGTTCTGAAATGGAATATGCCAAACAAAGTACAAGAGGAGGAAATTGCAACGGCTCGTCGCGGTCTGTCGTGGGGCGCCTATAGGTACCTTACCTTCGGTACCATTGACAGCCTCGCCGAACAGGGCTGGCTCTTGAGCCTTGCCGAGAGCTAAACGTCCGGCTCGAGTTGACTACACGTTTTTCATCAAACAGGCCCAAGAGTCCAAGACAGAACCATTACTCCATACTTGGAAGTACTTTTTCTTTTCCCCAAATATTGCATACCATCTATCCTGGTCTCTACCATGACCTCATTCCACTATAATTATGCACTTACACAAGATTTTACCTGCTGTACCACGGCGGAATAAGAAGACCATAGTCTTGTTGTATATGATTTGTATTGGCAATGCGATACAATACCTTCTTTCCACTCCCCTTCCCATGTCCAAGTTGCCAAGATCAAGCCATCGAGAGCAACGTCAATCCTGCCTGCTCCGGAAACTCCACTGATGCGGTTATAGTACAACGCCGTCCCATCTTCCATGTCCGTTCCCACACATATAATTAAAACAAATTCCCCGAAAAAAAAAGGGTCAATAATATACAAAGGTACGATCCGAAAGAACTATCTCACCCTGTGAGAGCGGTTCCGGTGGTCTCTCCCTCTCTTGCTCCTGTTCTTGTCCTTAGGAAGTTCCACCGGTGTATCCTTCAGCTGATCAGCCATGAATTTCAACATGTAGTCATCTGTAGACTTAATCCGTTCGCCCCAAGCATTGATTTCGTCATCGTCTACTTCCATCTCATCGTCCAATGCAGGAGTCTCTTCTGCGGCGGGTGTTGGGAGGCCATCTCGAGGGGTTCCTGGACCGGCGGGTGTAGCCGAGGCGGTGACGGCATTTTCATCGAAATCCGCCGCATCTGTTTGTACTATCTCGCGCTCGGCCACTCTTGCAGCTGCCACATCCTCCCGATCCTCAGCCTGAGCAAGCACACGCTGTACATCTTTGTTATCGTCAGACCCTCCAAGAACTCGGTCCACGGCAGCGTTGGCTACTGCATCGCCATCAAGAACACTCTCCTGGCCAAGAACATCATTGACGGACATCTTATTGAAGTAGTCAGTGGTGAACTCTCCCTCCTGGATAACAACATCATCGAGCATGCGCTTCTGATTCGCTTTGCGTAGAATATTAGCTTCTATGGTATGCTCCGAGACCAAGCGATAGATGTGTACATCACGTGTCTGTCCGATTCGATGACATCGATCTTGGCACTGCTTATCCATGGCTGGATTCCAGTCGAGATCATAAAAGATGACCGTGTCGGCCCCAGTGAGGTTGATGCCCAAGCCTCCGGATCGACTCGAGAGGATGAAAGCCAAGATACGCGTGTCATTATTAAAGCGATCGGTGAGGATCTGACGCTGCTCGATTTTAGTGGATCCATCCAGACGAAGATACTTATGTCCATGAATATTGAGGAACTGCTCTAGAATATCCAGGACTTTCGTCATCTGAGTGAAGATGAGAACTCGGTGGCCGCCGTCTTGTAACTTCCGAAGTAGCTTTGCTAGGGTTTGCAACTTTCCACAATCATACTGGAGTAGGCGCTTGTCGGGGAATTGTATGGAAAGTCTCATCCGTGCTTCGTGAAACGGGTCTGGTTCAGAACTTGCAAAGGCTGTCCGGAGTGTGTCGGCTCCTTTCTGGGTGAGCACGAGAGAAGACATGTCCCTCGCGATCACTGGAGGGGTTACGCAAGCAAACTTCTGTATGGTAGAGTTCAGAGCTTGGGAGCGTAACGAGATGGTTGGAACCATGGCAGTGAGTGTCGGGGATCTATTTTCAAGCCAAGTCAACATCTGATCTCGCCGTCTAGGGCGAGGTCGCGCAGGCCGCTCATTGACACCGATAGTCAGCATCTCCACAAGTCGGCTACCATATATGGGGTTCTGTTGTCTCCGTAGCGCATTGAGATACACGCAGTGCTGAAGTTCTTCAAATCGACCCCACCTAGAAGCGCTTTCCAAGTAGACCAAGTTGGATTTGGCTGTTGAAGGATCAAGTTTAGTGAAAGCATTCTGTGCTCTTATGCGCTGAGATTCGCGCAAGTTCATGAGAGTCTTTTGGGCACTGAGTGCGGCACTCCGTCCAGTGACTGCATCAGAAAGACTTTCATGCTTCGTTGGGATCAGGTTTAGAAAGTCTAGGCTGACCTTGCTCATAGGGTGTTCATTGAGTAGGCGCCTGCGGACGAGAAGGTCTTTGATCTCGAAATCTGCGACAACTGACTTCTCCATAGGAAAAGAGGTCATGATTGGTCGATCTACGAAGAGGTCTGGATGATTGCAAACTTTTCTCAGCTGCATGAGGCAGTTAATGATAGAGAGATAGTTTCCAGAAGCTAGCGTTCCTCTGGTGTCCTCTCGATTCAAGAATCCGTCATATAACTCGCGTTGCCTCTTCGATAGACGACAAAATTCGACGTGCTCATATTTTGCCGGCATTTGCTTTTCTACGTCTGCTTTAAGTCTTCTCAAGAGATACGGTCGAAGGACCTTATGGAGCTTACTGATGATCGCCCGGGACTCGTCGTCCATTTGATCGCGACCATGTTCCAATATCTGCTCCGATGGCTTTTTGAACCAGTCTTGGAACTCTTTCAAGTTTGCAAACCCGCCTACTCCTTGCTCGGTTCCATCTGACGGCATTAGGAAGTAAAGCAATGACCAAAGCTCCGTCAAATTGTTCTGAAGCGGAGTGCCGGTCAGGAGTAGACGTGCTCGGGTATTAAATGTAAGCATAGTTTGCCATCTTTGCGACTGGAAGTTCTTGATATTATGGGCTTCATCCAGGATCATGTAGTGCCACCTCCGGCGCTTGAACACTTGCTGATCTTGGATAACGAGCTGGTAAGAGGTGATGCAAACGTTCCATGCGTCTTCCGACTTCCAGCCTAGGCGCTTCCGTTTGCGTTCCTCTTGCGTGCCATAATATGTCAAAATCTTGAAGCCAGGGCACCATTTCTTGAACTCCATCTCCCAGTTTAGCATGACACTTGTGGGAACAATCACCAAATGCGGACCCCACACTTCATGCTCGCAAGCAAGATGGGCCAATAGGGCTATAGTTTGGATTGTTTTACCCAGACCCATCTCATCCGCCAGAATACCGTTGGTGTTGTTGGCATACAGACCGGCGAGCCAGTCCAGGCCATAATGCTGATACTCTCTTAGAGTGCCTCTAAGGAGGAATGGAACTGGCGTCTTCAAGTGACTGTTTGGTTGTGGCGTGGCACTTTGAGTGACTTGACGGCTGTCCTGGTGAAGTTCCACAGAAGAAGCTGAATCGCTTTCTGACGGTCTAGTTTCGGTGGTCCTTGGGGTAGGCTGAGAACTACGATCGGGGCTGGCAGCTGAGACTTCTGGAGCTTGCTTTGAAGATTCTGTCACGGGTGTGGACTCGACAGCGTCGTCTACCCCGGTTTCTTCATCAGATGGCTGTATCGGCACAGGATCTGGAACAAGTGGAACTTCGTTGTCTTCGACAATATCTGCTTCGTCCTTGACTGTTGATATTGCGGAATCAACTTGATCGAGTTTCATCGCTTCCAGATCTGAAGGAGGAAGAAAGCCGAGTAGGCTGGATTCTGCTGGATCACCATCATCGTCATCGTCGTCGTCTTCGCTAGCCTCATCCTCACTATCACGATCTTCATCACTAGAGCCCATATCATCATCCATGTCGATTGACTCATCGCTGTCATCAAATGTAGATTTCAACTCCACCATATCCACATCTTGGCCTGAAGAGGAATTTTGGTCGTTATCTGGGTCGGCCACATCTTCATCTACTGATGCAACAGAAAGACTCGGAAGTGAGGAGTACTTTTTGCGAAGCTCTTCTATTGTTAGATGTTCATCATCCACTGCGTCAGACCGCAGATGATCCTCATCTACTTCCGAGTCCGTTGACATGTTGCTTTCTCTGTCTTCCGAATCCGAGTCACTTGAGCTCGCGACATCTGACTCTTCGCTATCGTCCTCATCTGAAGATATCTCCGAGTCTCTCCGCGCTCTTCGTGCCTCCAACTTCTGTGTTGATTTGTCGACTGCTTCATTAAGTGCTCTGCGAACTCGGGCTTGCTCTTGGGCCTCCCATTCTAATAGTCGTCGTCGATTTACTTCAGCTTTAACATTTTCCCACGTTCCCTGTAGACTTTTAACCAAAACTTTGTAGCGGCCTTCAACTTTCCGTTTCTCTTCAGCTTCTAACTGTTCCAGGGTCTTAGGCTGTCTTCGATACCACTCATCTCTGCATGCCTCGGCCAATCGTTTCGCAGTATTCCGATGTTTCCTCTCTTCGATAACCATCAGCTTCCTGAACTCGATCGCTGCTCTGTTTAGGTGATCCAGATGTGCATACTGAACCGGCGGCTGATCCTGCTCTTCAGGCTGATATACCGAACAGAATCCAGGGCTAAGGACTCCCCCTGGCTCGGCGGCGTCCTCCAGGCGAAGGAGAATTTGAGCATCCTTGACAATCGTCTCGGGCGTGTATTCTGAAGCATCTTCTGGGTTATAAAGGCCGCCTTCATCCACCGGTATATTAGCCGCAGAGTTTAAGAACTCTTTCAAGCTTGAATATCGAGGTTGCCGCCTAGGTACCAAATCGGGATGTATTAACGGTAGTTCCGCAGGTTTGACTCGGAATTTTATCCTTGAGAGCTTCGACTTGGGTGTCTGACCAGGGCTGTCGCCATTCAGTGTGTCTGATTGGTCAGGCGCTTCATCTGGGAGTATCACACTGGCTCGCCCTGAACGTCGTGGTTTGTCTGTCTTGGACGGTGCTGGAGCTGATTGCGGGGCTTTTGGAGTCGAGTTCTTTTTGTAGGCGCGCACAGGAGTAGCTGTTTGGTCTGCGGGCATCGATTTTCGATAAGAGCGCTTTGGAGATGTCGCGGACTTGGCAGGCAATTTTGGAGCTGGTTGAGAGGACGATGTGCCTGCGGGAATAGATTTCTTCGATCCGTTTGTTGCAGTCGATGGCATATCCTGAGCTTGCAGCGGGTTACTCGCATTCGCACTTCCACGTTTGCCTTTGGTCAAGTACGTCTTCTGTGAAGCACCTCGCGTCTGTCGCTTGTCTGATTGGGGATGTAGCTCTGGAGGTATCTGATTTGTTCGGCCTGATTTTCTGACTCCATTATGCGTAAATGAGGATGGCCCGTCAGCTGCAACTCTTTTCCAAGGAGGCGACTCGGGTTTTCGTCGCGGATTTGGGGTGTTCTCGCCGACTCGACGCCTCTTGGTGGGAGGCTCGCCACCTTCTCCATTCTCGACTTTAACCCCATTTGTGCGCGGTAAATCATCGTTGTTTGGCGTGATGTCTAAACAATAATGGAAATGAGCTATCTTATTTTTATCGGTTGGGTTGTTCCTATTCTCACCAGGTGATGGTTGACTCTCTTGCGCATCTGACGCGGTCTGTGTCATGACTTCTAATAGGAAAGGAAGGCCAAGCACTACCGTAAACTTCGTGAATATCACATCTGGGGGGTCCGTTCCAACTTCGGAAGATGCGCAACCTCTCAAAGATCTCTGCTACGAAGTTTGCGCATGTCCAGACCTCAGTCGCACCCGTGGTTCTGAAAAAAGTGATATTTCGAGGGTTGACACGAAATTTGATCGTCTAGGCAGATCCCAGAATAACATGCTTTGTATGCTAGCCCGCGTAAGCGAGCTATTAGCCTTGCTCTTCTGAACCGAGAGCTCGACTTCACGACTTTGAGGTCATCAGTCTGAAGGATCCAATTCATTGCGGAAACTATCATACAAGGTAAACACGCCCGATAACGCTACTCCCACGATATAGCGCATGCTGATGTGTGTGTACAGATGCTCTCTAGGCGAATTGCCTCCGCGCGCCCGCTGCGAGCTGCATTACCTGTCGCCAGACGGGCGGCTCTCACACAACGACGATGCTTTACTGCTGGACCAGATTATCCAGCGTTGGTCAGTGGTAGCTCCTTCCCGGCTGTACAAGTGCTAGCTTTTTGGGGGACCATGGCTGACGTGAAGCAATATAGACTGATGCTGAAGATCCGGAGATGGTCAGTTGACCCGGCTTCTCCGCCCCAAGACAACAACTGGCTAATGTCTGGTACAGAACGGAGGATACCCCAACCCCCCTCGAGTTAAACGTCAATTCCGCGATCCTTACGGCGACTGGTGGGATAAGCAAGAACGTCGGAACTATGGAGAGCCTGTTCACGAAGATAACGACATCCTGGGGATGTTCTCGCCAGAAGAATACACGCACGCCAAACCCGGCAAGGCATTCTTCCAACTTGGTTGTTTCGTGGCAGTAGTCCTCGGGCTATGCGGAGTTGTGTCCATGACCTACCCCGACAAACAATCGGCACCCAGAGAATTCGAGGGGGGCCTTGAGCGAGAGCTGGGAGGACCCGGTGCTGTGAGGGTGAGTAGTAGGTGGCCTGGTTGATAAGAAGTATACTAATCCTCCCCTAGGCTAGAGCTCCTGGAGATGCATACTAGGCAGTAGGCGGCGGGTTTCTGTAGATTTGTAAATACGAAACTGGGAATTTACATGCGAGTATCGTTCCCATCACACCATTGGTCTTATCCAGATTTTGCTCGTGAACTACGCACAAGTTGATGGCATTGGACTGACAGTAGCTATGTTGAGACTTGGAGCTGCCGTCTCATTGCGCCGGCGGTCAGGTAGGCAGGTAAGGTACCTAGTTTGTCAATTCCTGCCTTTTCGCCTTCTGCTTTAGGTACCTTTCAGTGGCCTTGCTATCTGCCTAGGCCACGGTGGTCCCTTCCATTTCCCATCATCTCCTACTTTGCCTTGCCTACCTACCTTACCTAACAAGCTATCTACGGTACCACCTGCACCCCCAAGGCGCCGTGTTATGTCTTCCACATCGACTGGAGCGCGTCCTTCAATTATAATACTCCTCCTCTGAGAGGGCCTTGCTTGCAAGTTCATCCAACATACCATTCCATTCGTACATCAATTGAAATTTCCAAAATGCGTTACCAGGATTGGGATGTTCTTGTGTTCCCTGATGTGTGCAAGATTCCTCTACAAGAGTTTAAGACGAGCTGCCATGTTGTCCCAGACCCTGGTAAGTGTCACATCTGTCTCTCCTCAGTCGACGTAACAGCTCAACTGACCGGCAGCGCAGAATCTCACGGGTCGCTGAACAATCCATTCTTACTTCCAACAGTGACATCTTTCATACCTAGCTTGTCCGCCGGAGATGCTTTCCGTATTTCTATTCATTGTTGGCAGAATCCGGAGATAAGCCGATACGTTCGGCTCCTGAGCAAGCCCTCCGATGATATCGTTTTCGAGGCACGACTCTTTGTCGACGGTAGGATTGTTGGGTAAGTCCTCGAAACACTGTGGCAGCTGTGCAAACTGACAGAAGAATACTTCAAGCTCTAAGTGGTTCAATCACGACGGACCATGGCCGTCAGTTATCGAGCTGAGCATTGGTACGTTGGTTCGGAATGAATTCCTTGTCCCTTTGTTTTCTCCCCGACCAACCAGTCCCGATCATCAAAGACTTTCCAATCTGTGAAATTCTCCCTCTTTCCCTGTTTTGGGTAGAACACCGAACTCGAATAACTGATCAATCTTCATTAGATTTAAACAAGAATGGCGACTTTGAGAAATTGAAGTTTCCAACATTCCATAAGGAACTCCTCTTACAGAACTACTGGAATCCAGGGGACGATCTCGGCCGTATCAAAGTCGTGATTGCAGAGGGATTCTCTCGTGATAACATGACATACCCATTTGAACGAATCAAGAACATAGTCTCGTTCTCGTTCCAGCATGCTCCTCTAGGTGAGCTCAATGTCCATTGCAACTCGTCTCTTGAGATGTCTTTTATAGCTAGGGAATATTTTCTGACAGCTCCGGTTCAGATGTCCTGGAGACCTCTTGTATTGCTTGGCCAAATGCTACTATGTGGCGCCAAGTACCTCTTCTTGCGCCCTACCTCGCACAACAAGTTTCACCAAAGCAGAGCAGTGATGGAGTCGAAACTCACAGTCATTCGCCCCGCCATGGGCCTGCCCCTATACAACCTCCACCGCCTATTGCCAGCCTTGGCCCGATCAATCCCCCAAATGTCCTAGCATATCCACGACAGTCGGCTCGTGACCTATCCACAGAAGCAGAAGCAGAAGTAGAACAAGAGCTAGAGCAAGAACAGCCCCCCGTGGGATGGCATAGACCACGTCGAGCATCGTCCACAGCTGATGTCTCCATGCCTGATTACTCCAAACCAAATACGGGGACAAACAGTAGCCGGCATGTAACGGATCCAATGGTTGTATCAGAAAATGAAAGATCAGAACGTCGGTTTCAGTCACTGCAAAATGCTGGCGCATACGAGTCAGTTTGTGAAGCTCTTTCAATGCCCTCTGCGCCATCCAACACACCCGCGGAGCCGACACCCGTGGCTGCCACTCGAACGTCGTCAGGTAGATTCCGCAGTCCTTGTAAGTGCCAAATTCATGCTCTCCTTGACATTCCCTGTTCTGATAGGCCCCTAGTCAAGGCAGAACCCACCGAGACGGATCCTATCGGAGAATTGATTATAAACAGCGCCAAAAGCCAAAAGGAGAACGTTCAAGATCACTGTCCATTTTCCGAATTGAGCTCGGCAACCCATGAAGGGACTGGTCGCAGAAACCCGCAACCCTTCTCGACGACGAGTAGCGGAACAAAGAGACAGAGAATTGCTTCCAAGGTCATTGATGTTGAAGACGAGCCAAGAAGTTCACCCTCACTAAGAAAGATATCCCGTGGGAATACATTGCAGGATGGCAACGAGTGTGAAAAGAGGATCCTCGGCGAAATTGAGAATATACGCTGAGGATGTCATCGGGGGTCTAAGCGATACCTATACCCTGATGTGATGTGGGTGCGCGAGATCGGAAGTGCTGAACATACCCCGTTGCCTTATTAGCAGACGAGCAGCCTTTTATCCCTTAAACAGTTGTCTACACCATATGTAGACAGGTCGATTGAATTACAGAGAAGACAGGAGGGAATCACGGGGACATTCTTTTGTGTCGGCAAAGCATTATCACATTATGTCCAGTCTGCCCTCATTAGATAGCTATAATACAAGGTCTCATCGACGCTTACTCAATCCTGCATCCTGCGGGGGTATTCATGAGGAACCACCAATCTGCCGTTTATCTTAACTGATGGGTCTCACATCCAGGGTATGACTTGAAAATCGTAGACGCCGACGCTGAATGCCCAAAACCACACCGTTCACCCCACGGTCCTTGTAAACCGATTCAATATTACGCCTCCGCAATGCAATGCCCGTAGATCTCCGCCCAGTAAAGTCGTGACCATGCCCTTCATTTCTTCCTTCCACTCGAGCCCGTCGATGTGATCTTGGACGTCGACATCAGATCGCCAATGTACTTCTGCAGGAACTTGTTGTTGTTGTCGAGCTTGTTATGCTCCTCCTTGACAGCCTCAATACGGTTAAAGATCTCAAGGAGAGACTTCTGGAGGATCTTTGCATGCCTGGAAAGTGGGAAAAAAGCGCATTAGTTAGGATGATCATTCTAATCAATATTCAACGCGGGCTTTCAATCTGCGGGTACGGGGAAAGGGGCTTCCACAAAATTAAGGGGAATGTAAAGGAGCGGAGTGAGTGGGAAAGAGGGAAAGAAAACAGGGCATCGTACTCATTCAGTTGCGCTCTGGCCTCCTGTCCCATCCGCTCCAGGTCACGGCTGCTGCGGCGCGGGCTCATGGCGCGGGCATCGTCCTCGTCGAAAACCTCGTCGCCCTCCTTCAGCTCGACGCGCGGGTGCTCACGCGGGACGATTATGGTGCCGCTGGACTTGCGGGTACCCATCTTGGGGCGCACGATGGGCGGGGTCTTGGTCCCTTCGTCGCCATCGTCGAAGGGGGAGGGGGACGCGGGGGAGGAGGACACGGCGGATTCGTTGTGGAAGGTGGAGGTAGTGGTGGCGGGCTGGTCGCGATACTCGGTTCGGGAGGCGGGCTCGTCCGAGGCGGATGTGGTGGCGGTGGTTGATGCGGTGGGAGCTGTGGGGGTCGGAGGCGATGGAGATTGCATACTGCTGTAGGGAGACAGGAGAGCGGCTGTTCGTGATCCTGTCTCGTTGGATGTTTTGGTTCGTGGTTCTTCTGTAGTTCGTCTCCGTCTGTGTCTTTATAGTGGTTGTTGTTGTTGTACCTTGGACGGGACGCTGTGGGCAGTAGCGAGGCGAGGCGAGGCGAGGTGGAAAGAGGAAGAAGGCAGAAGGCAGAAGGCAGAAAAAATGAAGATAGGACAGGTGAAGGCGGGTGGTGGTAGATGTTTTTGTTTTTTGAGAGAGTGTGAGGGAGAGGGGCAGGACTTTGATGGAGGACGGAGGAGGCAAGAGAGGCGAGGAGGGGACAACCAGTCTTTGCGAAAATGCGCCAGCTGGGAGCCTGCGAGGGGAGAGAGGGGAGGGAGAGGGGAGAAGGGAGAAGGGCAGAGGGAGGGACGGAGCAGGAGAAAGTGAAGAAGAGAAAAGGGTCACACAGGGTCGGGGGCTAACTTCTACGAGTTCGATGCAAGCGGACGCCCACGCCCACGCCCTCCGCCCTCGCCCTCGCCCTCGCCCACACCCACGCCCACAACACAACGACGATGTCCAAGCCCAAGGTCCAAGGTCCAAGGATGTTGGGTATTTGGTAGGGCGATCCACGCTGCGGTTCCACCCTGGGAAGCACCAGAAGAATCCCGAGACCCTTCCCAGGAAACGCGGGCCACGGCCTGTCTCTCTCCTGGATCTGATAGGCGTGACGGGCTCAACCGGTGATGATGCTCGACCGGGGAGAGATTCTTTACAGTTTACAGTCAGTTCCAACCTCCTCCTACACTACTACTCTGTACAGTAAGTACGCCCGTGTGGCCGTGCGGATTCTTTTCTCTTTTATTCTCTCATTTTGTTTGTTTTATTCTTTGATTTATTTGATCTTCACGGTCTTACTACTTGGTATCTGATCGTGTGTGCTCTAGCCTCTAGCTGCTCCTTGGTGTCCGCGGATTCCTGAACAGGACTAATAATGCTCGCAGCCATCGCAGAGCAGTCGTCCGCGGTGGGCGCTTCATCCGCTTCCCTCACTTCCATTATTCGCTCTGCCCTTCGCTTCGTCGGCCTGTGTAGTAGGGGAGGGTGGGGGAGCGAGGAGGGGGGGCCCGGTTCTTTGCGTCAAGCTCCATGGCAGAGCGGACGCTCCTACATATCCTCCGGCCATATGATACCATACCGCAACGCCTATGCGGATCCGACCGACCGACGCCGTCTCCTTCTGCTCAAGCCTCATCATACCCCCCCCCGAGTCCCTGACTGCTCGGCACGCACCAGCAGGATACCAGTCACCTCGATCGATCTGACTCGATGTGACCCGTCTCACGTCTGCAGCCAGAACAGTACTGTAAGCAGCCTACGGCGATCGCGAGGTGTTACCGGAAGGATACTAGAGGCGCCGGAGATAGGCCTGCTAAGGAGAAAAAGAAGAAGAAGAATATAGCACCACTAGTACCCGGAGTGACGGAGGAGGGGCTAATAATACCTAACACTCTGCCTAGGCACAATCACAGCGCCGCTCATGCTACCCGCTCCTGTCTGTCATGAACCGACCCAATCCGACCGCAATGAGAGGGAGATGCTACTGCAATAATACTAAGGCGCCTATTCCATAGGACACCAAGTCAACCAGATCTATCAAATCAATCATCCACACGCCCATCATCGCGAACAACAGCGAAGCAGCGGCTGACAACCATGCCCCTCCCACCCCCCATCTGAACCCATGCGCACCCCTCCCCGAGACAAATGCACCGGCTGAAGACCGAGGACGTGAGACGCGAGACGGCGACGTTAGTTGACCTCATCGTCCTCATGGCGTACCCGATCTACAAAACGCCTTTCCCGTTGTCGCCCCTGGAGCCTTTCCTGGCCAGGCAGCTAGTTGCAACTTGCAGTGCAGTAACTTCTGCTGCGTCAACCGCCAGCGTGTGCAGAGTCCACACTACAAACAGTGGGACTATGGAGACGCCTACGTAGCCAGCAATGTTACCGTATCCTATCTGGTACAAGTAACGTCCTCATGATCCTATATACAGCACAGCACTACTCTAGTGTGTCCAGAGTACGGGGGTAGTAGGGCGCTTCTTACTGTGAGAAGCTTAGCACAGAGGGGGGATATCTCGCCTCTCCTTCTCTCCTGAGAGTTCTTGCAACCCCAGAGAGGGGGGCCGAACGACACCGTCCACCTCCCTACATACAGAGTGTACATACTCCGAGCCACAAAATCATCCTGACTGCACACATGGTGTAGCGTGCTGTACATACAACGTACATACTCCGTACATGCGTCTGGCCGTGTGACGATCAGGTTCTCCCAATTACCGTACTCCCAGGAGCCCAGGACCGTCAGGACCCAGCAGCCGCACCTCACAGGTCCGCGGCTGGCCCAGTGAGACCCGAGAAGCGCCCCGCCGCGAGGATGGGCCCTGCCAACCAGCAGCCGACGCATGCCACCCACGATCCCCTATCGCCCTCATCTCTGGCCGCAAAGGCTTATCAATTCGTTACATTGTAGTCGTCGGACGCAGCATCCAGCGCCGCTGCATATAAGAGGAGCCCGCTTGAGTTGCTGCAACTCTGCTGACCGTCAGTGTGGGATGAAGGACGGTTACAGTAGGTGCTTGTAGCCCCCTCCCCTACTAGCACGCGCGTGGATGTCGATGTGCATGGCCGATAGGGATAGCCCATTTTCCTGCCGTGCCTCAATCCAATGACATTACTGGGGACCCCATGTCGGGGGGTTAGATATTTCATCATCTGACGCCATCCCCTCGGTTTCCCTTACACACAATTCGTGCGTGACTTGCTAGTTAGGACGTTGCGCGGAGTACTTATTAGAATAACCTGTCCTCGCTATCGCTTCTCATTGATTAATATTGCGAGAGCCCACAACTAACTGTGCTGAAGAGATATCACGGCGCCTTCTCTCTCCTTCTCCCTCGGAGAGTCGATTCATTCTCTCATTATTCGCTCTTGCCTACCTATCCATCTCCGACCGTCGATGATCATCGTCAGACTTGGCGCAGGGACTCCCTTTCTGTGACGACAGAATCAATCCCATCCTTGAGACCACCTCGGTGAGGAACAGGCGGTGAACTGACGATGCTCCCTCCTCTCTCACGATAGACATATGACGGAGTGATTCCAAAAGCCAATCGGGGAGTCAAATCGCGAGGCTGAGGACCCAACGACACGAATAAGTACGGAGTAAACCCCTAAGGCGGGCAAAAACAAGGCCAAGAGCGCAGTGCTCAGACTCATTTTTACTATGGGGCAAAAAGTGCTGTCACTCGAAACTTCCAAGGCACGATCATGAGACCTGGGTGTTCAACAGCGCTGCGCGCAAGGCTCTCTTCCACTATGGTTCAATAGGTGCTGTTCCGGTTGGTGCTTAAGCGTATTACTTTAACCTACCTTCAAGATGTGGTTCTTGATTCTCCTGACTCTCAACCATCAATAGGTGGCAGGTTTGAGCCCCACGACGACTCGAAAGACCTGTGTAGAAAATGCTCTACACGGTAGTTAAGAAAGACCGTAATTAAGTGTGTCTTTCGGGAGCCAGGAGCAAGAAGCATCATGCTTGTAGTAATTTCTTTGCGCCCCTTAAACCCAGAATGATATGAGCATTCGATATAGAGATCCAAATCCACATCACGATTCTCGATTACGAGAACATTTCATCTCTCTAAGATCATCATATATGATATCCCATTTATAGACCAAGGACCAGATCCACCAGCGCTCGAGGAACAGGACTATGTAAACCATTCTCCCGATTCTATTGCTGTTGAACTTATCTTATCAGGCGAATCAGGAGCCCATTACTGGTAAGTCTTCACCTTCCTTCTGGTCACTTCTTTATATTTGGCCCTGATGAGCAAGAGTGAAAACTGTTTCAGCTGTTATTGCAGCAGCGATGAAATCAATCAACATTTTCCTGATCAGCAAACTTCAGGCTTTATCCGCTTCTGTCCTTGTAATCAGGGATTCCGCTAACATATTGATTTTCAGGTACATATCCCAAGCGGCTTACCATTTCCCTGTCATCATTTACCCCCCGAGAACGAAATTCGGTTCCTATTTTATTATTAGATTTTGGAAATTGTGCGGGCATTGCAGAGCGGTCCTCGATTTTCTTGTACCATGGGACTTGTCACCCGGCAATAGTACCTAATCAACAGATAGACCCCTGAAAATCTCCGGAGATGGAAGTTCATCTGGAATGATAGCCCGTTGACGAGTTTCCGTTTGGGGCAGTCTGTATATTAACACAGCCATCCCGAGTTCCTTGATTACTACGTGAGAATAACGGAAGTAATAATGCCTATGGTGTTGAGAATTGAGGACGGTACGGAGTATCCCTCTGCACTGTACGACCTCCGTACACCGGACGTCTTTTTCTTCGAAGCTTCTCAGGTTCGAAGTCCTCGGTCGAATTACATACTGTCAAGATCTGTAGATCGAGTAGGTACATAGATTAGATCTTATACTAATAATAGTAGTTTCTGTAGACCCGCCACTAATCAGATAGTCCTGGCCTACGGAGGGCAGTCGGAGCAGAAGTAGAGAATGATGACACTCGACGGTTCGGGAAGAAAGGACTTGAAAAAAAGGCATCAGACCCGTAGAAAGCCCTGCGGGACAGGCCCACAGAGGCTCGTCGTCAGGCAACGCACTTCGACCCTTATCAATGCCGATGAAATATAATATTATATGTTTATAAAGAAGGCTTCATGTTATAGTAAAATCAGTACATGCTTACGCTGTGATCAGTGATCATGCGTCAAAATGCGAACCTTGATCGCAAGGCCCAGACCATGTCCTTTGTTCCGAAATCAGGCAGAAAGAGGGTAGGGTGACGAGACTCCTTGAACGGAGTGATTTGATTCTGGCAAACACGTCTCTCCGCAATCAACACACTCTGTCCTTCCGGCTCCTCCAGGCAACAAAACAGCATCTGATCTATCTGTCCCTATCGAGATTTGGTACAGCACCTGCGCGTTTGTGAAAGCTGTCAAGCCCTTGTGGTACGGCGCGGGCTCTCTATATAAAAAAAACAAGACCCCACCTCTGATGTTTACTCAGCTGCTAGACAACCTCGACCTGCACCACCGCGCAAAGAAACCATACACCTACCTACCTGCGCAAGATCCACGATCGCCGAAGCCATGTCCGCGTTTGTCACCGACCTCTTCCAGTCCATCTTCACGCCGGGTCCCACGTCCAGCCTGATCGTCGCGACCAATGCCTCTTTCGCAGCGCTTCAGCTCGTCCTCTTCCTCCTTCTCCTGGCGACCTACAGCATCCACTTCGTGGTCCTCTCGTTCCTAAGCGCCTCGCTGTGGTGGGCGATCAACTGGTTTGTCAACGAGCTCAACATCGCGAAAGCCGAGGAGGAGAAGAAGAAGAAACGGCTGGAGGAGACCGCTGCCGGGGACGATACAGAGACGGAAGCGGAGACGGTGATAGAGACAGGTAAAGGGGGTGCGGGGTTCGGCAGCAAGGAGGTCGAGGTGGTGGCTCAGACAGGGCAGCTGAAGGATCGCGCGGATTCGGGGAGCAAGTCTGAGATTAGCACGGAGGATGAATGGGAGAGGGTCTCGGAGAACGAGAAGGATAAATGAGGAGTCAGGTGTGTTGGAGGACTATGGAATAAGCCTTACGGCGTTTTTTATACCCCGGGTCTGCAGCGAGCTTGCATGTTCATGAGTTATGATATGGTGATGGGTTGATTAGAATTTGTCATTAAGCACTGGATAATAGTCCATGGACTGCTCTCTTTATGAAGTAGAGAGTGAACCCACAGAGAACCTCGAGATTTTTCATACTGGTGTTGTCTGTCCTGCCGAAGTCAAAACCTCCTATCTATCTTGTGAAGATCCTTGATATTGAAGCTACAGGTCACGTGCTAGAGCATCCCAAAATATTTCGCGATGCCACCAACCTACAGGCTGGAAACGTTTTGCGTGCTGCACATACCACGTTCACCGCCACCACGCAACCCTAGATTTGAAAACCATCCCGGGGAGTTCAAAGTCGCAAATCCGCCACGATGAAGCTCGTCAGGTAAGCTCTCCTTCCCAGATTGGCCTTCCTCTGGCACAAGCTGAGCTCTCTTCTTCCAAGGCTCCCACGCGAAGCTCCTGACTGACACTTTGACCCCGCTGGTAGGTTCCTGATGAAATGCGCAAACGAGACGGTGACGATCGAGCTTAAGAATGGTAGGCGGCCCAGCATCCCTCGCAGTTCTGGTTGTTGGCTCCTACTGACGCATTGGCAAAAAGGCACCATCATCCACGGCACCATCACGTCGGTTTCCCCGCAGATGAACACGGCGCTGCGCACCGTCAAGATGACCCAGCGCGGTCGCGACCCCATCTCCCTCGACACCATCAATCTCCGCGGCTCGACGATCCGCTACTACATCCTGCCGGACTCGCTGCCGCTGGACACGCTGCTGATTGACGATGCGCCGAAGCCGAAGAACAAGGCGCGGAAGGAGGCTGCGGATAGAGGCAGAGGTGGCCGAGGGCGCGGAGGTCCCAGAGGACGGGGTGGCTTCAGAGGCGGTCGTGGCCGAGGCGGAGGAAGGGGATTCTAGAGATGATGAACATGGATGGGGATATGAAGGCGGTCTGGAGGCTTGGGCGGAGGAGCCCATATGTGTCCTTCTCTATTACCTTGCGTGGTCGTGACTAGGAACGTGCTGGATCTCTGGCTTCGGACAGAGAAGTCATGAATGGCTTGAGGGGTCATTGGCGTTTGTGGATATAAAATCAGGCAATCAACATCAACATTTCGCGTGCACATGGTCCTGACGACCTTGATTGGGGGTTATTTGGGCTCTTCTTCCTGTGAGAGACTCTCCACGCGCCATATCCTGATTATCTGCAGCTTTTCCCATCCCCCTTTCTTCCCACTACTTCCAACTGTCTCTGCCTTCCACTCCTTTCCCCAATTCCTGATCCGCTGCTTCACATTCTCTGGCTTGTTCTGCGCACAGAGTAATATGTAGGCACAGCCTCGTTCCCTGCTCAAGACTTCCGGCAAGGCATCAAGCAAACGATCTGTAGTTTCCATTCCATCTGCCCCTCCAGCATAAGACAGAGACAACAAATACGAATCCTCTTCAAACGAAGGCGCCGCAACCTCCTCCGAAAGCGTAGGTAGCGCTGGCAGGTCCGGCGTCGGCACATAAGGAGGATTGAAGATCAAGACATCCACCATCGCCGGCCTTAACGCGCCCACCAGATCTCCCGCAACAATCCCCAGATGGAACCCATGCGATTCCCCCTTCGCGACCTGTTCCTGCTCCGCCACGCTCACCGTGCGGCCCGCCGCCGCGCACGCATATCGATTCACGTCCACGCCCGCGCTGAGGATGTCTGCCCGCCCGAAGATCGTCTCCGCGTGGGCGTCGACGAACGAGAGCACGACGCCCGACCCCGTCCCGATCTCGACCACGAATGGCGACGGCGGGTCGTGCGCGACAACATCGCTCGTCCCGCGGCTGAACCGCTGCTGCAGGAAGGCTTTCTCGCTCTCGGAAGACAGGGTATCGAGCAGCAGATACGAGTCCTCGGCCGGCTCGTAGATTCTGTCGAACTCTACATGAGAAGTAGAGGGCGTAGGCAGCATTGCCCGTGATACGTGGCGCTGCCCTCAAGAAAAAGAGAGAAAGAAAAAAGGGCTGATTGTTGAAGGTTGCGGGGTTATTATCTTCGAACACGTCCAGCCAGCCGCAAGGCTGAAGGTTTTGAAACTTCGGGTATGGATTTCTTGGGCGGCCTGGAAAGTTTTGCCGATCTGCCAGTGACGACTTTGTTTCCGAGTCGCTTCCATCCCTGAGCTCTCCTCTCCCCCAGATTTTGGCTCTCTCAATACCACCACGGATTGGCAAGATGAGGTTAAGCCCGCGCTTGATGATGGCGTCGCCGACGGCGGCTGGGACCACGAAGGGCTTCAAGCCGGCGCCTATGGCTCTCTTGCCGCCAATTCCACTATACCGAAGACTCCTGCGCGCACATCGGAAGCACCTGCCCAAGGAGATGCGGCTCCTGGGTGATGAGTATGTCAAGAGCGAGTTCCGAGCTCACCGGAACGTGGAGAATCCCGTGCACATCGTACGTGATTGATTTATGGAGAGACGGGATCAAGGGATGTTTTTTGGGACCGGGAACCCATGGCTAATGCGAGCTGGCAGATTGGATTCCTGACCGAGTGGCAGATGTACGCGCAGAAGCTGGAAGGCGATTCCTGGATCGGGGAGAAGATGGACCCGGCCAAGATCGAGAAAATGAGTGGTATGCTTGCGCCCTGCGTCGTCCCCCCTCTGGACTGTTGGTGGCTGACGGCGGAGAAGATCAGCAGCTCGGTCAGATGTATGAGCTCATGCAGGCGATACGGAACAGGGAACTTGGAGACGACGAGCAATAGCAAGAAACGACATTGTGTGAATATGTACAGATATGGAAAACATGAAAGTTGCTAAGAGATATGGTTTAGAATCTCTCCTTGAAGCCGGTGGGTCATAGAGGTGCGGTGCATAGGGGCGTCAGTGATTCACCTGTGGCTGTCATGTGGGGAACTTTGTCTGGGAATCACTGGGAGCAAGATGCTCCTGGATCATGTATTATTAACATCCATCCACAGAGGTATAAATCCAAGTGGAATCGTTCATACAGGGTGAGACGCCTAGCACCGTCCACAAAGAGCACGCCCTCCTCATCAAACATCCTAGTCACTCAACACCCAACAGGCTGGAGTTCTGCACAATGTGCACAGCTGATTACTACAAGTCCATGTCCTGCGAAGGCAAGTGCAGATGGCTGGAGATCGGGGTCCCTTGCGGCTACGGAATGGGGTTCAACAACTGTGATGCCTTCGAAGGCCGCCATACCCGGCAGTTGCCGCGACGCTTTCATAAGGTTGGCAAGGACCAATGCCCCAAGCATGGCCTCGGAGGCAACTACGATCACAACAGGGTCGCCATGATCAGGGATATCAAGTACTGCCCTTGCATGTAAAGGGGACCAATATGCATTGCTATGGTAGGTATGTTATATTTATATATATACGACTATTCAGCATCTAGAGGCGCAACAGGCGGCTGGTCGTTGACCTGGATTCCTCCTCTCTTCTTCTCCGCCGAATCATGGAATGGCAACTTCCAACCTCCCTCGCTCTCAGGAGTCGCGAGCCACAATCTCATCAGGTGTCGTCTTGGCGCCGGTGGCAGAGGGTCTGTGTACTCAGTACGGGCATGCAGGACATGCTCGTTGCTCAGGAACTGGATGTCTCCAACCTCCAAGATCATGTGCAGTCTCAACCGGTGGCATGTTTCCTCCAACACCTTGGCAGCTTCGAGCTGCTCGGGAGAGAGGGGAGGGATGATACCCGCGTTCGAGAATCGTTCAAGCGACTTGACATAGTATGGGTCCCATTTCGAGTACACTCTTGGGCTGTCACCGGTCTCGAGGTAGAAGACTGAGGTTCGGATGTATGGTTCTTCGCCAACGCTGACTTCTCCCTTGCGGTCGAAGTACCAGATTGGCTTTGTCAGGGTCTCTGCGACATCTGGGCGCTCCTTTTGAAGGGTGTTCCACACGTGGTGGGAGGAAACGATGTCAGACTCACCACCCTCGGCGGCTCTGGTGATGCAGAGCAACCCAACAATGTCCGAGTCGTCTGCGTGGAAGAATTGTCTGGATTGAGATCAGTCGTTATGAACACGTCGATGGATGATGTCTCCATGCATGACTTACCGAGCATTGGTTCTATAGATTCGAACTTTGTCGATTTGGGTTGCATCCTCGCCAAGATCCTTGACGTGTCCAAGCACATGGCCACGACCATTCTGACTGACGAAGTAGCCAAGGTATGTCCCAAGTCCCATATATGCAACGGCGGATTTGTGGTTGCCCCATTCGTTGACGGGGAAGCCTTTGAAGAGGATGAAACCCTTGCCGTTGAGGATCTCAGATCGGATGGACGCCAGCAGTACCGACAACTTTGGCAGAGGGAAGGTGTCCTGTAACACATGAGTAATAGGACTTGTCAAGCATGTGGTTACACTAACCTTGGAGATACCAGTCAGAGGAATCTTCTCGGCGATGAACTTATCGGCAACAGCGCTGAGTTCAGCAATCTCCTCAGCGTCGAAGACATGCACCCATCTCTCAGGGTTGTTAGTATAGTCTTCAGCCTTCCAGACAGTTTCCCCTGTGATCTCTTTGGGGAATGCTGAGTATGGTTTGAGTTGATGGTAAAGTGGGGGGTGTTGACCAGAGGTTTTGATTCCGTCCGGGAAAATCTTCCTGTCTACCAGCTTCTGAGCGGGGTTGGAGAGTTCGTGAGGGGCAGTGGGCTGAGTTTCGAGGACTGAGGGGGCCATGGTGATGTGATATATGTCTTGTCTCCTGAGATCTACCGTCTATAGAGAGTATATGACAATTGAGAGAGAGTTAATGAGGGAAGAAGAAGAAGAAAAACTGCCCGGGGGACTGCCTTTTATATCCGCTTTCCATTATTTCCTCTCAGTCTCCAAATATGCCCGATGAGGTTCAGATAGATCCCTGGCATTCGCAATTGCGTGCTCACTAACCCATGGCGATATCCCGCGCATCACCAGTCACATGATATTGCTAAGTCGGCTACGGTTTACGGGGTACCTTCGTTATCCCAGGGCGGTGAGGCTAAACCGGCAGTATTTTTTTCAATAGCAAAAGTCAATATTGTCACCTATCGACAAAACCCGTTTCTTAATATTCACTTTGAAGTGGTAGACTACGAGATCGACCCACAATGCCCAGTTCTATTCGCTCCCACCTCCACTAACACCTCTTTCCTTCAATCTCTCCTCACCTCGCACTACATTCTCAGAATCAAGATGCCAGAAAAAGTACACAAGAAGTTCGACGACGGCGACAAGGCTGAGCCTTCAGCGTCCAAGCCAGGGAACAGCAGCAATGGATCGGCGAAAGACTCAAAGCCTACCTTTACCAATGGCCAGAAGCATACTTCAGAACCAGCAAACGGCTTGAAGCGATCTATTGACGGCAGTCCGAAGTCTGCGTCTACTTCCAAGTCCACAGAAGCCCCACCACCCAAGACCGACCACCATCACTCGAAGAAAGCAAAGGTGGCAGCTACAACAAATGGCGTCTCTAACGAGAAACAAACTAAAACGAATTCCAAGTCCAACGGCGCGAAGCAGTTTGCACATCAGAAGCCAGATTTGCAACTTATGAAGAAAGCTAAAGAGCTTGAGAAGCTCCGAAAAGAACTACCCATCTGGCAACACAAACCTGATATTCGGTGGGCATTGCGACACAACGATGTGCTTTTGCTCAATGGAGAGACTGGTTCCGGAAAGAGTACTCAAACACCACAATTCCTCATCACCGAGCCATGGTTCAAGAAACAGACTGTCAAGATCAAAAACAAAGAGGGAAGAGAGGAAGACGTCTCTGTTGGAGGTGTTATTGCGGTCACAGAGCCTCGACGAGTCGCAGCGATTACATTGGCAAAACGTGTTGCTGCCGAGATGGGGTCACCTTTGGCCAAGGGGATTGAATCAGGACAAGTAGGATACTCTGTCCGGTTTGATTCTATTATACCCAAAGGCATGAAGATCAAATATCTCACCGAGGGAATGTTGCTTCAAGAAATGCTTCGCGACCCCCATCTTCGACAATACAGTGCCATCGTTATCGATGAAATTCATGAACGGAGTATCGACGTCGATCTAGTTGCTGGGTTTCTTAGGCAGCTTGTCCACGGAGATAAGAAGGGTCGAGGCGGTGTTCCACTGAAGGTCGTGGTCATGAGTGCAACCTTAGATCTGGGCGGGCTCGAGGCCTTCTTCTCGAATCTAGAGACTCGGTCAAAATACGAGCCTGGTAAAAATCACGGAAAACTTCTCGCACCCCATCTTGTGGAGAAGGCTAAGGAAGAGAAGGCTAAGGCTAGGGAAGAGAAAGCTAAGGCTAAGGGAGAGAAGGCTAAGGCTAAGAAAGAGAAGACTAAGGAAGGTGGTGATGTTGCTGGAGATGAGTCGCGCCGGTCTTCGACGGACACATTCTCTACCTGGGACGGTTTCAGCTCATCGGATGAGGATGCCAAGGGAGAGTCAACGAGCTCCGATGAAAGTGGAACAGAAAAACCCGATAAGAAATTTGGCGCCCCAAATGGAGTGGCCGTCGTGTATGTTAAGGGGAGACAACATAAGGTGCGGGTTTACTACGATGTTAAACCGTCCACGGACTACCTTCAGAATATGCTGCAGACTATTCTCAAGCTGCACACTACGGAGCCTTTACCTGGAGATATTCTCGCTTTCCTTACGGGACAAGAAGAGATTGAGACCCTCCAAGGGCAACTTGAGCATTACGCGGGCATACTCGCGAAGACTGTGCCTAGGATGAAAGTGATGCCACTCTACGGTGCGCTGCCAGCTCAAGCTCAACAAGATGCGTTCGAGAAGGTCAAGGAACCGTTCACACGCAAAATTGTTCTCGCCACGAATATTGCTGAGACATCCGTCACGGTGTCTGGTGTACACTTTGTCGTTGATTGTGGCAAATCGAAGGTTAAGCAATATCGCTCACGCCTTGGTATGGAATCTCTCTTATCGAAACCCATCTCCAAAGTCTCCGCGATCCAAAGAGCAGGTCGAGCAGGAAGAGAGACAGAAGGCAAATGTTACAGGATCTATACCGAGGAGGATTTCGCCAAACTTGAGGCGGACGAGAAGCCAGAGATACTTCGAAGTGATGTGATCGAAGCAGTATTGAAGATGAAAGCTCGGGGCGTTGACGATGTCCTTAACTTCCCATTGATGGATTCGCCTGACATCAGAGCCATGGAGATAGCCCTTCTACAACTCCACGTCATGGGCGCCCTCGACGAGGAAGGCAAGCTCACGGATACGGGAAAGAAAATGGCTACATACCCACTCCCAGCCGCGTATGGCCGGGTCATCATTGCAGCCGCAGAATCAGATTGCCTCCTGGAAGCAATTGACATAATTTCCTGTCTGACATCTGATTCTGAAATATTCCTTCAACCCAAGTCTGAAGAAGATCAAGAAACGACCGAGACATTGCGTGCAGCGATCAAAAACCCACGAGGCGATATCTTGACTTACTTGACCACTATGCAACACTATGCCGCCGAGAACACAGATCGCAATGATTGGTGCGCCAAGCGGCTCATATCCATCCGTGCCATGAAGATGGCTATGATGATTCGCAAACAGCTTCGTCAAACCTGCTTCCAGCAGAAGCTTCTGAAGGAAATGCCACCACCTGATCCACAGCCATTCGAAGAGATCTCATTTGCCAAAGGCGAAACCATACTCAAAACATTTTTGAAGGCATTCGCTACAAGAACGGCGGTATTGGGAGCAGGCGGCTATCTCACGACCCAAGGCCGCAACGAGATTGTGATCCATCCGTCGAGTGTGCTCTATGGCCGGAAGGTGGAGGCCATCATGTTTCTTGATAATGTCTACACGGCTAAGAACTATGCGAAGAAGGTTAGTGCCATACAGGCGAACTGGATTGTAGAGGCGTTGGAGATGTAGTTGGTTTCTTTTTGCTTCATTGAGACATGGCTACGTACATTTACACCGGAGTGGTTATCTGACTTTGATACCCGGATTTGAGATGATGATTCGCATGGCAAAAGAAGGGCGTTTTATCAAACGCTATTTAGAAGGTCTACTTAGTACAGTACTATAGAACTCCTTGCTAAAATCTTACAATCTAAATGCTGCTGTATCCAAGAAGTAAATATAAGTACAGAGAATACACTAATCCTCAATGGCCGTGGAAGCACTCCTATCCAGATCCCGCCACGTTCCCGTTTCACCGGCCAAGTTGCTGCCACTTCGATTGCTGGGCGGCTCAGCCAAACCAATACACAGCGTCTCCAACATCTTCTCGATTCTCCTAGTCGACTCCTCCAATGCCTGAAGTCTCTCTCTCATATCCTCATCCTCCTCTTCATCGCTCCCACTATCAGTCGGCCGCATCCGGTCTGTAGGTTCGCCAAACGGGTACATGGAGTCCCTCCTCCTCGGCCGCACCTTTCCCTTCGCATCCTCCCTCTCTTTCCTCCCCCTCCCATCCCCACCCCCATTCTGCATCCCCTGCTGCGACGCGTCAACCGCTGTCCCGAATTCCCGCTGCAGTCCGTTCCTGCCCCCCGAATCATCCTCATTTTCAATCAGCTCCTCGATCTCCTGCGGCGGCTCCGTATCGAACACCGCCTCGATATCGCCATGCGCCGTGAGGCCGTGCGAGAAATTCCAGAACCTCAGTCGGCTCGTGCTCTTAGGCAGCTGCTCGACATCGCTAGGCCGCCGGGTGTGCGCCCATAGCGTGCGCCGCTCGATGAGCCCGATGAGGAGCAGCAGCGGCGCATTGAGCGTCCGCACGGCAGCGACGTTGATCTTGTGGAACCAGCGCGGCGATATCATCATCTTGAGAGGGAGGAGGGTGAGTAGGGCGAGGATGTTGAGGGGGGGTTGGTACGCGAACAGGGCGTCGGATTTGACGCCTTCGAGGGTGAGCACGGCGCGGCGGAAGTGGATTTCGGCCGTGGCGTTGGCGACAATGGTCGAGAAGGTGGTGCTGAGCATGGAGACGAGGATTGTGAGGAAGAGAGTATTGCCTAGTAAAGCAAAGCCTACCATGAGCATGGGCCCCAGGATCGGGTGGAACTCGACTGAGCGTTGGATACCGGTTCCGTCAAGCCCGAACCATACCCAGAGCATCCATTTGCTGATGGCAATCGGTCGGTGTGCTCCATTGCTGAGCCACGTCATAGAAAGCAGGAAGCCTGCGAAACACCATACGGCGAGCATGGTCAGGACGGTGAAGTCTCTCATCATTTCTCGGAGTGAGATAAAGAGCATGTTCTCCGACATGAGGTTAAATGCCAGTCGGGGGACGAGCACTGGAGCCCCCATAGCAAGAACATCTAAGGCTTGCTGGCCCTGTGCCAAGTTCCCTGCTCTCCAACCATGGATACGAAGAACCAAATAGATACCGAAGATCACTGAGAATGTCACATCGAGAAAGGACCAGAGATTCTGCGTATAGACATGCCAACCTAGTGACCGGTTAGAATCTCGTTCACAATGTATGAGAAGATGCTTACCATGCTCAAGAATCGAACCAGTCTGGTCCAGAACCCACCCTAAAGTGTATATAATGAATACAATCTCCCTTATGCTAACAACAGACGGATCTCGTTCGGCCATGATGAAAAGAAACAGCGTTAGGAGTACAATAAAGTGACAGATTTCCAGAATATTCCTCGTTCTCGGGACACATAGTCGATATTGGTTCAATAAAGGTGCGCTTCGAGGATTGTATAGGGAGATTGGTTTCCGCTTGTAGTGATCGGGGAGGATGTCAATAAACGTGGTCGGTGTATAAACCACCTGACCCTCAAAAATTGCATTCACCACCCTCTGGCATGCCGAGGAGCTCAGAAAAGTTTTGCTCTCAGTTATGATTGCTATTTCTAGGGCGGGCACTTTTCTATTGTGGCTTGTACGTGAGGAGGAAGTCCACGCATCGATGCCATGTTCCCGAGCAGACTCCTCTGGTACACCTTGAAAAGGATCAAAACCAGATACTAGGATATGAGCAAGCATAAGCAGGCCTCGGGTTCCTGGATTATCTTCGTGGAAGCGGCGGAGGATCCGGGTCGCTATCAGCTCACAAAGTAAAGCCCGAGTGGTGCAGACACTTGATCGATGTGGTTGGGTCAGTTGCTCTCTTTGAAACTGAGCACGGTTTACCAAGAGGCAAAAGACTAGTAGTCACTTGTCAGTAACGACGGCCAAGAGAGACGACATATTGCCCGGATTAAGAGATGAATGAAGCTCTTCCAGTGAAACAAATCATATCCATTTTCCCGGGGTCAAACTTAAGTATTAAAACAGAGTGTAAACGAACTTGACGATCTCGGGCGATGAAACATAGTAACAAGCTCAGGATTCATGAATATCAATATCATTATAATCGGCCTCTCTTGCTTCCTTCAGTCACCCGATTATATCGTATGACTAAACTTGAAACTGCGATGACCTTCGACCACTTGTGAAGGGTTGATAATTGGAATCTTGTCTTGTATGATGTGACAAATGACATAGAACAAAAGGGTATACAAACTTATAGATATATCTTTTAATCCATAGAAAGTATCAACAAGTGGCCGTACAATAGCCACATTCATCCGAGGATCCCGCAGCTGGTCGAGGCTATAAGGGTCATCTACCTTGGATTAGCTATTGCATTGACGGGATAGAAAAAATAAACATACCAATCGCTGTGATGACATCGTGACGGATACTGTGTGCAATTAGAAATATTCATGAAAGTCAAGGAGGTATCTGAGCAAGGGGGCAGTACCGATGAATGGTGGTATAAACGGGCAAATCGGTATACGGATTGGCGGGACAAACATCGTGAATGCCGTGTGGCGGAAAGCAACCATCATGATCAACGTCTTCAGGATTAACCGGTAAGAGCATCTCACTTTCCTCTGGAGAGGGGCTATCGCCCCTGGAAGGTTGTTGACCCATTACTTGATGGTTAGGGATTGGGCGCAAAGCATGATGCGATTAATTAGGATATGGTTCCATCGCCTACAGATCGAATATTCGCAGCCAATCATAGACATTTCCATTCACGAACCTTCTTTCGAAGCACATACATTCTACAAAGCACTTCAGCAATCCAATTCGGAATTTTCTGTAGGAAAGCTCAGAATCAGAGTACCCCCGCGAACATAATGTCATCACCAGCCAAGGATCGTTACAAACTCGTCTACACCGTCCTTCCAGCCTACCTTCAGGCCACGAAAGATGCAATCTTCGCAGCCGGAGGCGGCATCTACGCGGACGGAAAATACATCCAAGTTTCTTTTGAGATTCCAGGAACTGGACAGTTCCTCCCAGTTGCTGAAGCTGGTGCTAAGCCCCACACCGGAACCCCTGACAAATTGGAGAAGGTTGAGGAGGTAAGGGTTGAGATCACATGTACGGGGAGAGAGGTCACAAAGGCAGCTGTTGCCGCGTTGAAGAAGTGAGTCTTGAATTTGGGCTCTTTTGGGCTCTGGTTTGAATCATGCTAATAGAGATAGAGCACACCCATTTGAGGAAGTTGGGTATGAAGTATACAAGATTGAGGACTTTTGATGCAACAACCCGTTTGGTAGCCTCAGAAACATCAAGCAGCACATGGATTATGAGAACAAAGGCTAGTTGGATCGACCAAGAAGCTAATCGCAAGAGAAAATGACACGCGCTCTATATCGATCACTCCATACCATAACGCCTAATCCATATGCATAGAAGTCGTGAGATACTCAATGAATACGATCCAATCTCGCTCTGTTCATAGCAATTTGGTCGTCCACACGATCGCTCTGTCAATAATGTTAGCAACTGGCCTGGCAGAAAACCCTGTGAGAAAATCGCGTACCTTTTCGATGATCTTATCGATGTGCTTGTTTTGCTCATCCACCTCCCTCCCAGTAGCCCTTGCTAAAGCATTTAGTCGCCCAGCAGCATGGCCCAGAGCATCAAGATTGTGATCAATCTCATTCTCCATTTCATCATCTTCTGAATCTGCCTCGAACTGATACTTTGCCCTCTCGGCAAGGCTGGCCTTGCTCCGGAAGCTAGTTTCCCCTGGTCGAAGGTCTCTGAACGCCCGTTCCATTCGCTGCTGCGTACCAAAAGCTGCCTGCCGAGTTGCATCGCGCTGCTCACGCTCAGCTCTGTGCTTCTCGATGATTTCCTGATCACGCTCAGCTCTTCTTGATGAGGCTGTAAATGGGTTAGAGACATGAACAGCGAACATGCTCCTATTCAATGTCTTCAGTTCTTTCGACTTCTCCTCAGCAATTCGGTTGTGATTGGAAGCAAGATCCAAATTCTTCTCGGTATTGTGGATGCGATCACCTTGGGCTCCAAGTCTAGCCAAGGTAGCTCGGCCTGTTTCTTCAGCCTGATGCGCGAGGCGCAATGCATTACGCGTCGACGAAACATCCTCTTGCTTCATGAAGCGAATCTGCTGCTTGGTTGCTTGGACATCCTCCTCCTCTTGTTCCTCGCTAGTAAGCTGCCTCTCATCCCCATATGTGCCATAGCCACTATCAGTACCCTCGGCGCCTGGAGTCGATGATTCGGCGGCATGCCCACCATCTGGCTGTCCATTGTTGTGCGGGTGGTTGTTTTTCTGTGCATATCTTTCCTTCGCTCCTGCAAACAAAGCTTCTCGATTATCTTCTGTGCTAGTTGTTTCATTACTGATCGTCCGACCTAATCCACCATAGCCACTTGGTCCATATCTCGAGCCGCCGGTATCAGCAGAGGGTCCGCCGTATCTGTTGGCCCCATATCCGCCCCCGCTACCATATCTATCAGCCGCATAGCCTCCACCATTTGGTGCTGGAGTGCGACTGACTGCTGCGGGCGCCGGCGGGCCTCCATAGCCTCCATTGTATGGGGCAGGGCCGTTAGGAAGGCCGCCTCTACCAGCCCCAAATCCAGGGGCAGCAGCAGGAGCAGCGGTAGTGGCAGGGGCAAGATAGGTTTGCTTGGCTTGTTGATAAGGTGAGGGACCCGAGGGGCCATATGAAGGTTGCGGCGTATTGGCATAGGGATCAGCTGCTGGTGGTGGTTGTGCGTATGGGTTCGACGATGCAGGCGCTGGGGAAGTGCTCTTGGATCGACTTCCAAAGAGTGCTAAACGATTGGAATCCTCGTCGCCATCACCTCTCCTGCCGAATCCGAATTTCTTCATTGTTGTCGGGCGTCTGGTCGCGGACGGATATTATAGAGAGTGTAGAGAGGATGGGTGAGAGATGACGAAGGCGTTCGAGGGGGGTTCGAGGGTATTTGTGGTTACAATGAATGGCCTGTCTCGTGTGGTAAGAGGCAGGGGACGAGGGGAGGCGACAGCGAGTTTCAGCGCTGGTAGTAGTGCTACTGCGGCCGTGCATTCGGCGCCGGAGTATTGTATTTACGGGGCATTAAGCGAGGTGCCCAAAATAGCGTTGACGGCGGCTGATGCGTGCCGCGGGAACTAGTTCGATCCCTGTCCGTCGCAGTCGCAGTCAGAGTCACAATCCGGACGACGACCTTATAGCAACACTACAAGCATCCTTCATTCCTATACAACATCCCTAGCCACATCGACAATGTCTTCTCAATGAAGGCTTGAGCTCCCTCATAAGCCCAGTCACTCCACCAAATTGAAAGAGCTCGAACGCATCGGCTCAGGCACAATCATCAAGATGCTTCTACGATTGTCGCAACTCTTTCGGATACACCACGCGCATACCAATACATGCTCTCTATCGAACGCAAATATAGCTACAGTACGGCGGCGGTGGTTGAGAAAAGAAACTTGAGGCGCTTCTGTCAGCCACCCGACTTCCACATCCGAAGGCTCAAGCTACCCCTTGCTGCACCCGTTTCCGCGATAAAGGAATCAGGATTGTTCATAGCCTATTAGTGGGGCTTGAAGCCCTCTTCCACCTGGTTAACTAAATTGGACACGGTCCGTAATTCTCCCAATAGAATGTTCGGAGTATTGAGTGCTGAAGGCGACCTAGTAATCCAATCCTCATATTCCAACCCAAGCCAGTATATCCAAGAATGGCCTCGATATTTACCTATGATCCAAATCCACCACGAGTTTCCTCACCATGGTTGGCCCCTGCAGCCTCGCCCAAACCTTCGACTCCCCAGTCCAGTGACCGGAACCCCTCTTCCAGTCTACTAGAAGATTATGGTGTCACCCGACTGGAGGCAGAGCCCCAGGAGGGCCCTACCGAATACAAACTGCATCTGCTTTTGAGGCCGAGACGGACATACAGCTCATTGAGTACTGGCCGTGTAATAGCAGGATCTCAACAGCACCGGCAGCAACCTGGGAATCAGCCCATACGCCATGAACCGGGGCCAGTTTCGGCTCCTTCGAATCAGTCTAGGCAGAACCGCCTAGAACAATTAACCACTCAACTACTATGGCGGCTGCAACAGTCCTCTCCTTATCACGCATCCTCTACCAGCGACCTTGTCCTGCCTAAATTACCAGAGGCTGCGGCGGCCTTGGAATCTCCTTCACGGCCCGGGAAGCTTCTTGCTGGGCTCGAAGAGAGTCGCGGAGCTCTCTATGAAATCGGCGTTTCTGATGACGGGACCTTCGTTGGGTTGACTAAGGATGAGATGGACGAGAGCTTGACAAATCTCCGAGCTATGGCGGCTAGTCTTGGATGTAATGTTGAGGTTTTACGAATGGTTGTGGTTGGAGATTGCGAATGGCATGAGTTATCTAGTGCCACAGAGAAGCCAGACCTAACATCTGGTCAACTACCAAAGCATGAGAAGCAGAACTCCGGATTGTCCAAGGATACAAATGAGCCAACCAACGTACTTCGCCATCACGCAAAGCTGTGGGTCGCGGAGGCCTTGGTCACTCCTGACTTAAGCTCAAAAAATCACATCATTCCCGTTGATACTAGAATTGACGCTTGCCATGAATCTCCGCCTCCCTCCAATTCTCCTGCCACCTTCCAGGATCAAGAGAACTTGGCTGTGGGCGAACCGGTCGATCAACTGCGAATAACGCTCACGGGCCCGACTACCTCAGGGAAATCAAGTCTGCTGGGAACACTATCCACCGCTACGCTTGACAACGGGAGAGGCAAAAGCCGACTTAGTCTACTGAAACATCGACACGAGATTGTCTCGGGAGTAACAAGCTCGGTGGCTCAGGAATTGATTGGTTATAAGGATGATGATGTTATCAATTACGCTTCTGGAAACGTTACCTCTTGGACCGATATACACGCATCGGCCGAACGAGGTCGGCTAGTTTTTGTGTCCGACTCTGCTGGCCACCCAAGATACCGTAGGACAACAGTTAGGGGATTGGTAGGATGGGCGCCACATGTAAGGTCCCCATTGGCTATATATGCCTTCTTTCATAACATTCAGAAGTACATTTTACTGCCAAGACGTGTCTTGAAATTAAGCATATATATTCTGCAGCCCTCTTCCTTTTCCGATTAAGCATTTACTGACTCTCGGACTAATAGTGGACTGTGCTTTGCGTGGCTTGTGACGATGGTGAAAATGCTCCGACTGGTGCGGGGGGAACTTCATCAGCGCAAGACATACTCGGGACTGCTGGAGCTGGCATTGACCTCGCAAAAGCACATCTAGAACTGTGTTTGAAACTGGAGAAGCCACTGGCAATCGTCATCACCAAACTTGACTTGGCTTCTAAAACAAGTCTTAGGCAAACAGTTTCTAAGATCTTGTCCGCCGTGAAAGCGACAGGCCGAACACCGTCTCTCCTCCCTCCAGACCAGTCCAAGGTGGTTTTGGAGTCAGACCTCAAAACCATTCTTCAGAGTGATACTGATACCATCCGCGGGCTTTTTGCTAAAACAAAAGATCTCGAAGGGCTCACGTCGATCGTACCCATCATTCTGACAAGCGCTGCTAAAGGCACAGGGATTCGCCTAATGCACGCCCTGTTGAAAAATCTCCCGATACCACCTGCGCCGACTCCACAGGATTTTACTGGTCCCGCGCTAAATCCAGAGCAGCCTGCTTGCTTATTCCACATCGAAGACGTTTTTGGCCTACCTGCCTCATACGAGCCCCTCGCTTCCAGTAAAAGCAAGCAGGCTGACGCGGGGAATGTTGTAGCTGGCCATCTACGATTTGGCAGACTTTCTGTTGGCGATACAATTGTCATTGGGCCATTTCCAGCAGATGCCGAGGAGAATGATTCGCCTCCCAAATCAGGTGCCAGGTCGTCTCCAAATAGCTTTGGGGCTTCACTATCTCATCCCTCCGCAACAGAGCTCACAGGGTTTGCATCTCGAAATGTTCTCGCTACTTCCGTGGCTAAGAGAGAGTGGTACAAGGCTCATATTGTGAGTATCCGTAACTTGCGCCTACCTGTCCATACGCTACAGGGTGGTCAAGTTGGCACTATTGGTATTGTTTTCGATCTCGGCGAAGGGGAATTGCGGAATGGCGCTGTTGAACGGCTACCACCAACGGCACCTCGAATACGAAAAGGCATGGTCATAGCAATTCCAAGTCGACATATGATTCAAACAGAGCATGCGCTACAGGCTGTCAGTGGGTTCACCGCTTCTTTCGAAGATGGGGATATCAATTCAGTCACGCCTGGAAGCTTGGTCGTTGTATACATTGCAAGTATACGGGCATCGGCTAGAGTTATACGTCTGGCGCCTCATGCAGCAAATAATGATACAGTTTCTACTAGGGGTGAAGGAATGGACGATGTATTTGGGCTCGATGAGAGCCTACAACAAGAGGCGCAGGACTCGGAGCCCTTCATCTTCGGCTCCGATGGAGTTACAGATGTGACTTTGGAGCTCCTGACAAACCGTGAATGGATAGAATTAGGCTCTCAAGTTTTGGTTATGCCTGGTGGAGGACACGGCCTGTATTATGGTTCTGAAAGAGGAGAAAAAGGTATTGCCGGCCTCGAAGGCTATGTTGGTAAGATTATAGAAGTTGTAGATTAGAGTACTTTACAGCTTGAATCAATGTTTTCGTTCCGCACTGTCTCAGAGCTACCATGTTGATAATATTGGTAATTGTAGACACCGTATTCTGATAGAGAATAATGCGGCAGGGCCTAGAAGGATCCACCTTGATTTTATATTGCGAACATTGGTTTCCCATCTGCTGATTCCATCCAACGCCAGCTGGTATCGACTTCTTCAGATTGAACACCGGAACGCCTCCCAAGCAAAGCCTGTGTAATAACCATATCCTTCTCCATATAATATCCCGCATCGCTTGTTTCCTCCTCCGGTCTTCCTCTCCCCACTGCATCACAATCCGTACCCAGCATTATCCTCCCACCACCCTACGCCCTAACCAGCCCATAAAACAACGTCCACGTCAACACGAACCCACTCAGCCCCTCTACCAGCCCCCCCGTCCAAAGCTCCATGCTCCCCCTAAAATACCTCTTCGTTCCCGCGCCGTCTTTCGCACTGCCTGGGAGCACACGGAACACATATACGAGGGCGCTCGTCAACAGCGAGAACGCGAGATAGAACAGGAAACCCAGGTAGGATTCCAAGCCCAGAATGCCGGCGCCGACACCAAACAGCGACGCTGTTAGGTTGTGAAGAGTTGTGAGCGTCTGTATAGTGGTATGTCAGTTAAGGATATAGGGAAGAGGATCAATGGGCGTCGAAGGAGGAGGAATTGCGCTGGTGGGTGAGGGATGGGATGGATGGTAGCGGAACGAACCTTGGTGTTGTGGACTACGGACTCGTGCACTATGGGGCTTATTTGAAGCTCCCGTTCGGTGAGCATGGTTGCTGCGGTCGAGATTCTATGGGGAAAGAGTAATAGGGCGCAATGCGGAGATCTTGGCTTGGGTGTTCGTTCCTGGATATCTGCTTTGGATGCTGTTGGAGATTGGCCTGCTGTCTGTACGTCGGATAAACGATATTCCTTATAGGCCATAGCCTAGGTAGGTACCCCTGAAATAGGAGACTGAGGCCTGTCATCTTACATCGTATTTCCTACGATATGGCTTGGAAATGGCTTCGGCTACCCAATTATTATTTTATTATTTATGCATTAAGATTAGGAAAATTAGGGACGGAATGGATAATTCGCCTCATTTAGCATACCTAGGTACCTTACCCAAGGAGATACGTGCTACGGAGTCTGCCTCAATATCTACATTGCACAAATAACATCACCCCAACATAATGAATACCACCTCTTCGGGAATCCGTTAAATCACTGTATGATGGCCACTTCAAAGTCTCAAGCTTGTGACCCCGATATCTCTGAGCGGTTTTCTGTACTCTGCTCTATAAATTTTCATGTTTGGTGGTTGTTGCGGTTTCTTTTCATTGCCCCCGGGGGGGGGGGGGGTCCCTAGGTAAGTGAAATGTTCTACATGCCACCAAAAATAACAGGAAGCGGGACGGAATGAGGACGGAATAACAGAGGTAGCCTTTTGCACAAAGAGAGCCCTTTGGGGTTGTAGGAGTCACAACGCGCCACGGTGGCTTCTATATTTAGAGCCAATGGCGTCTCCTCGTGAAATGAGTTTCTTCAAGTTGGAGATCAGAAATGGATATAAGTTCCAAATGAGTGAGTAGTTAGGGCGCTGAAGTATATAGGGGTACTTCAAGATAGGTTCTCTATTAGGAAAAGAGGAGAAGGAGGGAAGAAAGGGAGAAGGGGGACAAGCGAAGGCAACAGCCTTGACGGAACGATACTGTCGTATGCTCCATGAGTAACTGGCGAGAGCAAAGCCAATATGGAAACGTGTTTATATTGATGTTGACTGTTTGGCATAGGAGTAAAATTATTTTGTAATATTATTCTGACACGATGAGTAAGTAGTCCAGAGTCCGGCTGGCCTCGTACATCAGATTCTGACTCGTTATGCGCCTTGCGCATGCCAGTCATAAAGAAATGCTCTCCATTTATCCATTTCATGCAGGAAGGGTCTACAGTTGCTGCAGCCTTGTGCACAGGCAGGTATGCTTTTCAGTTTGTCTTGATAATAAGCCCGCCTTATACAGTATGCTGTTGACCAGGTGCATCCGAAGCTGTCCATGGGAGAGGCCGATGACAGTGCGAGGACGAGTGTAAAGCAGAATCTCATCGGTACAGCCGCTCACGGTAGATTCGAAGGCAAGCAAGTCCTGGCAAACGTGTGGACCGATTTGTCGAGCTAGAACCTCCAACTTAGAAGTCTATCTTGAAGTAAGGTATATGAACAGACCCCGGACCCCGCATCTTATCCCCCAAAGCCCTACCTCTCTCTTACCCAGAAGAAGACGATGAATGATGTCGATGATATCGGCTTGAAGCCCCGCTTATATTCAATGCACTCTCTCCTTCAAGGCGACAGTGCACCAGCATTCAACGTCGTCCCGAGAGCGATTTGGATGCTTGGAATACTTCTCAGATTTCCCACGGCGCGAAACGTGCCACGAATGGACATAGACTGGTCCATTGATCCGATAGCGAGTTGGCATTGGAGAAAACCAGCTCCTGTAATTTTGTCACGGCTAACATTCTCTTTCTTGTTGCAGTGGTCTGGTCCATCAGGACTCGGGACTCTTGAATAGAACAGGAAATAGGAATAGAGGTTGCCAAGATGGTTATCAACGCTTTCCGTACGACACGAAATCACGTGTACGGAGTGACCTGCAGGCGGCTCGGGGCCCCATGCCAATAGCTCCGACACGGCAGGGGAGTGTTTGAGAACTATTGGCGATGCTACTTATGTTGTTCTCTCGAACACGCCTTGAAGAAAGAAAGAATCCTATAAACATTTCTACCTCTCCTTCCTCATGGTGACTGCGACCACCGGAATGGACTATATCGATTCCAAATAGCGTTTCGCATTCCATGGAGGCCGTCGTATTCGATGACTCTCCGCTCGCCGAGTATCTCGAAGGTGTGTCGTGGCTTCATGCATTCACTCACGCAAACGACAGCGGGTCGCTAACTTCTTCGCAGGTGAGGGCGGCGACTATCCCCATGGCCTTTCCAGTCTCGAGCCTGAGCCTTCGTCAACCTCGTCGAGCCCATCATTTGCCCCGCGAGGCAGACCAACCGTTCGATCGAAATATCGCCACAGATTACCTCCCCCTATACGGTTAGCAATTCCGCAGAACAATGCAGTCGCTGCGATACATGACACCTGTTCTGTGGGTCCCATCAATCTTTTGAATTTGTATCGTCAACTGACCACATGTTGGGACAGAGGGCCGTTACTTCGCGACTGGGCAGCGCCGACAATGCGAGATTCCTAGAACGATTTCGATATATCATAGTAGCCTCACAGCTTCTCAACACCCACTCATATCTTGGTCAGGGTCATGGACAGTCACGAGACCCATTGGTCATACCGCCCAATGCTCCGCAGGCTGGCGTGTTTACTCTGGCAGGAGTTGGGGTAACTGCTTGCTTTGCGTTCGCTCTGGCCTGGTTAATTCACTGGACGATGGACGCTGGAAAGTCCGTATTTGGAAAGGGCCATGTGGCTGCCTTTTTCCTCTTGTTGGTATTATGCTCAGTGATATCATATTCGTACATGCGTCGGCAGTGGCTACAATACCTGCGGCAGCAATCTCTTGCAGAAGCATCGGGGTTCGTCACTACCGCTCAGAATCTTGATAATGCTGCGGCGGGGGCTTTGACATTAGTCCAAGAGGTTGAACTGGTGTCTCGTGGCTACAGAATGTAAGTATTCTGTCTGTAGGTCCTGATAGCAAGTACTAACAATCCCTTAGAAGCAGTCCTCTTCCTCCTATAAGCCGAATAGAAGATCAAAGTCAGACTAGGAGATGTACACGACTAAGGAAGTGCCTCAGAATATGTTTTGCGGGCATAATTCCGCAATACAGTCAAGCTTGTGCCGTTCTCAAACCCTTGACAGAACAACTGGATCTCGAGAAGTATTACGATATATACGACATAAGTGACGTCGACTTCTCAGAAGCAATGCTGGGTTATTCGGAAACCGAATTTGAAGATTTCGAGTCGTTACGAGTCTTGAAAATTCTAGCTGCCAGATTTCACATCATCAGAAAGGTGTTGCTTTGCTGTCTCCTAGCTCTGGATGCGGACGGCGGGAAATCCGATTTCCCTCGCTGGAGTACTGCCGTGGAGGAGATCCATAAAGTCAGGGAAGTCACTAGTGAAGCAGAGGACAGACTAAGTCGGGTTCTAGGTGAAGAGGAGAGTAAGTGTGCACTACCACTATCTTTGATCCCTTCCCTAACCATCTCCAGATTTTCCAGTACCGGCTACCCCGAAGCTACCTCTTACCCCAAGTCGTGAGCGATGGCGATCCCAATTACGAAAATTAAACTCCCTCTCAGCAGGTATCCGAGGGCTCCAAGCAAAATTGCATGTTTTGCGGGAGGAATCTGACAAGAACTTGAACGCTACGGATGACGTGTCAGAGCTCGGAACGAGCCTCATGATCCAATATGAATCCATAGGGATTGACCTCAAAGCTCTGATGCAAGAATGGGAGGATGGAAAAGCGGCTCTCGCTTCGAACATAGATCGGAATGAACGCCGTGTATCTTCCATGAGCGTAATGTCACCAGCAAGTTCCTTGGGCGGCGCTACGGCAGTGGAAGAAGGGAGTGCGGCAGATGCTCTAAAAATCCTAAATGGTGAGGTGACATGCCGTTCGAGTATGGACTTCAGCAGCTCCGATGTGGAAGAAGTCTTTGAAGCCATTGCTATTCCAAAACAAAGATCCAAATTGACCCGGGAAGAACGAATTCTGAAGATGAGGGAAGAACGGGAGAAGAGGGAGGCTATAAGGGAGAGAACGGAATCTAATACACATATGATAAGAGAGCTGGAGTCGGTAATAAAAATGAGACCAAGGGGAAGGACTACTACTGGGGGAAGAATCACATCTATATAATGTTTTCCTTGAGATGACCAAGATCTCCTTGATTAGGGACAGCGCGGAGTCTGGTAATGATGATACCCGGGACGACTTTCACCTTCCTGACTTGGAATACGACTGGCATGGTTATGAAAGTATTAATAAGGAATCCGCAAGGATAGCATGGGCCAGGCGTACATATTAGACATAATGGACATAATTCATTAATTTATATTTAATCTTATCAAAGACTTAGTCTACCTACACCCTCTGTACAGTACAGGACATTATGTACAATACCCCACAAATTCAAGGGACATTGTGACCAATCGTTAGAAATTCAAGACAAGAGCAATCAGATCCCATTACAACGAGAAACTACTGACTAGAATAGCTAAGCAACCAGCGATACTCCAATAACCAACTTGATACTTTTCAACTGTAGAGTCGCGGGGTCGGCATACCTTATTTGGGGGATTAACCGATCATGTGATATCGTGATAAACATCAACTTCGTAGTCGCGACCTCAACTCCATTAGATCGAAGACGTGTCATGAATCAACAACACAGCGACGTTAGTCTGACGCTTTCTTCGACGAGATGTCGAAAGAAGAGTTGAACGAACGGAAGAAGCGCGTCTTCGACTGGGTCTTTGGACAATCAAAATCCCAGCCACGGACAACACCGGCACCACGCTTCATTCCTCCCAGCCAGAATTCTGGAGGTCCTCTTACGAACTTCACTCATGACCGCAATGAATCAAACCAACACATAGATCAAGTCCTTTGGGATCGATCATGGCGTACCGTCACAGAAAATTTGGCTCTCCCTGATTACCCGTCACATTTAGATCCAATTCAGTCATGGAACCCAGAGATGAAGACTGCCGGTGCAGGATTCAGCGAGGCTCTCCAAGATCTACTCAGTCCTCAAACTCGACTTCCCCGGGCCACTTATACAGAAGATATCATTGCGTGGTATACAAGTCAAGTTAGACATCACTTCATGCGTCAAGTACTTCCGATCTTACCTGAGTTGCAAGATGAAATTGCTCCGCAAGTGTTATACAAGACCATTACGATTCTCGAAACTGTTCACCGTCTCTACCTCAACAGATTGTCCATGATCCTTGAAGACGTAACATCTATGAGGCATCTTTCTTCGCCGAGAATCATGCGAAGGTTTCATCGAGATCTCCATGCTGTAATCAGCAACTTGGTCACGCCAAAGATAGCAGCCTCGCTACAGACCGTTTTGAAGTGGAACGTTTCTACGATTCTTGGACTTCCCTCGGAAAGAGACCAGAGAAAGCGTCAGATGTTTGTGCCGACTGCCGAGACCAGAACCACGGCGAGAGTCCGCGATGAATTGCTAAGGATGATCGAATCATTACGCAATGTTGGTTTAGCAGGGGAGAAATTTCAGATCATGTTTGCCGAGATCATGAATGATTTAATGACCGACTATGTCTTACTGGGCTGCGAAGGCATCTGGTCGGATCCCAGGGCTCAGAAACGTCGCAATGGCCGGCGCACGCCAGCTAGCACCAATGATAGACAAGAGTCGATCCTCCCACGAACTGCCCAACATGCCTCCCCGTCGAAGTGTGTTAGGGAACTATGTGAGTGGATTGAGAACAGATATGCTAAGCTTGTAGTTCAAGTATTCCAGGTTCTCGACGGGACCGAAGTGAAGCATGCCAAAGGACCATTGATACAAGTAGAGAAGTGGAAAGAGATAAGCATTGGTCATCTTGCTTCACTGCGAACTAATGAGTTATTCGATATTATTCTAAAATGGCCTCATAGCAGCGCAGCATTGGACGATCTCCGAACAGCCATCACCACACCTCAAAGACGATTGCAGCTTACGAACGTATTTGCTCAGACCTTGAACGAGAGACTCCTTCATCCTGGCGCATCAACGTTGCAAATCCTGCAGACCTACATCTCCATGATATCTTCGTTCCATGCCCTTGATCATTCGAAAGTTCTCCTGGATCGTGTTGCATATCCGCTACAGCTATATCTATGTTCGCGTGAAGATACTGTCCGAATTATCATCACTGGGCTGTTGTCAGACGCGGAAGATCTGCAGAGGAACCCAGTAGGGTCTGGAGGAGAGAAACTCGTCGAATTGGCGTCTTTGTTGAATGAGGATGAGGAACAGCTAGGGCAAAAAGCGAATGACGAGGAGCTAGACTGGCATGATCCAGATTGGTTGCCCGATCCTGTAGATGCTGGACCTGGATATAAGAGGTCGAAAAACGCAGATGTGATAGGGACATTGATCGGTGTCCTTGGTTCTCAAGATGTTTTCATCAAGGAATTTCAGAATATCATTGCGGAACACTTATTGAAGAATGATGGGGGCTTTGAAAGGGAGGCAAGTCAATACCAACCTGTTCGTCTTATCCAACCGCTAATCCATACCAGGTAAAAGTCCTAGAGTTGTTGAAAGCTAGATTCGGCGAAGCTCCCCTTCAGAGTTGCGAGGTCATGCTCAAGGATATCCAAGATTCTGGGAGAGTAGACACTGTCATCAGGAGAAATCAGAGACTTGATCCCAGTGATGAGGAAATCCGTATTGCCAATGCTAGCTTTGATCCACACGAGGGAGTCGGTCTCGTCCCAGAAGGCGTGCTGAAGCCGTCTTTGCACGCAAAGATTCTCTCTAGACTCTTCTGGCCACAACTCCATGATGAAAGCTACAGAGTCCCCGACAGCATCAGAAAGCTTCAGAAACGCTACGAAGACGGCTTTAGATCCCTCAAAGCTTCCCGAAAACTCACCTGGCTTCATGCCTTGGGCCAAGCCACTGTGGTACTCGAATTGACGGATCGCACGATCACCGAAGAGGTGCATACCTGGCAGGCCACTGTCATCTGGGCCTTCCAGAGTGACCAGCCGGACGACGCCCCCGTGCGCAAAAGCGTGCAGGAACTTACCGAGAAGCTAGAGATGGAAGAGGCACTTGTTCGCAGTGCTCTCAAGTTCTGGGCCAGTAAGCTGGTTCTCGAGGAGATTGAGAAAGACGTCTTCTCTGTCCTGGAGACCCTCAACCAAGAAGATCGTGCTCGATCGAATGCCCAGGTTACAGCAAGTACCGCAGCAGTACCAGATGACACTGCATTGGTGACGAACGATGGAATTACGCCGGAGAAGATGCAGATGTATTGGCAGTATATCCAGGGGATGCTGAAGAATTCATCGTCGCAGATGCCGCTGCAGCAGATCGCTATGATGCTAAAGATGCTGATCGCAGATGGGTTTCCCTACAGTAACGAGGAGTTGCAGGAGTTTCTCGGATGGAAGGTGGCGGCAGGCGAGCTGGAGTTTGTTGGCGGAAAGTACAAGCTGAAGAAGTGATGTGATGCATTGGGAGGGAATCGGATGGGGAGTTTCTGGCATCCCCGACTGGAGTGTCGGTCGGGATCTACTTTCAGCAGGCGTCTGTCGCTCGGGATTGAGAGCAACAGAGGCACAGGAGGCACGCATCAGATATGCCAAGCCCCATGTAGTAATTGCATCCTGGCGATGACCGACGGATAGGTAGCTCGCAAGGTAGCAGATAGGTAGCAGATAGGTAGTTTTTACACGGACGCCCGAAGCGTCATGAGTAATAATGATACCAGGTAGCGACCCGAATGCTGAAGCCGGTTAGAAACCCTCCATCACCGATCTGGTGTCAACCAACAAAGTCTCGACCTCCCCATCCCATCTATACTCGGTGATGTGTATATCCCACCTACAAAATCGTCACACAAGGGTTACCTTGCCTTCCCAACCTACCCTTTATTGTACGTACAAAAATCACACATCAATTACTCACCCATCAATCACTCATTCTCTCCCTCAAATCCAGACGTCCTATATCCACAGATCCAAACCCCGAAATCCCAAACCGAATATCTCCGAGAAAACTGAAGGCAGCAGGGCGTACTCGGTGTTGAGGTACAGGATCGCGCGCGCAGCCTTCTTGCTCGGGTTACTCGGTCGTGTTTCACGGCTGGTATTTAGGATTTCAGGTTTGTTTCATGAGAGAGATGGAGAATAGGGTGGATGGGTTATGTATGGGTGGATTGTTTGAAAGGGAGCTGTAAAGAAAGAGAGAGAAGAGTCGCTATGTAGCAGAGTTCCCTGAAGTAAGTAATAAGTATAAGTAATAAGTACTCGAAGCCTGCTCTCGAATTCCATCAGCAGCCAACAGGCGGCATCCACCTGCCTGACTCGCTGACGCCGGAAAAGCCATCATCGCTTACTCACGAAAGCGAGAGCGAGAGAGCAATGGTGGACGGTGCTGCTTGGGCTCGGAGGGAGGGCCTCGTTGTCCTTTAACTTGCTCGCTCTGCTGATAGAGTGAGAGAAGACGTGGTCTCCTGTCATCCCATCGGGACCTTGAGCCTTCTCCCGTCGAAGTTGTATGGTTCGGAATAGCGTTCCACGTAAGGAATGCGTAGGATGTAAAAGAACAGAAAAGATACGTGTTCTTTCAACAGAGCACGTCTACTGGGAGCGCTATAGAGTCCATGCTCCGCTCCGTAAGTAAGAGAATCAGCATCGAGTTGAGTTACGCTGTCCGAAGCAATGATTCGGGAGACGGTACAAAAAGGCGTCAGCGTAGTACCGTATCGATAAGGAGCGGAGCGTCACAGCTGATAACATCTCATATCGCACAGGCCCCGCTAGATGCACGGGGGTGGGGTAATAGCTGCACTCTGGGACCCGCCGCTATACCGCGATAGGATAGGTCGGGTCGGAGGGGCCCCTCGGATCCAGAGTGAGGGGGATTGCTCGCTGTAGAGGCCTGGCAAAGAGCTGGTCAAGCACGCTGAGACTGAAGAGACAAGGGAGAGGAGGAGAGAGGAATTGATGAATAGAGGGAGAAAGAGAGAAAGAAAGAATCATCAGGAAATAAAACAAGGGCAGAGAGAAAGAGCAAAGCAAAAAGGACAAACCCAAAGACCATCAATTCCAACGACGTTGACGCGTTTCAGCTCGGAACCCCTCATGCCACACACGTCTTTATTAGAAGCACACGTTTAGATGATGACCCAACCCAGCCTTGACTTGACTTGACTTGACTTGACCGGCTTTGACTTGATCTCGACGTGAACTCGATCTCGACCTTGACCTTGACCAACTTCCCCGATCTTACCTTACCTTGACGGTCGACCACTTTTCTAGTCATACCTAAGGTACTCAAACCCACTCAGTGCCGTCTACAAAACCCCCCCATCTGCCTCCCCGCCTCGATCCCTCTGCCTGCTTCTTCCACCGCTACCCCGACTTCCCATGTCAACGTCGTGAACTTCCACCCGCCAACCTTCTCCCCTCCGTCCATCAGGTTGGCCTGTCCCCCGGGCCACCCTCACATCTCAGCACCGTCTTCTTCCCACGGCCAGCCCGACGTCTTTTGACGAAGCGTCGAGGCTGCTACAACTCTCTCCTCGACGTGCTGCGAGGTTGAGGACCCGGGCGGGGCCATGGATCCGATGGACTACACCATGGATGAGGGGCAGAACGAGCAACCCCCGAATACCGCACCCAACTGCCAATACCACCCGCCGGATCAGTCGTCGAACCCAAACCTCTTCCCCCCTCCCTCTCGGGATGCACACCGTTACGATCCCGTCCACAACACGGACTCGTGGTACCAGCCCGAACGGAGCGGGGGCCAGAATCGACCTCAGTTTCCCGTCCCGCAAAACATCCCGCAGTGGAATCCAGGCTCGTATACCCACATTGATCCCTGGCAAGCCTTCGGTGGTGAAGCTCACGCAGGTGATCGAGGCTCCGGCTTGTCGGATTACGGTCCTCAGACGAGATTTATGGGCATCTCGCACTCGACATGGAACGGTATGCGGGGTTACGAGCCATTATCGTTTGGCTACACTTCTTACATGAATGCACCAAACGCAAATGCGGCGCCAGTTGACACCTCGAACGGGAGAAACGCTTCATCCGGTCTCATCTCTTCAGCTACTGCTTCTGCAATGCCCCAGCCAGATATCTCGGCTCTGCAGGCCGAATATGCTCGACGGGCAACTCGACCAGATCCATCCCCCTCTTCAAACACTTCTCCAGAGAATCATAATTATTCGCAGCGAGCGAGGGCCACGAGAACCGCACGAGAGGAAAGAGCAGCATTACAAGCATCTAACTTGTCACGATCTCTTGACTATCATCGTGCCTACGGAGCTCCAGACCTTTCCAATGTCAATCAACGGGACGCTACAGGTTGGGAATCCGATGATGACGATGATGCCGGCGCAGACCCCGAAGTGGCGAGCTATCGTCGTACTTCCCAACATCTATTTGACGATTATGACGATGAGAGGGCCTTGGCAGCTATGCGTGGAGCCCTTGCAGCTGGGAAAAAGATCCCCTCCAAGGAGGCCTTAGCTTCTCTGGAGAAACTGGCCATCAAGGATCTTAAGGAAGGTGATAAATGTAAGTGCTGATGCAAATCCCACAATTCTCTTATAGGCAATTTTGAACATGACCCCCTGGAGCCGCGTTCTCCCCTTCATCAAATACGATCTTTCGAGAGACAAGTGTAGTCTAGGTTCTAGCCAAGATTAATCTTCATGATGTATATCTTGATTCTGCAGATTGGTGTAGGGACGCCTACTGCCACTCTCTTGTTGTAAATCCGGATATAAGTCTCCACTGGACATAAAGCAGCCAAGCGGCTTGGGCTGGGTTGTCATGGTTTGTAGGGGCTCTCCGTGCTAACAGCCTTTAGCATGCATGATCTGCTACAACGAATTTGGCGTTGAGAATCTCGAAGGTGTTATTGAGCATCCAATTCGTTTGCCGAAATGCAAACACATCTTCGGGGAGAAGTGTATCAAGAAATGGTTCGAGGATTCTGATAGCTGTCCTTACTGTCGTGATAAGCTCCCGTCAGAACTGGCAATAAGGAAGAATATGGCATTCGAGAATTTACGTGCACACCGAGAACGTTTGGCTGCAATTACAACCCAGGCCCAGGCTTACCGCGCGCGACATGGGATCCCATCGCATTATCCGTCAATTGGCGAACTGTCTGTTCAGGAAAGGTAGGTCGATAATGTCAGATTTAACTGGTGATCGTTACTGATAAATATATAGAACCAGCTATGTGAGGCACAGCCAAGAAGAATACCACTATTTTATGAGAGGGAACCTAGCGTCCGAACCGTGGTCATACTCGACCTCAAACAGAGGAGGATCACAGAGAGACTCGCCAGATAGTCGAAGACGTCAAGCTCGAGGCCGAGCTGGATTGGGCCGTCCAACCTCCGTTGGTTCTTCTCGGTTTGTCGCAGCGATTACGAATCAGCAGAATACCTCTCAGAGAGCCCAACTTGCAAATTTCATGCCAAATACGCAGACTTCAGGCCCACCCCGCAGATCGGCCACCCCAGGCCTAGGTTTACAAAGCTCTGGTGGGGCACCACCATCGGGCATGGATGTAAATCTTCACAATCGTGCTTTAGGTATAACTTCTTCTTCGGAAGAGGCATCACCGTCAGTGGCTATAGGGTCTGGTGTGGCGTCAACTGCAAATCCACAGCACAATCATGGTCCTTACTCTGATCAGTCGGTTGATCAGTGGTCTGATCCATTTGGGCAACGACTAAATCGCAATACAGGGGCAAGCTTTCCATCCCTAGCTCGATATCGAACAACGGCGGATGACTTTGATGGTCGCGCTCTCTCGTTGGAGACAGGAACTCGGACACCTTACCATCACGATATGCAACGCCTCCCAGATATCTCAGCAACTAGTAATACACGATTGTCGATGGAAAATCTAAATCAGTCAGCAGGCCAAAATGGAAGTCTTCAGAATGGGACGGACAGAAGCTTGCAAAACAGATGGCCAAGACAATTCTAAATTAACTCCACGAAACAGCTTTACTATCTGCTTTTCTGCCTTCACTGTCTCCAGATCCATCAGAAAGTCGACCAGTAAGCCGAACCTCAAGATGACAGCATGATCAACAACAGGATCACACACACACACACATACACACATATCTGCATGCACTCTTCTCAACGAAATGAGCTATTCATCTTTGCGGCTATTCACAGCGAGCGAATTAGGGCGGGCACACGGCATGGCGTAAATGGGGGACTTAGGAATTGCGTATGGTTTCGCTCAGGGTTTGGCTCTCTTTTCTAATGAATACTCGCTGCGAAGAAAAGAAAAACACGCAAATCACATCATACAATGACTGCAGACACTGGATTGCCGTTGCAGCCATTCTTCATAATAAGTAGCCCTTCAGGAAGACAAACATAGAAAATGATAAATGTGCTAGCCACGATATTCTCGGTGTTTTTGCGGTGAGTCGTGAGGCATTATCTTCTTCTGTCTGTCTGGATCTTGTACGCTACGGATCCTGATATGTCTAAGTAAGAAACAGAATCCCCAGCAGAAGTCCATACCTAAGACCCATAATCCCATGATCCTTTCCCCTCTCTATACCCCCGAGGAGACAGACAGACAAACAACTAGATAGATAGACATATCATCGGCATCAGCACCCCCCCCTTCCTTCGGCCAAATATCCACCCTCTCTCTCTCTCAAAAGATAAGATAAAATCCTGATAATAAACCCCGGGAGAATTAAAATGGATAGGTACTGAACTGCTAAGAGACTGGATTTAGCTACTAGGATAGAGTGTGCTAATAATCGATTAATCAATAGGATGGAGATGTTTAGGGGGGTTATGGGTTTGGATTGGATTACTTAGTGAGGGCGAGTTGAGATGAGATGGTGTTCAAAATGAGTCGAGACTGGGATTAAGTTTGATTCTAGGATTAAGTGAGAGATGATAGGTAGGGTAGTGAAGGAATGTGCGGCTTGAATGAATAATGAAGTGAGGTTCTGAATTTTGGAGTTCTATTTAGTGAACCAAGTCGTAGAGATTATTGGAGATCATCATCGAATTCTTCACAAGAATAAATAAAGAAATGTTGAGATCCGGGGAGGAGCTTTCTTCTTGTGAATAATGCAAAAGAAGCGCTTAGGTATATTTGAACCCTTGATTTAGCAGAAGAGTTGATAAATACTCGTAAGGTAAACTTTCTCAGGTCCACATCAAGAATATATGTAGTCTACAAAGAAGGGGATGGCTGTCTGTCCTCGAAGAAGAAATCGCACTCTATTGCTTTCTTCTAAACATACCACCACTAACTACAGCCTAGGCTTATCCGTTGCAGCCGCTTTTGATTTCTGCACGTATTCCCACGCCAGTTTTCCCATTGGGTGTCTCTGCGTTGCGTTATCCTTTGCTTTCGCACTGCTCGCCTGCCGCACCGCATATCGTGCTGCGATACCTTGGTATATACAAGTTGCTCTGAAGAATCCAAAAGCCACTCCATAGGCCATGTCGGGACTGGGGTCCCATCCTGCTATCTCAGCGTACCATTTGAGGAGTTGCTGTTGGGTGGGTAAACCGGGAGTTTGTCCCTCCCTGAACTTCGGGAGATGTTTTACTTCGTTTCGGTCTTTTAGGGAGTATGGATTGAGGAGGTTGACGAGATCGGATAATGGATGGCCAATGGTGGACATCTCCCAACTAGATCGTATTTAGCAAATATTGGGGCAATGGGATTAAATATCTTACTCTAGAATTCCAATGACCCGTGGCTCGGTCTTGTGGTAGACCAAGTTGTCAATCTTATAATCGCCGTGGATAGGGGTGCCCCTATCCGTTGGCTGCAAATGTTTGTTCCTGAAGAAATCCAGCATTTCTTCAATATGGGGTATTTGTCCCACAGGTTCATTCGTCTCCACGTCCCGAGCCTCTGCTTGTGCTTTGCTGATTGTCGAGAAGGTTTTGATCTGGCGATCGTAGAAACCGGAAGGTCTACCAAAACCCTCAAGTCCGACGTCTTTCGGATTGATTCGGTGAAGTTTGGCTAGGGTTCTTATGGCATCGTGCCACCTATCACTATCTTAGCAGGCTTCCTCTAGGATACAGTTCAGTACTTACATTTCCGTCCTCTCAGCTGGAGTCACATCTGGCATGGTAGGATCTTCAATAATCCTCCCTTCCAAGAACTCCATAATATAGAAGGCAGTCCCGACGACCTTCTCATCTTCGCAAAGACAGTAAGTTTTCGGCACAGGCACGTTCGTCTTCTCCAAGGCGTGTATAACCTTGTATTCTCTCTCGACTTGGTGCGCAGTCTTCGAGAGCAGTTTTCCGGGAGGTTTCTTGCGCATAACGTATTTCACTCCATTGCTCCCCGTTATCTGATATGTGGGATTCGACTGGCCAAATCCGAACTACAGATTCAGTCAGATCTGATCACTGTATATAATGCGGGGGATGCGGGACCTGTTTAAGATCGATTGGCACTTGGATTTCTGGGACATGCTCGGAGATGTATCGCTCCAGCGACTGAATATCGATCGGTTGTCTCACGGCACCGGCCATTGCAAAGTTTGCAGGATTATTGGGAACGAAGGGCTAGAGGAAGACAAAGGAACGGTCATCTCAAATAGAGAGCGGTGGTATTGCTCTTGATCCCCGAATAGCCTCGGCCGCGGTAAGTGCTTGACGCTAAATCTGCACCCGCCGCGGGGAAGCAGCCTTACCAATATTGGAAATGGCTTCCGTGGATTGGATATATAGGTTACTTTCAATGATAGGAATTTGGTCGGAGATATAATTCCGCCCTCTCATAAGATTACTTCATGAACCTGGATATATTCCTTTTTAGTTTACCTATGCTACATGAACAAAACCACGCTTTTTTGGCCCTTTCTCATCTACATCCCAGGTATCTTCGTCTACAAAATCCTTCGCCTGATTGTCTTTGACTCTGGCACTGACGACCCGCAAGGCTGCGAGATTAAAGCCTATCTCCTTCTTCTGATTGTCCAGAGCCTTGCGTAAGTTGACTCTAATTCCGTCCAGCATCGACCGCATAGTCTTGCTAGCCACAATCTGGCGATGGTGGATCTTGAGCATAAAGTTCAAGATGCGGAAGGTCAAGGGAACATTCATGGATCTCGTTAGGAAGATGTTAAGGAACGTAAACAAAGATGGCACCATTGAGAATGGAAGCACAAGCAATGCGTCTTGAAGAGCGGCCGCTTGAATCTTCTGCAGGACGCTTAAGACGTGTTCTTCGGCGCTGATACCTCCCAATGCCATATAGAGCGGGTTTCGAGGCGGTGGGGCGGTGTTGGGTTGCGCAGCTTTTGCTGCTTCCCACTCCTTCATCAGTTCCAAGTCGGCCATTCCAAGCTCCAGAGCTTCAACTATTTTCTCTCCAGCCATTATGGTTTCCACCGTCTGCTTGCCGGGGGCCCCAACCTCCTCGTCCTTGTTTTCTTCTTGCTGCTCAAGTGATGTCATCATCGTGCTTTCGTACAGTTCCTCCATCTCTTTCTCCCTCTCTTCTTCTAGGAATATCTGTTCATCTGTCTGTTCCCAAACCCGTATGCTTTTGTCGTGACTAGCGCTCACCAAGAAGTTCCCGGCTCGACTTACAGCCAGAGCCCAAACCTCATCATGGTGTCCATCCAATCTCTGGATCTGCTCAAACTTGTCACCGTCCCAATATTTGATCATTCGGTCTTTACTGCTGCTAAAGAAGTGGTGACCATTGCCATCCTGGTTGTGAGGCACGAAGGCAACTTGAAGTATACTGTCTTGATGACCAAAGAATGCTTTGTGGCAATCTCCAAAATCGAGACCCCAAAGCCGTATGTTCTTGTCAGCAGAACAAGTAACAATAAGCTTGCTATCGAATGATATATCCATGTTCAAAACAGGTAACTTATGGCCGTACAGATTCAAGAAGAGTTTAAGCGAATCGACGAAGAACACCTTCACGGTGTTATCTAGTAAAGCAACGGCCAGTAGACGGGCATCTGGAGAGAATCGAACGCTCAGGATGTCATCAGAGACTTTCAGTGTTCGTGTATGAGCAAGTTTTAACCGCGGCGTGGTGCGTTTCGTCCCAGGGATTTCTTCTTGAACAACTTCAAAATTCCAAAACTTGGCTGACTTGTCTGCGCTCCCCGAAATGACAGACCGTCCATCTGGATGCACTTGTAATGTCCATATGGCACCTTCATGTGCCTTCACCGTATCGAGCATAACAGCGGAAGCCACATCAAACAATTCTAACTCTCCAGTCTTCGTACCAACAACCACAATTTTGTCACCAGGTAAGAAGGAGCAGCACAAGGCATAGCCACATTCGAAGGTCCGAATACAGCTCCTTGTTCGCACGTTCCAGATCTTCAGGCTGCCATTAGATGCAGATGCAAGCATCCTGTCGTCAGAGCTGAGTGCAAGAGATCTCACATCAGCTCTGTGACCTGGTAACTCCACCGAAAGAGGTCGCGAGTAATCCGGCAACTCGTCGCTCTTTGTCTTCTTGGACTTATCCTTTGTCGCGGCTTTGTAGACTTCCAGCTGATTGTTGGTGGTTGCCACGAGGAACTGAATATGCTTCGATTCCTTGCTCCGTATCCAGTCCAGTGATCGAACTTTACCGCTGGTCCTGACTATCACGTGTGGAACAAAAAAGTCCGTAATCTCAGCACTCGAGATATCCTCAGCCTTTTCATCCAATTCTGCCGTATCTGCGTCCACTCCCTTGCCTTCTGAGACCTGCTTTTCCCTTCTCCTCTTACGTTTCCGCGCCAAACTCTTTTTTACTTCATCCTCTGATCTGATTCTCCAAATTTCAACTGCCTTTGCTGATCCATGGACAGCAAAATAATCCAGCCGCGGGTGAAAGCTGACTTCAAGGGCCTTGTCTTTATTCTGACGTTGGAGTAGCCCTCTGTCATGAAGATACCGACTTTCGACATCGTCATTCACTCGTTTCGAGAATTTGTAAAGACCAGTAATATCGATAGACCATACTTTCATCTCACCATCGTTCCCAGCTGTGATACAACCACTGCCATCAGGTGCCACTCCAAGCGACCAACATTCTCCATTTGTCTGGGCGACATGGGTCTCGATGCAATGATTTGATGCTAAATCCCAAAGTTTGATCATAGCATCCTTGCCGGTGGTCAGGAGAAACCCTTCGGAATTTGCAGCATCGTCAGCGGTAAGTATTTGTTCTCCATCCTCCCCAAACTCCTCGGGTGCATCTGGTTCCAAGAATTGCAATCCAGTAATCTGGTCTTTATGTCCCCTCAATCTAACCTTGCCCTCCTCCTCAATAAGATTCCATAATATCAAGTCGGTATCCTTCGATCCACTGGCCAGTCGGACGCCAGATTTGTCGAAAGCAAGAGCAGTAACCGCTGATTTGTGGCCATTAAACTTTAGAATGACTGTTGAGATCTTGGAATCCCACAATCTAATGCTGCCATCTTCGTATCCTACAGCGAATATGTCTTGATCCGTCTTACTTTGCGCAATGGCCGTGACTTGTGATTTGCAGGTTTTATCGACCCAGCGACTCAGAAGTTCACCCTTCTTGATGTCCCAGCATAGAACTTCTTCGTTGGCGGCAGCGACAGCTCGTCCGGACCCAGTGGTTGAGCTCGCAGTTGGGCACCAAACTACGTTGGATGTGCTTGAAGTGACGAGGCCGAAGGTTTTCGATTGTTCAAACTTCCTGGCGCATCGAGAGAGATTAGTACATTGAAGTATGCAAGCCATCAGCAGAGCCAACTCACAAGTATGATTTGACCATCTTTACATGCTGGCTCGTCTTAACGTCTGAATTCTCTGAACTTTTTCTGTTTCTCGCGCGATGAATTTATTTTTCTCTCCTGCGATAAGCGTATCGTACTTTGCCTATCCCATAACTGGACTAGTCAGTTTGGCCCCACACTCGTCAGCTTGCGACTGCAACTTAGGTACACATTGAGGACCGCAACGGAGACAAGCCTTGGAACAAGCACGACATCAGGCGGAGACGCATTCCAAGATGCTTCTTCTCGACTATCAGAATGTGCTGATCCAGTCAGTGCTCACAGAGCGGTTTTCAGGGTACGTGAGACTCAATCGCCCACAAATCCCTGCTAATGATATTCAGTGCACCACCGGTCAACATCGATCAGACGGTGTCTGATTTCGATGGTGTTACCTTCCATATCTCGACCCCCGAATCTAAGTCTAAGATTCTTGTCTCTATCCAAGTTAAATGCTTTAATGAGCTTGTGAGGTATGGTGCACAACAGGTTCTTGAACGCGAATACGGCCCGTACATCGTTGCGCCTGAGAGTGGGTACAACTTCTCAGTGCAGGTTGACCTTGATAGTCTGCCGGAAGATAAAGGTAAGGAATGCTAGGGATGCATGCTAAATCCAAGTTGACATTATGTCTTTACTTAGAAGCTCGAGATGACCTGATCCGAAGGATTTCTCTGTTGAAACGAAATGCGATGGCAGCACCGTTTGAAAACGCATTTGACGAACACCATAAATTACAGGAAGAAGCGTCCAAATTTACATCAGAAGAGGCTCCACAAGGTGTTCGGGAAGGAGGCGAGGTCAAGGCTATCCATTACCGGGATGAGGAGGCAATCTACATCAAGGCCAGCCATGACAGAGTGACGGTGATATTCAGCACCATCTTTCGAGAAGAAACAGACAGGATCTTCGGAAAGGTCTTTATTCAGGAGTTTGTTGATGCGCGGAGAAGAGCTATCCAAAATGCTCCTCAAGTGTTATTCAGGACAGACCCCCCTCTCGAGCTCCACGGCGTGCCTGGCGTGAAGGATTCCGGAAACGGAGAGATCGGCTACGTTACCTTTGGTATGTGTTGCGTCTATATTCGGTAATTCTGTCTGACTGTCTATAGTCCTCTTCCCTCGACACTTGACCCGCCAGCGACGAGATGAGGTTATCTCTCACATTCAAACCTTCCGTGACTACTTCCATTACCATATCAAGGCTTCTAAGGTAGGTTTTTTGTACTCTTAATATGTATCTCCAGCTAACAGCTCTAGGCATATATCCATTCCAGGATGCGCAGACGTACTGCGGATTTTCTGCAAGGTAGGCTTTGCCCAGGATGTCATTTCAGACACGTCGCTAATTCAAATAGTACTTCGAAGAGCACGTCCAGAAAACGAGGAAAAGGAGAGAAAGACAGCAAGCGGGCGTACTTTCAAGGTTCAAGGAAGTTGAGGGAATTGAGTGGCTGTTGATAAACATTAGATATCAAAATACGGCGGTAACACCATCCTTCACGTGTCATCAAGTGTGCCATTGGTTTCATAAGTCCTTAAATATGGCTTTGAACTCCATGATATCAAGGAGATATTGCTCAGTCGCCCCAATCACAGCATGAAACATATTATTATCAGCCAATTTGACCCCCGCTTCCGCCCGGGTACCAGCCAGTGTAGGATTCTGCGCTGCTGTTGGGTAGTTGCAAATCTCGTCACCAAATTGTCACCACGAGTAGACGGAAATGCCATAATACCTACTTTGCAGGATGTATTTTTTTCTTGTCACCTACAATATTCTGCACTGTCTGTAGTCTTGCCTCTCCACTTGTGAAACTTCATTCATGGGTGAGGGGTTTTGCCGGAACTCTACTGATCTGAGACCGGAAGCTCTACTGACTCTGCTTTTGTAGGTGACCGGACGAAACGATGTGGAGCTAATTATTTGGAGGAGATGATAATATGAAAGTAGAATGTACATAGAAAAAATGTAAACGTCTGGCATATCAGGCGCAGAAATAAGGGCTGGAATACAACGGATAAATTAGGCCAATCCTTTACGCTTTACATGACGAAGTATCTAAATAGAACATCCTTTCTTCATATGTTTATTATCAGTACCTGAGGGTCCTTACCTGTAGGACTTCTACGCACTCTTGATATGGCACGTGATGCGGCGTTGGCGACTTTCCTTAATTAGACTAGTCTGATTTTTCCAAAATCAAATGGGCTGACGATTATCAACTTCCATCCATCTCCAAGCGCGACAACCTCATACCGTGCGACAGGAACGATGTCCGACGCAGAATTTGAGACGATCAGGAAGCTCCAGGCCGAGCGGAATGCCGCTTCTGCTGGTAAGAAGGGGTCAAAGACGTTTGATCCATCAAATCAGCGAACTGATGTCTCCACCAAGGCTTCCCTGACCGAAAGCTTCGACACCACCCTCTACGATCGCGATGGCGTTGATAAGTTTGCCGGCTATAACACGTCTATAGCCGTAACAGGCGAAGATGACGATGAGATGGAGGAGGCCGATACCAGCCGGCGGCTCGTCGGCCAGTACACGGCCACGAAAGAGCAGATGAACGAGTTCGCCCGCGGCAACGGAGTCGAAGAAGAGGACATCCTCTTAGGCCGAGAGAAGAGTGCGCGAATTGCTGACCGGGAGACTGATTACCAGAAGCGCCGATTGGATCGTGTTTTGACGCCCACGCGAGCTGACCCTTTCGCGGCGAACAGACAAGCGGGGGCGGCGGAAGATGGCGAGAGCTACAGAGATATCATGGCTCGGAGGGAACTTGAAAGGGAGGAGCAACGAGTTAAGAGGGCTATCGAAGAGAAGGCGGCAAATGGCGAGGTTGTTCATCACCAAGCTACGCTGGCCAAGGATGGTAGTCGCTCACCTAGCGATAAGGAGAACAAGGATGCTGGCTCAACTGAAGTTGTTACTGCTGGACGCAAAAGAAAGCAACGATGGGATGTTGGATCAGAATCCACTGGTGATGCTACTGCAGTCCAGCCCGCAGAAACAAAAGTTAAACGGTCGAGATGGGACCAGACACCCGCCATAGGAGGTGCCGTTGTCGAAGAGACACCACGGCGGCGGTCAAGATGGGATCAGGCCCCAGCGGCAACCCCCATTGGCAATCAAGGATTAGTTACGCCTATGCACCCTTCACAAATGGGTGGTCCCGTTATGCCAACAACATTTGGTACTGACATCTCTATGAGGAACGCCCCGTTATCTGACGAGGAACTTGATATGATGCTACCATCAGAAGGCTACAAGATTCTCGAACCACCGCCTGGATATGCCCCTATTAGAGCAATCTCGCAAAAGATTATGGCTACTCCCGTCCCTTCGGGGGGCTTTATGATGCAAGAACCGGAAAGTGGCAGAGCGCTGGGTAAGCAGCTTCCAACCGAGATTCCTGGGGTAGGGGATCTTCAATTCTTCAAGGCCGAGGACATGGCATATTTTGGGAAGCTCACCGATGGAGCCGACGAGAACACTATGACTGTGGAGGAACTGAAAGAACGGAAGATCATGCGGTTGCTGTTGAAAGTCAAGAACGGAACTCCACCTATGCGAAAGACTGCCTTGCGTCAACTCACAGACAATGCTCGGCAATTTGGCGCTGGCCCTCTCTTCAACCAGATTCTACCGCTTTTGATGGAAAAGACACTGGAAGATCAGGAACGACATTTACTAGTCAAAGTCATCGATCGTGTCCTATACAAGCTTGATGACCTTGTCAGGCCATACGTTCACAAGATATTGGTCGTTATCGAACCATTGCTCATCGATCAAGACTACTATGCAAGAGTGGAAGGTCAGTTCGCCCTGAACAAGTTTAAGAAATGATGTCGCTAACACGCATAATTAGGTCGAGAAATTATCTCCAATCTTAGTAAGGCAGCTGGACTTGCTCACATGATCAGTACCATGCGTCCAGATATCGATCACGTCGATGAGTATGTTCGAAACACAACTGCGAGAGCGTTCGCCGTCGTGGCCTCCGCGCTGGGAATCCCCGCGCTGCTACCGTTCTTGCGTGCAGTGTGTCGGAGCAAAAAGTCTTGGCAGGCACGGCACACTGGCGTTAAGATAGTTCAGCAGATACCAATTCTAATGGGTTGCGCAGTCTTGCCCCATTTGAAGGGTCTGGTGGATTGCATCGGTGGCAATTTGAATGATGATCAGACAAAGGTCCGAACCGTTACTAGTTTGGCTATTGCGGCCTTGGCCGAAGCAGCAAACCCGTACGGCATTGAAAGTTTCGACGACATCCTGAACCCTCTATGGACTGGCGCTCGCAAGCAACGTGGCAAGGGTCTTGCGGGTTTCCTCAAGGCCGTTGGATACATCATCCCGTTGATGGACGAAGAGTATGCCAACTACTACACCAGCCAGATTATGGAGATTCTCTTGAGAGAGTTCTCTTCGCCTGATGAGGAAATGAAGAAGGTTGTGCTCAAGGTGATCTCCCAGTGTGCTGGGACAGATGGCGTAACGGCAGGATATCTCAAGGAACATGTCCTGGATGAATTCTTCAAGAGTTTCTGGGTTCGGCGGATGGCCTTGGACAAGCGCAACTACCGACAAGTAGTTGAGACCACTGTCGATCTTGGACAGAAAGTTGGAGTTGGTGAGATTGTGGAAAGAATTGTCAACAACCTCAAAGACGAGAGCGAGGCTTACCGGAAGATGACTGTCGAGACAGTAGAGAAAGTTATAGCCAGCCTAGGTGCAGCAGATATCGGTGAGCGGCTGGAGGAACGATTGATTGATGGTATCCTTCACTCGTTCCAGGAACAGAGTGTGGAGGATATTGTTATGCTGAATGGGTTTGGTACCGTTGTCAATGCTCTCGGTACCCGGTGCAAGCCTTACCTCCCCCAGATCGTCAGTACCATCCTCTGGCGTCTGAACAACAAATCTGCGACCGTCCGGCAGCAAGCGGCCGATCTGATTTCGCGTATCGCGATGGTCATGAAGCAGTGTGGTGAGGATGCACTGATGGGCAAGCTTGGTATCGTCCTATATGAATATCTCGGAGAGGAATACCCTGAAGTCCTCGGGTCCATTCTTGGTGCTCTCCGATCTATCGTCACAGTCGTCGGTATCAGCCAGATGCAACCCCCCATCAGGGATCTGCTTCCCAGACTCACACCAATCTTACGTAACCGTCACGAGAAGGTGCAAGAGAACACCATCGACCTGGTTGGACGTATCGCAGATCGTGGCCCTGAGAGTGTGAACGCTAGAGAGTGGATGAGAATCTGTTTTGAGCTTCTGGACATGCTCAAGGCGCATAAGAAGGGTATCCGACGAGCTGCTAACAACACATTTGGTTTCATCGCCAAGGCTATCGGACCACAGGATGTTCTTGCAACTCTCCTTAACAACCTCCGGGTGCAGGAACGTCAATCCCGAGTCTGTACAGCCGTTGCTATTGGTATCGTTGCTGAGACGTGTGCCCCGTTCACCGTCCTCCCTGCGCTGATGAATGAATACCGTGTTCCGGAACTCAACGTCCAGAACGGTGTCCTCAAATCACTATCCTTCCTGTTCGAGTACATTGGTGAGATGGCCAAGGATTACGTATACGCCGTCACACCGCTGCTGGAAGACGCGCTGATCGACAGGGACCAAGTGCACCGGCAGACGGCAGCTTCGGTTGTCAAGCACGTGGCCCTGGGTGTCGTCGGTCTTGGCTGCGAGGACGCCATGGTCCATCTCCTCAACCTGCTCTGCCCCAATCTCTTCGAGACCAGCCCGCACGTCATCGACCGCATCGTCGAGGCCATCGATGCCATCCGCATGGCCATCGGCCCGGGCCTGACGCTGCAGTATATCTGGGCCGGGCTCTTCCACCCAGCGCGCAAGGTGCGGCAGCCATACTGGACCCTCTACAATTGCACGTACGTCCAATGCGCGGACAGCATGGTGCCATATTATCTGAACCTGGATGATGAGAAGATGGACAGGCCCGAGTTAGCGATTGTGATTTAGGTGATTGATTTAGGTGGACTGGGATAGGATGGGATGGGATGGGATAGCGGGCGTTCTTGCGTTTGCTTGCATTGTACAGTAGGTAGATAATGGAATGTAAAGGATTCTATGAAATATAATAGCGTGTGAGTAATGCTTTTCTTGAATGGGTAGGTCTTGTTTGTTTGGCTTGGCTTGTCACTCGAGAGTAGTTGTGTGTATATGTACTATTGATGAGTATCATCCACCCTCCCCTGTTCCTTTATCCGTCCGAGTAGAAGTCTCACCTCCCCTCCCTATTCCTTGACTTCTTAAAAGGTCAGTACTTGAAGGCGTGTCTTCTGTAGAGCTGAAGAAAGATTCTTTCCTTCTTTCCTTCTTTCCTTCTTTCCTTCTTTCCTTCTTTCCTTCTTTCCTTCTTTCCTTCTTTCCTTCTTTCCTTTCTTTCCTTCTTTCCTTTCTTTTCGGACCATGGAGTTGAGTTGAGTGAGTAATATCCTAACACCTAGGTAGGTAACTACTATGTAGGGTATGTTTGATAGTAGATAGGTAGAGTAGAGCAGGTAGAGGAGGTAGGTAGGGGTAGGGTAGGGGAGGGGAGGAGGGGTGTATAGGGTATAGGGTGGATGTTTGATGATTTGATGAAGTGTTAGGTAGGTACCTTCAAAATGATGACACAAGATGAATAACAAACAACTTCAACCCCTGCCCTCCCCTTAACACATTACATACCAAGATGAACACTTTCATCTATTTATCCATGCATCCCCCACTCTCAAAAAGCCCATCTCCTTCCATCCATCCATTCACCCATCGATTCACCAAACACAGAACGAAGAGAAGAAGGACCCGGGTTTCGAAGTTTCGTATTATGTATATATAGGTATATATGTATAGGGGTATGTATAATATCTATCTTAGTAGAGACCGACCTTCTTCCTTCCTTCCTTCCATCCATCCATCCATCCTTCCTTCCTTCCTTTCTTCTTCTTTTTTTTCTTGCTCCTTCTGAAATAGCAAGCTGCCTGCCTGCCTGCCTGCCTGCCTCTCCTCACACCACGCGCGAGGGGGAGGCTCTGGGGGGTATATAATGACCTGGTAACGAAGGGAGGAGAAACCAAGGGATATAAAAAAAAACGCAGTGAACATGATGGAAAGAGCAGAACAACGCAGACTAATAGTACAAACGAGTAAAGGATCCCTTCCCGTCATCAAAAAGAAAAAAAAGGGAAAAATAAAAACCAATGCAACCATTCAAAATCCAATGCAGCCTTCTTGATGTCGCTCTCGCGCAGCTGCCAGATCAATGGCGCGCGCGACTGCATCCGCATTCCCCTCCCAACGCCGTGAAAGATCAAAAGTCGGACCAGATAGATAAGACGCGTATTGAACACTCGCGGAGCGTTCTTGCTTTCCCCATCCCATACATGAAGCCCTCGGGCGAGAGGGAGGTATTAGAAAGGAATATATATCATCTAGAAACCCGAAACCCTTCGTATCGGCGGCCACCCCCAGCCAGACAGGGGCCAGGCCGCGCAGTGGATATCAACATGCAAAAGGGGATATCGCGGACATAAAAATCGAACCCAGACAACAAGACCAAGAAATCAAATCATGACAAGGGGGCTGATGATGGAGCCCCTGGCGAAAAGGTCTCGATAATAAGGCCTCGGTAAGAGAGGCATCGAAAAAAAGGCCAACAGGCCAACCCCGAGCTTTTGACCGGCTCTCACGGCCGTGAAAAATGGCGAGAATATCGACAGTGCGTAGTGGTGTTCGTGATTTTCATATACGGTAGGACTACTCGTCCGACTGATGCTCCTCTGACCCGGCTTCGGATCGCGCCTCGCCCTTGTGCACCTTTCGGTGTCTCCGCAGGTTTGACACGACTGAGAAGTGCCGGCCGCAGCCTTCGACCTCGCAGGAGAATGCTGCTCTGAATTAGCCGTGTTTCGGGGGGAACCGGACCCAAGGGACTCACGCTTCTCGCCGGTGTGACTGTACATGTGCGTCTGGAGCGAGCTGGGGCGGGTGAACCGCTTGTCGCACACCTTGCACTTGTGCTTCTTCTGCGTACTCGAGAAGACTTTGGAGCTGAACTGTCCCATCATCGACTGGGGCGCCGGGGGGATGCCCCCGCTCAGCAGCCCCGATGGCCGCGGCAGCGTCCGCGATGAAACTGACTCGATGTCAGAGCCCGTATTCGAGTAGTCGCTCACAGAGGAGTCGACGGAGCCACCAAAGTAGGATGGGTAGGTACCAGATGAGGAGATGGAGGAGTTTGTAGAGTGCGCCGGGGGGAAGCCATAGGAATCACCCGACCCCCTCCCGACACGCCCTTGCGCCCCGTAGATGTTGCGCGGGGTGGTGTTCTGGCTCATGGCGATCATGCCCCGACTGGCATCGATCGCGTCGCCGAAGCTTCGGGTCGACTCGTTCTGGAGTCCCCTGCCATGCAAGTCAATAAGGGAGTTCTGGCGCTGCGAGCGCTGTGCGCCGGCGGATGGATCGAGGGAGGAGGTTGAGGGGACTGACGGTTGTGACAGCCGTCGTGCATCCTGCTGCTGCTGGATCGCATACGTCGAGCGGACGGGTGCGGGGGCGTAGCCTATGGGGTCATAGGGGGCCGTGGTCGGGGGGTAGTTGGCGTGCACCGGCGACGGGGCGCTCGAGTATGCGGCCTCGTTTCCATAGCCTGGGGGCATCGGCCGGTTCGCGTTCAACAGATCTTGGGGAGTGGTGAGCACAGGGTGCGGAGCATACGCATCCGTCGAGAGAGGGCTACCTGCTGATGCCGCGGGGATTGGGACGTTGGCATACGACCCAACGCCGCTGTGCATGCGCGGCGGCTGCTGATGCTGTTGTTGGTGTTGTTGCTGCTGCTGCTGCTGCTTCGCGATGCTGTCGAGGTTGAGGTTGTGTGAGGAGGCATAGAGGCTGTGGCTCTGCGACGGCGCTGACGACGAGGTCCATGGATTGGTGAACTGAGGGCTGCTCGTGTAGGGCATGTGGTCGAAATTCATGCCGCCGAAGCGTTGTTGGTTGTCGATGGCCATTGTCATCTTTGAGAGCGACGGGGAGGAGGTATCAAGGTGAAGAGTGGTAGTGTTGTATCAAAGGATAGATCAGATGCGTTGGAGTTGATACAACAGAGACTCGTGGGCCCGAGTAGAAGGATCGTAGTTTCAGAGAGGACGCGGATCAGATGCAGGATCCCGTAGAGAAGGTCGTGCCAGTACTACTGTCGACCGGGTGGGATATGCTTTGCAGGCAGTCGAAGAGACGATCCGTCAGGTATATCTGGACGAGTGACGGCGGGATCGTCGTTCTTATGTGCTGCTGGGTGGAAAAAAACACGGAGGCAAGAGATCCAGGAACCTGGTTGGTCGCCCGACGTAGCTTGAGCAGGCGTTCAGTGACGGACGAGTGCTTCGGCTGATAGGAGAGGTGGAGGGGATAGCGTGGGAGCCGAGGGCGGGTTTTGGGTTTGTCGGGGGGGGGGGAGAGTTGGTTTTGGTAGGGGGGGAGGATTGATGCCTTAGATGCCTTGAGAGCCGGGGGGTGTGTGCCTGGGGCGTGCCTTTTTTTGGAGATGCCTTGGATGGCCTGAGGTGTCAAGACCGGGGTGCTGGTGGTTGGGACCGGGACTGCGAGTGGGGACTGATGGTGGCCTGACAGGGCCTGACTGGGCCTGACTGGGACTGACTGGCCCACGACCGGGATGGGCAATGGAATTTGTGGGAACGGTGGACTGGGTGGGCGTGTGGTGGGTATCTGGGAGATGTGGATTTGATGGACCGATGGACGATGGACGATGGATCAGACAGTGGGGCCGCTGCTGTCGACAGTCCTTGAGCTGGCGTTGCTGCTGGGAGGGGGGCCCCTTGGAGCGGTGGTGGACGGCTTTGCTGCTTTGGACACGACTCCAGCGCGCGATCGACGACAGATACCTCGACACGGTTAGAGCTGGCTAGGAGCGCCTTTTGTATTGTGTCCTGGGTCCTTGGGTCCTTGGTGGAGGAGGTTGTGTGGAGGTGCCAGGGTCCTGCGATCGGGTCGAGGATGAAAGGTTCCAGGGAGAGTCAAGGGGACGGCGGTCTCGTTGGAGATTAAGCTCATCCGCCAGGTTCCACTGTGAGGGTTGCCGGTCGGCAGTGCTGCTGATCAATGTGTCGTACCACTTGAGACGACCTTTGTTATCGATGGGCGATGGCGATGTATGTACCAGATGTAGGATGTACGATGCACGGGACGGTACAATGGGCGATGCTGGCGGTGGGTGCAGAGGGAGACGGGAGGATGCAGTCGTGGAGGGGGAGAAAGGATCCCAGGAGGCGTTGAGTACCTTGGGTAATGAGGCTGGAGAGGGTCGTCGGCGGAGGAGCCTCTCTCTGTGAAGGGCTCTTTGACGGTCGTTGGGCCCTGGATCCGGCGGGATTCGGGAGAGGCGTTTCTATGGTCGAGGGACAGTGCGTTGAAAGGATAATAATAGGGATAGGAACAGGAGGAAGAGCAGTGAATAAGGATCATAACAAGAACAAAGATTATAATGATGATGATGATGATGGAGATGCAGAAGAACCAAGCGAGAGCAGGGGACCAAGCCTATGTCGTCCATCAAACATGAGAATGCCCTCACACATACGCCTTACCTAGTCGCCGTTTTACCTACAATGCTCCGGTCAAGAAGTGCTCAGTCGCGAGTCCGGTCTCTGAATCTCTTGCCTCAGTGCAGCGCTGTGCAGCGTGCCCGAGTTGGCGTAGTCGCAAACGCAAGGGAACTCAGGTTAACTCACGCAACTCAGGTAACTCGCGCAACTCAACTCACGCAACTCACAACCCATGTCCCCCTCCCATGTACGATGATGGAAGAGGCCGCAGGGGCATGCCGCCGTCTTGCCACACGCGGCCATCAACGTCGCGGGCGCCAGGGCCCCTGACTACGGTACAGAGCACTTCTGTACAGTAGTCGTCCTGTGTACGAACTATGCCCGACGCACATCCAGAACAGCTCGAATGAGGAGCGCGCACTGCCTTCACCCTTCGTCCTTTGCCCCGCGCGCACATACGCAACCGGCAGTGCCAAGATACGAACCTCCAGAAGTACCGCACACACACACAACACACTCGCCGCTTGAAGAAAAGCAAAAGCACTTCACCTGGGCAACCCATGGCAGGTTGGCTGAACACGGCCTAGCGTCCCCAGGTCCTGCCGCTGGCCAATCACAGCAGGAGTAGCGTCCCCGCCCGAAATGGATATCCCTCTGCGAGTCTGCGTGCCTCTCAGATTACTACCGAGGTGGTTAGCCTGCGCTGTAGCAATTGGCCTAATCCTCTGCAGAAACAGGGCGGATCCAGGACGATAGCGCCGTCCAATACCGGCTAGCCCTGGCCTGCCCCGTCCGCCGTAGTCTCCTTTGGGCGCCGGGTCTCTCCTCGCGTCTCTGGGCCCCTGCTTACGTAACTCGCCCGTGACCCGTCGAGCAGCCACTTCCGAGGACAAGGCACAGCGGCCCATGGGAATAAGAGCGGGCCGGCGTGCCCGTAGTCCAGGGGGGAGTGGGCCCAGTGCGCAAAGTGTGGGACGCCGGTACGTGGACAGTGGACACGACGCCGTGCACCACACCACAGCGTAGTGTGCTCTGTAGAAGTAGGAGGACCCGGAGGTGCTGTCACTACTGCTGTACGTACAATGTACAGTGCGCGCTTCTGCTGTCTAGGATGCTTAGCTGAACGGTGGCACAGAGGACCGGCAGTGGTTGGTAGGGCCAAGACGTCGTCGCGCGAGGCAGTATGCACAGTGCACAGAGCACAGTTCACAGTGCATGCCTGCTAGCAATGCTTGGCCGGCAACGGGGGACGGCGCTGGATATGTTTGATGAACGGGCTCCATCTGTACGGAATAGTACTGCGTGGGCGACTGGGAGACGGGGAGACTGGGAGACTGGGAGACTGGTTGGTAGTCGTATGTATGGGGTACACGCGCCGCATGTCCTCTCCTCCATGATCCATCATGTCCATAGAGCATGTACCTGTACCATGCTTCGTGCACGGAGTATGCGAGCAGCGCCTCGTGGTTGGCCAAGTGTCGGGACTGGTGCTCGAGTAAGGCCCCCTCCATATCAAAGTCATCCATCAACTCCGCATCTCCAGTACCACTCTACCGAGGACAGTCTCCCTCTCCATCCTGGTCCATGATAGCACGAGAGCAGCCCGCATGGAGGAGTATCTCGACTCGCGCCGCATCCCCGGAGACAAAACTCCAGAGAGGCCTACCTTCAGATCCCACCCCTCTCCCCCCCGGTCGTTGTTCAAGCCTCTCCCATCCTCGTCCCGATAGTTCGAACGCCTCTTGCTGGTCGCCAGCCGACCCCCGCCGGCGATCCACATGCTCTTTGCTTTTCCTCGTCCTCTTTCTGCTCCTCCCCAACATCAACCTCATCAATAAATGAGATTACTGTACATATGTGTACATGGCACTTGCAGCAACCCCAGGAGGTCCCCTTGGAAACTATTGATCCGGGCCCTCACGTCCAGCAGTTGCTAGCCCAGCTGCTGGCCCGAGCAGAGTTGATGCGGCCTAGCACCAGCCGTTACCTGAACAGTGTCGCGTCGCTCGGCAGATGGGCGTGTGGGGAAAAGAGAAAGACACACCAAGGTCAACAGCAGACCAGCAGAGCACCGAGGGCTTCCACTGCCCCGACACAAGTCATGTCTTTCGCACCGGAGAGAAATGACACAGGCGATTTCTTGCTACAGTAGCGCACCAATCCTGTCGTCTGTCATCTGTCATCTGTCACCCGTTTCGTTCTCTTCTTTTCTTCTTTTTGCACGCTCGGGCTGTCGGAGGGAGGAGATTATTCTCATCGGGGTCTCCCTATCAGCACGCTCATTATACGTTAAATGATAGTTCAGCCACCAGAGCGGGACGGCCGATCGCAGCAAGGACAGGGTGTCGAGCGCCCTGGGGACAAGAAATATGAGAGAGATGAGGACTGAAGAAGCAATCTCTTGTGATGATAATTGCCACGCGACGAGCGAATGATGAGCCGCAGGTATGGCATGTAATGATGTAGGTAGATTGTACAGAGCATGGGCAATGACGAGGGGGGAGGGCTTTGGCTCCCTGACCCCTTCCTGCAAGCTAAAATGGCGAATTCAAATTTGACACTATCACCAACACCCATCACCCTTTCCTCGTGGGTGCGGACCCTAGAGAGAGCGATAGAGTCCTGCGAGGCTGCGAGATTGTTGAGATTGCAATCTCTCTGTCCAGATTAATTTCTTTTTCGCTATTTCTTTTATTTCATTTTATTGGTTTTTTGGGGGCGGTTTCCGGGAGGTGTAATCAACCAAAGGTTCCAGTACCCGACGGACGCTGCTCCATACAGCATCGTTCTCCCGTATCACCGTCCCGAATGTCGCGACTTCAGGCTGGAGTCAGTCGGGGATAACAGGGGGGATGGATGTCGTCCTCCCTTCGCGTGGGGACCGCATGTCTGGCAATAGTGCACGAGCCGATAGAGACTCGAAACTGGAAAAAAATAGATGAGCTCGGGATACCTTCCCCTCTTTTCAAGCATGGAAAGCAAGCATTGATTCCTGACTCTCACTCCTGACTCCTCATGTCTCCGAACTCGTCACCAGGGTCTCAACAATGCCTCGCGCCGCGGCTGTGAAAATAAGGTCGACCGCTGCAAGTCTTAAGCCTCGTGCGCAGAATGATGGCTAAGAACGGTTACTGGTGTTACTGGTGGGCTGGTCGGGTCGTTCAAAGATGGAGGGGAGATTTTCCACCACCTTGACGGGAGATAGACCAGCCAGCCAGCCAGTTACGTCGATGGCGACGGGGGACCCCTGCGGCCCAATAGTGAGCGCGGTGCGTGGTTTTTTCGCTGCTCATTAATACCGGCAACGACGTCGATCCGCCCGGCATTCGCGAGATCTGGGAGGGGACTGTGGGAGCCTGGGAGGTTGAACTCACGCCTCTAGTGCCCCAAGCGCGGGCTCGGTTGCCGTTGCTTGTTGCTTGATTGCTCGAGTCTCGGGGGTGATGGAGCATAATGGGGCATGATGGATCCTCCCACAACGCCAAACTCGAAAGCGCTTCACTTGATTACAGCGGAGGCATGGATGGGTCTGATCCATCCACCCGGAGAGGGGAAGGAGAGAGAGAGAGAACACTTGAGACTGTACTCGGTGTGATAGATCTTGGTGGCGAGCGTTGCAGGGTGACTGACTGCTTCAAAGACTGAAAGACAGAGACCTGAGAAGAGGCGGTAAAGGGCAAAAGACAAAGCCGCAAAGGGCAACGGGTCAAGGGCAACGGGCAGAGACGGGGACAAGACGTCACTCTTCCGCAGCGTGGTCACTTGGTGAGCGGTGAGGGCGCGGAGAGAGCTCCCCCGCCAATGAGAAGGCCCGCCGCGCCCCGCCCACGATCCGAGAGAGGTTGGCAAGGACTCAAAGGAACTTGACAAGGAGGGAGGACACCCTTGCATGTCACGTCAAGGCAAGACTGGCAGCTAAGCAGCTTGCAAGTCAACGACCAGTCAAGGCAACGCAGGCCAGGTCGAGTCGAGTCAAGCGGCAGGTATGTGGCCCAAACCCTGAGACCTCATCGCGCCTCCCAGCTGTCTCCGGCGGAGTTGTGGCGGAAAGAATCAGAGACAGAGACATAGTGACATAGGGTGTACGGCATTAACTGCTGCAGTTGCCAGAGCTTCGGGCCAAGGGCCAATGGATAGACGTTTGACTCGCGCCAGCAACGCCCATGAGCAATGGCACCATCATCCTACAGACGTCTGTAGTCTGTACTGTCGGACTGGTCCCAACTAGTCCTTCCCAATGATCCCAAGATTCCAAGACTCCAAGACGGTTCAAGAGTCTACTCCCTAGGAGATTGCGGAGTGGCCCTGCGCCGCCACTCGCCAGAGACCCTGATGGACTTTGCATGCGCAGCGGTTGCATTGAAGCTATCACGATCCCGTGCTCGCGAGCCTTCCTCGGCATCGGCCATGCGCCTCCGTATCCCGCATCCAATGGCGAACGGCTTGACTGATTCTGATTATTTACAGTATCACGTTATGTTTATTTACTCATTTACTGTAAATGAGATGTAATATTACCCCCGCTCCCCTTTCCAGCCTAACACCAAATTACCCCCTTCCTCCTTCCGGTAGTCACCACCCACCCAACCCAAACAGGTCCCAAGCCAGAGCCCCGCCCCTCCCCCTCCCCCATCTTTCATTCCGCGCCCGACCAATCCCCCGCCCCTCCCACCCACGCCGCCGTTTCATCCTCCCCGCCTAACCCCATCCGGGAAATCGGGCGCCGCCGATCCCCTTTTCTAATTCCCTCTTCGCGCGCCACTCCCACCCATCCCCCACAACACCTTACCGTACCGCACCTAGGTACCTAGAGAAGAGAGCCTGAGGCCCTAATCATTTATAGCTTGGTACCTTACCTTACCTACCTTACCTACTAGCCTGAGCCTTCCTTCCTCCTAGCTACCTACCTAGCTCAAGCTACCTTACCTTACCTTACTTTGGCTCACGTAAGCAAAGGCAACACAACAGCGAACTAAAGAGTTCCCTGGCTGCAGCTAGCAGACTTCTGGGAATTGTGGCTGCCGATCGCTGCGAGCTTAATTCTGCATTGCTCCGAGGATTGCGCCGAGAGGGTGTGCGTGTGCGTGTTGCGTGTGGTTTCTTGCTTTTGTATGTATGGATGTATGGATGTACCTAAGGACTAAGGTGTGTAGAGTACTAGAGGAGTAGACTGTAGGTAAGGTAGTCGTTTGTCTTGCTATACCTACACATACATACACAACTTCCAAAGCAAACGTGGATTATCAATAAACACACACCCATCATCTCATCCATCTCATCTAATCAATCTAACCTATTCCAGATCCCCTGTCTGTGTAATCACCCTAGTCACCTCTACCTTATCCCGATTCTTCAACAACAATCCATTAAATCCATCAATCTATAATTCAATCTCAAATTAACTTTCTCTCTTTACCTCCGTCCATTTCTAATGCTTTTTTCTTTTTGCTTTTTTCTTTTTGCTTTTGTTTTCTTTTTTCTTTTTTGTGGAAGAAATGAACAGAGAGAGGTTGAGTATTAGGTTTTAGATAACAACTATCTACATTTTGCAAATATGTTCTTTTTCTTTTCCACCTTTGATTTGGAATAACATATCGGCATTTCCTTACCTAACCTTACCTTAACTTTACTCTACTCTACCTAGCGTACCTAGGTAGCTTCAAGAACTCACAGACCTGATCGAATAGATAGGTAGATGCCTGGATGCCTCATATAGGCTGGAAATGCCGCTTTAGGAAGAGTTTGATGCTCGTTCGTTGATGTTTTGTTTGTTTGTTTGTTTGTTTGGTTTCTTGTTTGCTTACTTGCTTTTTTTGTTTGGCCTTCGACTACTGTGGATGGAATTGCATGGTGAGATTTATGATATCATATCGTAGTGATCAAGAGGCATCCGGGATAGGGATCAGCTAATCTGTACCACCAACATCCACGCAGACGAATCAATCACAAACCTCTCGTCTCATCTCATCCCATCCCATTGCCTCACAGATCAACCCCATTTCACATTTACATTTTCAATAGATCACTACGAGACAGCAGACAGCAGACTTCAGCATTCATGAAATTACTAATTTCTCTTCTCTGCGATGCTCAGATACAACGCACCGAGGAACCGCCTTGATCCATACCTACATTACATACATTCGTCCGAAACATTCCGTCAGGCTGTGAGACCCGACGCCATGTTTCGCGGCCGGGGGACGGGACCGCTGGGGGTTGTTTGGTTTTTATCATACAAAAAGAAGATCGGTCAGGTCGCTTGCACGCTGCAACAGGATGACGTGCAAGGAGCAGCTCTAAACATTAGGCCGGCCGTAATAGAAGAAGAGAAGAAGTGAAAAGGGGAAGCCGTAGACCTGGCACGTCGTCGTGCCTATCATCAGAAGGCCGTGGAAATAACTGCCGAGAAGCAGAGAGTGCCTTGCTCTAGATGTAAAAAAGAAAACGCCTCCAAACTCGACCCCGAGAGAGGCTAACCAGCCTATCCAGAACGCCTAACCCAACCCATACGCCTTCATTATCGCTTTCTCAGATCATCGCCGACTGCTTCTCGATCCCGCTCCGGCCCTGGCCTAAAGAGCCGAATAGCTGCGACGGCGGGATTCTCGACATGCCGTTCCCTCGGTCGTAGGTAGCCGTGGGCGCCGGGACATAGCCTTCGCGTTTCCGGCGAATACGCTCTGCGATGACGCCAGCAATGACCATCAGGAATATGATGCCCAGAGAGATGGCGAGCGCAATCAGAACGACGAAGCCAACGCGGAGATGGTGACCTATAAACGTTGTTAGCATCGGATTAGATGGGGTTGTGCCGGGCTCTGCTTACGTGGCTTGCGGAAGAAGTTCTGTTCTTGGGAGAAGAACTGAGATAAGCTACCCCCAGTGTTGGATGAGGTGCTAGTGAGGGCGAAGGGCTCAAAGGTCGTGCCATTGAATAGTACTGCTGACACACTCCCAAATCCCGTCAGGTTCAAAGAACCGGTGACCATGAGTACCTGGTTTGAAGGGACAAGGGACGACGAGGCATGGTTTTTGCTGAGTGGCAACATTTGGAGACCTCGAATTGTTGTACCGTTCCCGAGAGCGTCACCAACAGAATTCCAGTTACTCCCATCGTACTTCATGAGGAAAGCTGAGCCGTTGGTCGCAGTTCCTGCAACCCAGAGTTCGGATGCGTCACTGCTTGCTGCAGAAAGTGCAGTTACAGGCCCTGGAATTATGGTTGCTCCGTCTGCAGCGCTCCACGTTTCTGCTTTGGCATCGTAATTTGCTAACGAGATTTTCTCGCCATTGATCGATAGGTCCCCACCAACAATGAGTAAGTTCGGGCTGGCCCACGTCATAACATTAGCCGTGCCCCCAAGGCTTGAGCCTGGACGATTCCACTGAGACACTGTAGTGGTGAAGACACATACACCTGGACAATCCAGAGACCCTGCAGAGGAAAAGCTCCCGCCAACGTAGACGTCCGATGAGCTTGGTCTCATTGTGATAGTGTTGACAGAAACAGTGTCGCCAGCTAGGGCAGGTGGCTGTACTGGAAACGTGGATGTGAGGAGGTTATACGAGATCAGACCATCCACGGTTGCGCCGTTGACATTTCCGCTCAGTGATCCACCAGCGAACAGAGTATCTTCCTGGATAGCCAATGCAAGAACTGTAGAGTCATTTGAGAGTGATGGCCCAATACCTGTAACAGTATCGGAGTTCGAGCCGTTGATAAAGGCAAGGCTATTGATATTCGACCCATTCGACCCGACTGCTGTAAATTGTCCACCAAGAATCGTAATATTGCGTCCTCCATTCTCATAGAATAGTCCAGTGACAACCCCGGTAACATTTTGACTGCCGGTAGCGCGTTTGGCCAAGCTACTTGAGGACTGAGGTTGAGATGACTGAATCTTGACAGGAAATGTGGCTAGACTAGACCCAGATGAGAGGGCGGCCACTCCATTGGCGTTCAGCTGAGACCAGGATAAGGAACCTGCGAAGAGATGACCTCCTTCTGGGAGATCTACAGAAGCAGTAAGCTCTCCTCCATCAATGCCGATTGTGGTAACGTTCAGATTCTGGAGCCAGTTGCCGTGGGATGGTACCCAAATAGCAAATCCCGTAACAGCTATGGAACTGTTGTTCCCGAAGGGGAGGATTTCGGTGAAATCACCCGTAAGAGTAAGTACAGTTTCTGGAGTATTGGCGGTTACGTTCATTGACAACGGCACGATATTTGTAACGAGCCCATTGACGCCGGTTCCCAAGGCGTTCCATGCATTCTTGGATGTATCGTATGCAGCAACATTGTTGAGACCAGGGCTTCCGCCGGTACTTGTGTTGGTGAACCCACCCCCCACATAGAGAATGGACCCATTGGCAAACGCAGTCAAGACCTCTCCGTTCAGACCACCTCCTGTCAGTGGAGTAGCGCCGCTATCACCGATTGCCAAGATATTCTCGAATGTAGCCGTTGAGAAGTTACCCCCGACGTAAGTAGTGCTTCCCAAGGTCTGAAGCGTGTTCACCCCAGATCCAGTCCCAAGGCTCATCCCGGCCTTATCAAAGGTTGAGTTGGTGAAGTCTGCAGCATTTATTACGGCTTGATTAGGGTCGTACTCGAATATGTTATTCAGGCCACCACTTGAAGAAATGAGTGTAAAGCCAACGCGTTGAGCCACGACCGAGAGATTGGCGATAGTTTGACCAGGTGCCGGCGTGAGGGTTACAGAAGGGCGGAAAGAGTTGCTACCAGCTTCGATGTACCCGAAGTATATCTGGTCATACTTGTCGAAGTTGTTTGTCTGGTAAATCTCCGTGGTGAACCCTGTACCACTGACGCCACTCGCCATCGTGCCATTGACCGTGACCCGTCCTCGGGTGGAGCATGTGTTATCTTGAATGCATCCTGGTGTGTACATGTTGACGGAGTAATTGCCAGATTGCTTGATATCAGGAAGAAACATAACAGAGGCCGAGTCTGGCTCAGTGACCGTAGCTGTTAAGTATTCGGAATAGCTTTGAGAAGAAGGAGTGACCTTCCACGGTCCAGTGATGTTGGCATTCGAAGCCAACTGGATTCCAGCACAAGTAGGTTCGTCGAATTTAGTGATGGCATAGGCGAATATATCATTCTCAAACAGCTCGATCCCATTCAATCCGCCTCCACTGCCATACCAATCAGAGATATCCAAGCGGAAGCCACTCATTCCAATGACATTGACAAAGTGAAAGTCCTGATATGGCACACTAGCGTCATTGCTCAGGGGGCACTGGGAGGTGCAGGTCGCATTCTGGCCTGTTGCTGGATCGATGTATGTGAAATTCATGATGCCATTGATTGGCTGAGCAGTATATCGCCAAGTCTTTGTGCCGCGGCCATCTTGGTGAGTATTCCACAATCTTAGCTTTGTCGGTTCAAAACCAAATCCGAACTTAGCCTCCCAGAAGCCAGGAGTATTATCAGCCAGGAGCCACGTGTTGTCATGTCCATCGATCCCACCACTCGGGCAAGCAATATTCCTTGGGTCGCTAAAGCCGCTGAGTGTCGTAGATGATCCGGCTGTGATATTGGCCCCCGAAATGTTGATGATTTGTTGATCTGGTTCGCTCGGTCCCGTAGCATTTCCTAAGGCCGTAAAAGATCCTCCAAAGATAATATGGCCAGTAGAATCCTTAGTAATGGATTTCACAGGTCCATTGAAACCATTAAATGGAAGATTAGTCCAGCCAGTTGTTCCTACCCAAGCAAGCGCATTCGTGGAGTTTGCGCCCCGTAGACTGCCTCCAACGTACACAGTATTCGTATCTTGATCGCAAAGCAGTGCGGAGACTTGGCCAGACAGACCAGGGAGTGGAGTAACGGTCGAGGTGTTTGGATTGAACATGGCAGCCCCTGGCGAATTCATCCCTCCAAGGCTTGTGAAATTACCAGCGACCATTACACCAGCCGTCGTTCCGTCCTTCATAACAAATGTACACATAGCCTGAATACCGGCATCAGATGCAGCCAGAGTCGTAAAGGCGCCATTGGGAAATTGTGATAACACAGACTGGCTGCCATTCGTGTTGAAGCCGTTCTCATTCTGTCCTTCGAATTGATACAACGAAATGCCGTCAAAATCACCCGCCAGCCCTACACGGCCCAGATTAGAGAGATCGAGATTAGGAGATGGGATCGGAGTGAAGGAGATCGCATTAGAGATTGGCGCAAGGGATGTCAACAAGAGACTCAGTCGGAGTAAGGGTGGAGAATCGCGGATGGGTGGACCCAGCCATGAAGGGAACCTCATTGCTGAATCCAGAAGCCTAGTGGATAGTGGATTTATCGCTGTCCTAATCAATGATGATGCGAGTGAAAAGCTCGAGGACTGTCGTTATTCGGGCCTTCACCTTCAGTGCTTCATCGGTGAACACACGCGGCGTTATTCCATCACCTTTGACGCCCTTTGATTGATGGCGCGTCAATTGTTTACGACAAATCTAGGCCTTGTCGTGTCAGGCGAGATCCTCCCTCGCGACTGATGTCGAGTCGATGGAATCGAAGAGAAGGGGGCGCGGATTAAAAGAATTCGAGGTTGAGTGAGGTGCTTGCTGCACGAACTCGCTAGGACAAGCCACTGAAATTTCGCAGTAGTTGATCGACCAAAGGCTGCCGGGCGACGCTGGCAACGCGAGAAGAGAGGGTGAATAGGACCGGACGCTGACTGGATGTTGAAATGAATGTCAAAGTAATCGTGAGAGTCTTCTTGCGATGTTCCCTACGCGCTACAGACGAATTTGCTTGTGGTGGAGACTGCTTCGTACAACGGATATCGGGTAGGGTTCGCGGTACACGTGCGGGTAGTAGAGTTAGTATCGGAAGAGTGAATTGATGTCGCGGTATCAAATGTGTCTCAAGGATTGAAGAAAGAGCGTATAGGTCAGATGATCCTGAAAGAGTGTGAAGTAGTGAAGTAGTGAAGTAGTAACGCGGTGATGTGGTGATGGTACCTGGAGTTCCCACGTCAGTCCGCTTAGTTGCCCCTGTGCCTTTCGCATTATCGTAGTAGCGCAGCTGGGCCCGCGACTCGTGCGTGGGGAGAGGACACCTACCGAAATGACAGTAGAACGCCGCACAAAGAGAGAGGATGGTGTTGTGTTTAAAAGGAACGACGGTCAACGGTTAGAAGAACTGAATGAAGCTGCTGCTCTCGCAGAAGGATATTTAGAAAGGACGGCGACGTCTTCTCGATACGAACAAACCTCCTTGCTGCTACGGTACCTTACTAGGTTACTTCACTTTTCTAGCTAACCGTATCCCGGCCTCGTTTGTTTGTCACGACCAGGTATCATACAATCTACCTCAAACACTTTTACGGCATTTATATTATGGGGGTGGCTGGTGCTCAGTAAGGTACCTTAGGTGAAGGACACTGAAAGCTTTGGCAGGCATTCTTCACATGGCAATCATGGGTCTCCCACACCTGCGAATCGTATCAAGCAATGGCCCGATCATCTCAAACACGTAGGAGACCTGTAAGATCGTCCCTGGTTCTCCTGAAGGCTGGCAAGGTTTGTTGCAATCACGTGAAAGAGATAAGACATCGAGAAAGGCCTTCTTTGGCAATACTCCGTAGGGCTTTTCCCAGGCTACCACACCGTCAGTACTAAGTATCCCTATCTATATTGATCCATCAGTAATAGTAGGCTAGAGGTGACATTGCTCTTTAGCAGATCCTATTTCACCCTCCTACCTAGTTTTGTTTTCTTTATAGCATCCTCAGTTGCTATTTCCCATTGTTAAAGCTCCTTAGGTCTTCATCAGGCTCAAAGGGATAACGATGATAATAGCATTGAGTCTTTATTATTCTTAATCTTCGGTTTTTAAGATATGATGTGGGACTTTGGACCACTCAGTTTAGAGGTCAGAACCCTGACGGTCGGAGATCCTGGGGACAAAGACCCTCAGAGATGATAACTCTAAAAATAATGGAAGACCCTGACCCACTAACTTCTCCCGATAGCTGCAAAGCAGGCCCTGACCACTACCAAAGGATTGAAAGAGAAGCCAGAAACCATTAAGTCCATTATTACCGAGTACATAGAACTGCATGGAACTCAAAGTAGGTAGGTAGGCCTCCAAGTTATGTCGGAATCTAAAGCCAACATTATTCGAAAAAATTCATTAGCAGCAGGTTTTCCTACACCCACAAAGAGCGCACATCAACTACCTTGGCTGGGTGATTGTGAGCTGGTACTATTGCTACACTAGCCGCAAGGATAGCTATTACAGAAGAAGTCGACACTCCCTTCACAAGACAATTGTTGAGCCCTTCGGGCTTTACCTCCAAGGCTATAGACCGAGCCTCCTACCTTTTAAGTCAGAGAATCCCATCAGGTATCTCTCGTATATCAAATAATGGGTATCATTCTTTGCTCATTTCGGATCATTAGATGCAGCAATCCTGGTCTTATACTCCCTCGGACTTTCGAAATCACTCGCTTTCCCTGCCCAGATGCCCCGTTTCCACCATTTTGCCCACTTCTCCGTCCTCCTGTATTTCTGCTCAAAATCCCCAAACTCCGCTCCCATTTTCGCCTCGTAAACAGTAGCAAGTCCTACCTTCAGCATCTCTCTTCCTACATCCTTGCGCAGACCAAACTTGCGCACCCATACCGTAGCCACAACACGGTCGTACTGATCCCTCTTGTAAATGTAAGCTCGCACGCGTCGATTCAGGATGTATCCTCTGAGCCAGGCTAGAGCTTCGGCGGCATATGGCTGTCCTGGCTTTCCAAAATGTGCCCCTTCTGGCGCGTCGATTCCTGCTATACGGATGGCTATCTGCAAGAAGATCATCAGTCTGTGTGAGTCTTATGCGCAGAGTAAGGAGTTGACATACCGTGTTATCCTTTAACTCGCTCTTCTTCTTGGGTATTTTCCTTCCTGGCATCCATCCCCAGCCGGCCAACCTCCCGCCGGGTGTATGGAAAAGGTGGAAATTGTCGCCATCGCCCACTCTCGTTACAATTCCAAACAAACTTCTTCTTCTGAAGAATCCAGGGCGTATGTACCCAGCTTCTGGGATACGACGTAGGTATGTACGGTATACGCGAACAGATGCTAGGATTGCTGTTGTGAGGAGAAGCGTCGGTATTATGGTTCTTGGATCAGTATAGTGGGACCAGTCTGTGGCATTGAGGCTATCCGTCCATGAGACTTGCCCTTTTTTGTCATCGCTGTCCCTTTCTTTTGACCATGGTGGCCATCGCATTGTGGTTGAGTTGTTGAAGATGTGGGGAAGAGAGCTCGCTACCCGCGGAAGCTTAAGGTAAGGATGAGCAGGGATCCGGGCTAGTAAGTAATATCGAAACACGTGCCAGCAGTGAAAGGGTAAGAGGATCGGTACACTGTTGAAATTTATTCGGATTGATCCCGATGGCTCTATAGCTACGAACTCATTTGAGTTGACTACATTTAACAGGCGTGTTGGAGCAACTTCGAAACCGAGTCGGCCTTCAACTTCTAATTCCCCGTCTCCATACATGGAGATAGATATCTATTATCGAACCAAGCCATCCCTCGTGGCTTTCCTCCTACGCTCTTTATATTTTTAGAAAGAACCCCAGCCTTTCTCCTCTTCAATTGAGGTACGACCGTACGAGTGATAGGAGGGGCAGTATTAGAACCACTGAGCTGATAGACATTGTACATATATCTGCCAGGGTCACACTAGTAACCTTCTTCGTTTCGCTCGTTGACTTCGAGAGCTTTCGAGGACAATACCATCCTTACTCTCCCCAAACTCATCTTTAACCTCATCTAGTATATACTCTCTCTTCACAACTACCTTTGACTCCAAGACAGTCCCGTCTTCTTTCTTAATCTCCACTTCATCAACGTCCACCTCAAGTTTGGTCGTCAGTCTTTCTGAAAAAGTCTTCAGATCAGCTGCGAAGAGCACTGAATGCGCCCATCCTGCCTCCTTGCCCCATAATGCTCTAAAATGGTCGCCAACAGCATCATAGGTTGCCTTAGTTAAGCTCTTATTCTTCCCTTTGCCGAATTTGTAATCCCGCTGAGCAATTTGCCAGACATGGGTGTCAACAGGCACACTTTCGCCCCAACCAAGACCCATTAGGCAAACGCAATCAGCAACCTTTGGTCCCACGCCTTGAAGCTTAAGTAGCTCTTCATGAGCTCTCCGATAACCTTCTCTACCACCATCTGGAAGACCCTTTTGATCCATGCCACTGTCGAATAGTTCAGGGTTGCATAGGCTTTGTAGCCAGCCTTTCGGTCTTTCTTTAGCAACTATTGAAGCCGTCTTGGCTATATAGCCTGCACGATAACCAAAACCAAGTTCTCGCAAATGCGACTCGATTCCAGGCGCTGTCAAAGCCTCTGGGGTAGGGAAATCGTGGAACGGCTGGTCACCAATATGGCCTATCAGTGGCCCATAATGTATACATAAGTTGTGGACCTTCGCCATTATTAGCAGACTTAATAATATACAGAAATGTCTTGCCCATACCATTTGTGATATTCTCGCTATATTATTATTGCTGCTACAAATAAAACAAATAAGTGCTTCCCAAGCATCTTGTTTTAGAATTCGAACTCCCGTGAACTTTGGAGCTCTTCTCTTAAAGTTTGGGTCCACAGACGACCAGTGTTCATAGAGAGCAGTCAGATCAGGGCCTAGATTCAGGTAATGGCGGATCAGTGATTCTGTGTCATCATCCTCTCCCTCGCCATCTCCTTCAATTGTTGAAGACCGCTGCGATGCAGGAGGACTCAATAGGTGTGAGAGGCTTGGTTTAATGGTCCGATAATGAAGATGGGTAGAGTCTTGTTTCAAAGACAGTATTCGGCCATGAAGTGCGCAAGACCTGTCTGATGTTAGCTCCTGCCTTTGATCCTCCAAGTTTGGTTTACCATTCATTGTCCTGGAGCTTCTTCCACCTGAAAGACTGGCCACATCGGAGAGTGGTATCTATACAAAGCTCTGCGAGACTCACAGGAAGCTTTCGCCATTCGGAGACTCGAACATTTGCCATGGGGAGTGTGGAAAGTGATTTGGGGAGTCGGCGACCCCTTTCCCGCAACGGCATGGATAAAGTTCGGTACCTACGTTTGGATAGCGCGAATTTGAAAATGCTGACTTCGCGACGCTTCCAGCCTCCAGTACCGTGGCAGAAAAATGAGTTTGGCAACACAGCCTTGTCGCAACACTCCGTCCACACTGAACAATAACTGCAGCTGAACTTACGACTATCTTCAATTGTTGCCAGAATGAACGGCGACAGCTACTCATCAAGAGGCATGCCTCCTTCATCGACAAAACCCATACAACGAGATGGAACTACTACTGACAATGCAGGATCAACAGATACTGGTCGTCATGGATCATCCAGAGATTACCCTGTTAGTAGCTCTACTTTTCTTGCGCCTATTTGCGATGGATATTAACCAACAGCAGTCTTCGCGCGATGATCGACGGGACCGGGAGCGAGGCAGCGACAGGCGGCGTTCACGTTCCCCAGGACATCGAGGATCACGGCCTTCTCGTCGCGATGGCGAAGTAGACTCTTATTCTTCTAGCCGCGACTATAGGGAGCGAGAACGTGAGGATAGATACTCGGGTAGAGACAGACGCGGCGGCGGAGATAGGGAATGGGACAGAGATCGAGGTTCTTCACGACGCGATGCAAGAAGAGACGACGACGATAGACCACCCAGGAGAGACAGAGATCTGTTTGATGATCGAAGAGGTGGAGGCGGACGACGCGGTGATAGGCGTGATGGCGGGTTTGGAGGTAGAGGTGACCTGGATCGCAAGAAGAGCGCAAGTCCTCCACCAAAGAAGAGGGAGCCAACACCAGACTTGACAGACGTCGTCCCAATTCTTGAGCGCAAGAGGAGATTGACCCAGTGGGATATAAAACCTCCTGGGTATGAAAATGTTACAGCAGAGCAAGCCAAACTTTCTGGCATGTTTCCACTACCTGGTGCTCCAAGACAGCAACCCATGGACCCGAGCAAGCTCCAGGCCTTCATGTCACAGCCAAGTGGCTCAGTCACAAATGCAGCACTCAAACCTTCCAATTCTCGACAAGCAAAACGTCTTCTGGTCCACAATCTCCCTCCCGCGGTGACCGATGAAAGCATAGTCAATTTCTTCAACCTCCAACTAAACGGACTCAATGTTATTGAGGGATCAGACCCGTGTATTAGCGCTCAGATCTCGAAGGATCGATCATTTGCTTTATTGGAGTTCAAGACGCCTTCAGATGCGACTGTTGCGTTGGCACTTGATGGAATCACCATGGAAGATGGCGATCACTCGACAGTAAACGGGGTAGCTAATGGCGATACGAAAGGACTTTCCATCCGACGCCCGAAGGACTACATTGTTCCAGCAGCCTCTGACGAGACACCGCACGAGCCTGGTGTCATTTCAAACGTCGTACCTGACACACAGAACAAGATCAGCATCTCTAATATTCCACTTTATCTCACGGATGAGCAAGTCACTGAACTCTTGGTCTCGTTCGGTGAATTGAAGGCTTTTGTTCTAGTCAAGGATAGCAGTACCGAAGAGTCACGAGTGAGTATCCACGAATCAATCATGTTGATAGACCTGATTGCTAACTTGATTCAGGGCATTGCTTTCTGCGAATACGCTGATGCTGCGGCCGCAACAGACATTGCTGTGGAGGGGTTGAACGGTATGGAGCTTGGAGATAAGCATCTTAAGGTTCAACGAGCGAGCATCGGCCTTACCCAAGTGTCTGGTCTTGAAATGGGCGTCAATGCTATGTCCATGCTTGCCGGTACAACCTCGGCAGGCCTGGAGGGGAGCAGAGTGTTGCAATTGCTCAACATGGTAACTCCTGAAGAGCTCATAGACAACGAAGACTATGAAGGTACGGTCATCCCCTCATACTTTTTGGCTGTCTCACTAACAATCCCTTATAGAAATCCAAGAAGACGTAAGAGAAGAGTGCGAGAAGTTTGGCAAGGTCTTGGACATGAAGATTCCGAGACCGACTGGTGGAAGTAGGCAATCGAATGGAGTTGGCAAGATCTACGTCAAATTTGATACTCCAGAATCAGCGGGCAAAGCTTTGCGGGCCCTAGCTGGCAGGAAGTTTGCAGATCGTACTGTTGTAACGACGTACTTTTCAGAGGTAATTCAATCATCCCTACTTGCGATTCGTCACTGACATCATTGGTAGGAAAACTTCGAAGTTTCTGCTTGGTAATAACGCACTATTCTGGGCGTCGTATCAAGCCATATCAGGATTTGATTGCATTTCGATTGATCGCTACGAAACTGAATATCGAATTGGTCAATACCTCTGTGTACTTTTAGTATCATTACCGAGTTAGTCGGATCATAAGGAGTAATTCAAAAGGAAGCGTTGAATTCCAGTTAGGTCATTTGATCTCGATCCTTTCTTATATCTACTTCAATTGCCTTCGTGCACGATCCTTGTTCTCCCAGATGGACTTCCGCGATCGCCTGCATCAGGCCGGAGCTTCTTCATACGCGGCAAACACTTCTACGCAACATGAGAATGGAAGTCGATACATCAAGAACCAAGGGCTGCTAGGCTTGGTACCTGAATGAACAAGATTTGTAGAGGTCCTCGGATCTAATACCCATTGAGTATAAGAAGTAGCTGTAAAAGTAATTGTGAAAATTTTGTCATTAATCTACCTACACCTACAAAGGCTATAGCAAAATTTTACTTGAGTATGCCTTCAGACTAGTCCTTCCCTAAACGCATCAGAGGCCAACAATACCTAGATCTTGTATTGTAACGTCCCTACATTTGCCCATATTAGCCGCAGAAACGGAAATCAACAGCAAATCAAATGTTCTTGAAGCGAGACAGAGCTCAGAAGTCCTGTTAGATCATTGTCCCTCCCGCAGGAGTTCCTAAATCAAGAGGTACCAGAAAATAATAGTAAAATTGGAGTATCATCATTGTCAAGTCTCGGTGGCTGGAACATAAGAATAAGGTACTCACATGATATAGCGGTTTCCGATCTCCTCCTCTTTCAAGGCAAACAGCAAAGAGCATACTCAAAGCTCTTGCTCATATACTAATCATTTCCGATGAGAATCATAGAAAGTCGTTCATTAAATGATGAGTGGAAGAAAGAATGATTCCAAGTGGTCGTGGAAAACAATGAAATGGGGAGGAGACGAGTTCGATATTTTTCTCGCTTTTCTCTCGCTTTCAATCCTCAGGCTAACCTAGTTCGTCTTAGCTATCCTAAGCGAGCGCACCTTCGCAATTTGAACTTTTCGTCGAAATCAAGAAAGTTCACGATCACGACAATCCGCAACGCCAAACAATCGACAACCACCCTTCCCTCACCCTTCAATCAAAAACTTGAGCAATGGGCCGTCTTCACAGCAAAGGAAAGGGCATTTCGTCCTCTGCCATCCCATACTCCCGCACTCCTCCTGCGTGGCTCAAGACTACTCCCGAGCAAGTCGTCGACCAAATCTGCAAGCTCGCCAAGAAGGGTGCAACTCCATCCCAGATCGGTGTTGTCCTCAGAGACTCTCACGGTATCGCCCAGGTCAAGGTTGTTACTGGTATGTCTATGCTCTACCTCGCGAGAATCTGTCTTGTTGAATGTCATGCTGACTGTTTTTCGCAGGTAACAAGATTCTCCGAATCCTCAAGTCCAATGGTACGATTGCACCGACATGAGTGTTCTATTGCCATCATTGGGTTCACTCCAATGATGTGTGCAATATAAACTCATAATACTGCCTCTGCTTGGTCTTTGACTGACGGAGTGAAATAATAGGCCTCGCACCTGAGATCCCAGAGGACCTCTACATGTTGATCAAGAAGGTATGCACTTTTCAGCCCTAAATGCCGGCGTTCTGCTAATCACAATCTTGAAAGGCCGTTGCCGTCCGCAAGCACCTCGAGCGCAACCGCAAGGACAAGGACTCCAAGTTCCGCCTCATTCTCATCGAGTCCCGTATCCACCGTCTCTCTCGCTACTACAAGACAGTCGGTGTTCTCCCACCAACCTGGAGATACGAGAGCGCCACTGCCAGCACCATGGTCGCATAAACGTGATTATTACTTACGATGGTTGCTATTTGGCATGGAGTTGGGATGCGGGACATTTGCATTAAGGGCTGATCTGTTACGACAGACTTGTTGGTAGCATAAAGACTGCACAGCAAAATCAAATCTCAAACACTCCAGGACATGAATTTGTGCCATTTCCATTTGATCCCACTGTTACGTTTCCTTAGAATGCTTTGAACACCATGACCCCCAGGCCGATCCTACAAGTACGCCATAACAAGCCCTCATCTGATATTGGTATCGGTATTATACTAAGCTTTTGCCATTACCCCAAATTTCCCCATATAGGCACCTAACCGTAAGCTTTTGCACTAATTTCCCTCCAGTTCTTTTGATCTCTGTAATAGATATTCGCCCAACACGCGCAAGGGATCTTTTGGTCTAGTAAGAGCATTAGCATTGTTGGAGACAACAACCGATCTCATGTATATGTTGAGAATGCGAATACGCATGAATCAACTCACTGTTCTTTCGCTAATTGCTTCATTCCCTCCAGCAGAACCCCTGTAACCTTGGAGTTGAGATACTGCCTCGTAGGCGCCCCATGCGGCGGCGCTTCCTTTGGAATCGCAGGCGCAGGATCTGGATGCTGTGAAGTAGCTCGTGAAGTCGCATCATTGCCATTGCTGCGCGACGGTGTACCAGTCCTGGGAGGGGCAGGGCTGGGGGCATTCGTTGCGCCTGGAGCCATTGCGGGAGACTGGGTCCTATTCAGCTCTTATAACTAATCAGGATTTAAGTATTTGACTTACCGCAGGTCTATTAGGAGTGCTATCGTTCATAACAACATCTTTGTTCATATCTGCGGCTTGTGCTGCGGGACTGGCTGCAGAGGTTGGTATTGCGGACTGCTGCTGCATAACCTGCTGGTAGGCGTTCGCTGCTGCGCCCATAGTTGCAGGTGTCTGCTCGGGCGCAGAGACATCAGGAGTAGTTGGTTGGGACATTTTGCTTTGATTCAACTTTCATGCCCGTCTGGAGGCAAGTGAAGAGTTGAGACTCGGAAGATTGTTGTCGCGCGTTCACATGATTTCGCGTCCGTTAGGCGCGCCGCCAACATATCCATCCATGCATCAATCTCTTCTTGTTATAAGGCCACTAAATATCAAATCAACTATGAGCTATGGTACTTAATATTCAAGAGGATGCAGGTCATAATTCAATACTAGGAAGACAGAGCCAGCACTCTGTGCTGACCAAATACCACCGCGATGATATCCTTCCTCCCGCCAAGCGCTTGAAAACTTCTGAAAGCGCCAATGCCGAAGATTCTCGGGATATATCAAGTGATGAAGCTGTTCTGAATACCCCAAAGAGCTATCTTGAGGAGATTCCCGATTCTGATGAGGAGACCGGCTTGGATGATGATGAACGTTCCGCACCTGAACGTCTTACTGAGCTTGAGAGTGTATTGCCACCCGTGAAGACGGACAAGAATGCCATTGCAGAATATGAGGCTATGCGGGCTGCTGAACAAGCTGTTCCGGAAGACTTGAAGGCTCGTCTTAGTCAGAGAAGTTGGAGAGAGGGGAAAAGCTCTATCTATGTTGATGCTTTCAATCTGGCACTTGAAACTGTGCTGGAGGAGGAGGGGCATCTATTTGATGAGAAAGAAATGGAAGTGTTCAACCAATGGCGGGAGTTAGAGTACGAGGCCCAGTACCTGTAAGTCACGCACCTTACAAGGCCTTTGTCTTCTCAAATACCTTCGGCTTCTTGGATCAGTCGAGGATCATAGAATCATGTTCAGACTTTTTCACGGTATTACGGGCCGGTTTGTTTAGAAACTGGCCAATATCATAGTCAAAGCTGATGCAAAGGCAGGTATGTCCGCTTATTCCTCAGAAAGACTTCTGCATGGCATCGTATAGGCCGTCTTGGGTATCACAGTGACATTACAGATGTACCACGTGCTGCCGAAATACTTCAAAAATTACGAAAACTGCCAGAATCATTAGCGGCTCTTGATTCAAACCCTTCTCGCCCGGACGGAACGGTCCTCGAATCAGCATTTAGTTTTGCCGATTCCTCGGACGAAAAGATCAACACGTTGGAAGAAGCATCATCCCTCTTGAATCTGGAAGAGCTCAAAGCCATTGCTAAAGAAGCCAAGGTCCAGGGAAAGAATAAAGCTGAGCTTCTTGAAGCTCTCCGACGGATGAGCCAGCGTCAAAGTGGCCTGTCCTGGTTCGGACTGAAAAAGTCTGACAGCGGAATTCCAGGAGCGATGGAATCTCCAGGCAACCCTGATGATGATGCAGCTGAAGACACTAGACTGTCTGAACTGAATAGAAATAACCATTATTTGCGAAAGATAATGGCCAGTACGGGGTCTTGTATCAGGTTATCTTTACCAGTGTTAAAGCTCTTTGAGAGAGTGCATCTGGTCTTCTATAGGTCTACCGAGTGGACTGACAAATCCTTAATAACCATCATCCTGGCCAGGATTTCTCGTCGAAACTTTCCCGAGTACATTGTTTCAAGATCTTCCAATATATTTTCATCTAGGTCTCAATTACTCGAGTTTGAAGCTGCTCTTAGAACGCAATTCGAAGTTGAGAGCATCTTGGAGTTCAATGGGACTCCAAGCAAGGAGGGTTTCGAGCGTGTCTCGAATATCTTCGAAGAAGTCTATCCACGATGGAAGGCCCTGCTCAAGGAAGAGCAGCGTAAGGAAGATCGAGTTTACGAAAGCGGCGAGGGAGCATACTTGAGGCTCTTCTCGCCAGCCTGGGTGTATACGCGAATCATTCACAAAGGGTTGTACGTCCTTGGTCGCTTCAAAAAGCACGAACAGGAACATGAGGTGCTTACAGAGCTCCTTCGCCAGCACTTGTTCCACGCTGCCCGGCGGGGCGCGTGGTATCAGCGTAAAGCACTTCTCGAAGAGCACTACATGTTCTCCCTGCAACCACCTCCTGGAATTTCTGATCCCGAGCAACAAAAGAGACACTGGAAACGCATCTCCCTCCGCACGTGCGAGCAAGGACTCCAGGACAAAGACTGCCATGTGATCTACCACTACGATCTCCAAAAGCGGATCAAGAAACTCGAGAAGCAGCTTAAGATCCCCAAGAGAGAACAGCATGACTTCGACCATGTCTTGTTAACCAAACCTACCGAAGTCACCGTCGAAGGAATCCAAATCAAAAAGCAGTACCCTCCGCCACGAAAACGCACAGGCGCAGCCGTCGTAGAAGAACGCCAGAGAAGCACTAAAACCATCTGGGTTGACGAGTTAGATTCCGGGGGCGAATGCAGCGTGGAAGAGATGTGTCTCTCTTGGTACCGGTCCCAAGGTATGAAAGGATATCATGCCGAAGGTGGCATCATCCGCACGCTGTTCGCCTATCTCTTCTACGACATCCTATTCACGTACATCCCGAACGTCTTCCAAACGCCCTACCAGACATGCCCACTCGACCTACACACCGACGCCTTCTACCCGTCCCGGATCTCCGAGATCAACCATCGGCTGGTGGAAATCGCGAACGGCGGAGCCGCGCGGCTGATCCGCGACGTGGACGCACGCCATCGAGAGAAGAAGACCTGCATCGTCGGCCTCAACTGGGACTTCGACCTCGACGACCTACTGGAGATCGTGGGCTGTTTTGATGGCTCGGCGCTCGCGGCAATCTGTAATGTCATGGCCCAGGAGTACCGCGTGCGCGGCGGCGGTATCCCGGATCTGTTCCTCTGGGACCCGGCGAAGAAGGAGGTGCGGTTCGTGGAGGTGAAGAGCGAGAATGATAGGCTGAGTGATACGCAGAGGCTCTGGATTCATGTCCTCACGGGGGCAGGCATCAAGGTCGAGCTGTGTAATGCCGTGGCGAGGGAGGTCAGGGTTGTTGAGGCAGAATAGGAATATCTTTTGTATATCTATCTCGGTATAGTGGTGGCTTCAAAAGCTGTTTCCAATGAAAGCAAAGCTCATGAATTAGAGCCCGCTAGATGATAATGTGTCGTATGTATGTAAAAGTTTCTAGGAGTCTTTATTTCTAACTTCAGAAGCTCCTTTCATGGAAGTCCCAACTTAGAGGAGCTGGACTTGCACGGTCAGTAGTCGCGGAATCATAGCCAACGCCTCAAAATTCCTCAACTTGTAGATCTATCTATCTATCCTTGAGCTCCGACTTACAAGATCAAAAGGTACAGCATTACCTAAAGGACCGACCCTAAACAGCCTTTACATACCTTACCTACTAATCAACACGACCCATCTTTTCTCTTCTCTCAAGTCTCGCCTCCAACTAACGGGTTATTTCCCTTGTGGTGATTTCTCGGTGCTTAGTACTTATTTAATAAATAGGTACTGTATGTAGCTTTTCCCTACCTATCAAGGCGAGAGAGACTTCTCTTGTTATGTGACCTGTACAACGTTAGGAAAATATCAATTCGGAAATCAGCAGTAGTAGGTGGAAAGCACTTGAGATTCTTCATGGTTGTCTTTACTGTTGTTTATTCATTTTTTGGGTATTTTGAAGGCGATTTTGGGGGAGAAACAGAGGGGGTGGGCTGTCGCTTGATAGAGGGGTATAGAGAGACATAAGATATCTTACCTACCTCTACTACTGTACTATGGCAAATACGATAGAGAATACATCTAAACCTCCAACTTGGATGAGATATGAAACTTGGCACCATCTATAACCTAGCAAAGACCCAAGATGAAGAAACACAAAAATGTGTACGCATATCGCAGAGATACTTAGCTACTTATTTGTGCTCCGCTCCCTGGCCGCGGAAGGGCAGAAATACCACCCATCCGCACCTTAGAACAAAATCAATCCATCATGTGAAAAGCCAGAATTAGGTACCTAGCTTGGCCCCTCCAAACCCGAATCCGTCCATGTTCTTCAACTTTCAGCACATGCGTATGAATTAGAATCAAATGCTTCGCGCCACGTCGATCCGCTTGGACGAAAACACCGCGCAAAGCATGCAGCGCACGACCCGAGAAAGTACCAGTGCAGTCAATCACTGCAGATCAGTCCCAGCAATCACTCGATCATCATAGTGAAGCTGATATATTATGATAATCACAAGGAATTCTCCGCACGGTCGGGCAGAAGACAGCCACGGTTCGGGGGCCGGAGTCCGAATGATAGCCTCCCCCCGCAAAAAGCTAAGGAAGGATTCGATATGCGCGTTCTGGAAGGAAAAAGAGGGGGTCGAGAACAATATCGCCGCGGATCTCTCTCTGCCTATAGGAAGATCACTCCGCTTTTTCGCCGGGGCTTCTTGGATGAAAAGTCCTGAGTGCGGGGAAGATGTGGAGGAAAAAGGGGAGAGGTAGATGAAGCCGAGGGACTTGTGATCATAGCACGGCACAGCGAGTACAGAACATCCGGTACTTTTGTACTGCAGTAAGAATCACCAGGAATTTCTAAGAAACGGGGAGGAAGGGTATTTGCAAATGGGTGACGGTACGGGGCAATGCCTTTCTATAGTAAGGTTAGTAAGGTTAGGTAAGTAAGTAAGGAACGAAGAGGGGGAATTGGCTGATCGAGGGCTGCGCTGAGAACCCGGGATTGGCATACAGGTAGGTACATACAAGTGCATACATATACATGCTCAGCTACATGTACCCATCCTGCGATATGCCGAGTACTGTACGTCGAGTGATTAGTGAAGTGAAACTGTGAAACACTCAACAAACCGCTGTTCCAACACTCCCAGCATTCTGGTTGGCTTCGTATTCTCCCGCGGTTTCTCGCGTGCACGAACAGAGGACGACGTTCATATATCGCCGCCCCTAGACAAGCCACTTCTGTCGCTGAGTGGTCGGGGCCGGTAGAGTTCTCAGGCACAGATCACTGATGATTGGATGTTCTGTCCTTGTCCCTGCAGCCTCAAAAAGTGGAGAGATGTTGGTTGGTTTTGTTTCCGCCGAAGCATAGCGTAAGGTAGGGGGGGATAGCATCTTCCGTCGCTACGATAAGACGTACGGGGGATACAGATTCCTTCTAGAAGACGCTGATAGCCTGATCGAAGCCTGTTCCCCGGAGGACGAAGGGGTTCCCGAGATTCCCAAGTAGTATCGGTTCCAAGTTCCACTTCCCAACTCCATGTACAGTAAGTAGGCCCTCGATCCAGCCAGCATCTGCAAAGCGCGCACGGGTCGGCAAGGGGAAACGTTAGGAAATCTTCAAGGGTCAGGCCTGGTATTAGGAGATCCCCCGTCGACGCACGTCGGGTGTCCAGCCTTGGAGAGCGAGTGCTCCGTCGTACAGTACAAATCCCGCTGCGAAATAATAATACAGTGGTTTCGGTACAGCTCATCCGTCGGCTAACGCCTGCAGTGTTGGTAGACAAGACTGACTGAAACATTGACGGCTACGATACTCGAGAGTCGGCAATAATTGTGATGCGACGACGCTTGACGGGAAAGGGGAGTTCAGTAGTAGATCCTCCTACGGCTGGTATATTAGAATCTATATTAATCCTCTGTATCGCTTACTCCTTGAAAGACTGCGGTCTAGATCCTACAGTATGCCTGTGCCGGAAATGAGTCCTGGGCAAGTGAAGCACTACGAACTTTCGAAGTGTGTATCTCAGCCTTCAGGTAGGTAAGGTACGGTAGGTATGGTGTCTATCTTACTTCGTACTGCTGTGTATTCGATACGAAGTACACAGTTGGTACCAAAAATCGACAATGTAATCTTTTGAAACGGACTGGGCATGTATGTATCATGGATCATTGACAGGCCCTGTCTCCGTCTCCGCCATGAGGCGTGGAGGCGTCGTCGTCTTTCCAAATAGCTGGGTTCATCCACGAGGGTTACGCGATGCTTACTCGTTGTCACAGTGCGTCGCGTGCTGCAGTCAGGTTTATGTGACCAACGTTCGAAACCCGAGCATTTGGCGAATACGTAGAATAGAACCATGGTGGAATATATGGAGGTAGAATAGATCGATAGGAGCCAGAGCATGCAGGAGATCCCGGCGGCCAGAGGTGTGATTCTCTGGAACTTTGTATCCGTATGGTCGACGTTGTGATGATATCGGCCTGTGAGACGGCATGCTTTCTCAATGGCGTTCCAGTGAGAGGTTCTTGATGAACTCCATGCTCAAACTCGTTTCACAGACGTCTGGCACCGGCTTTATACTTCACCTCCTTATACAAACCTCAACGTTCTGACTCGATGTTCTCGATGTCGTATCACATCTCAAGTTTTCGCCAGAGTTCGAAGTGATCTATGCAACCGTCTCTTATGTTTCGGAAGAGCAGCCACGTCAATGCTCACTTGGCGACTGAGGTCAGGAACCATACTGAGATCCGGGAGAAAAGTTCCCACATCTGACCTGCAAATGTCGACACCTTAAAGACAAGGAGTTTGCTGGGTTAGTGCGGACATCAATTCAAGCCCCCAGCCTGGTCGCCGGAGCCTTGCGAGGGGCATGGATTGGACGAGGCTGAGCGGTCTAGCATATTGATCGATGCGATCCTTAAAAGTGACATGGCCCAGATTGGCAAAGTTGCCATTCCCTTTTGTAATTATATTGCAATTTGGAATTAGATGCTGAGTGAGCGTGTGGGAAGTATTGTCCGTTTCTTTCGTTCAATTTCTCCTGAACTCTTCCGGTTCGATGACTGCGCCGTACCTATCTTACTCAAAGCTGAGTTCATGTTACCCCTCGGTCAGTCAGCGACTGGCAGATGACCACCACAGGGGGGGGAAGAGGGGAAAAGGAGAACAAATACGAGAAGAAAAGAGGAGGTAAGAGAGGAGAACACCCAATCTTGAAGCTCATCACGAGTAGTCGTTGCATGACGGTCTGATAGGGCGCCATAGGCGTCAGCCGCGCTCAAGGGGATCCAACGACGGACGAGGAACGGCACGACGGGCAGTATCGACTGTCAAGCAGCTGTTGGATTTTTCCCAGGCGTCATAGATGACCTGCATAGAAGTTCACTGCCGCCGCGCCGCCCAAGGCCAAAGGAATGCCGGACGGCGGCGACCTTAAGGTGTGAGTGGAAGGCGTGGCAGCCACACCTTTTTGTGTGGCGAAACATGGAGGGGAGGCGGGCCTGCTGAAGGATCTCATTGGTATTATGGCGTTGAATAGCCGTTACAACATATCGAGAAGTCCGGAAGAATAGGAGATAGCAGATCGCAACGAGAGAGATCTGTTTGGCGGGGATGACAAGTAGATTGCCTCAAGGCGGCCCACAAAGATCGCAATAGCTGAATCGCCCAAAAAAGCACGTACAACTAGAAGTGCTTTGACGCGACGGCGCGCTGCAGGCAAGGCTGACTCTCGTTTGTTCATCGTGAGAGGTCGGCATCCTGTCCAATTGCTGTCATGGTTCGGGTCCTCAGCTCTGCGCAAGGAAGGTCGTCTGCGCTTACAATAGGATGCTGATTTGGCGAGATCCATCATCCATGGGCCGCAGGAGGTGAGCGGATGCTTCCGATCGCCGCATTCCTGTAGCCAGCTATCAATTATCAATTGTCTTTGCATGTTTTGATTTATTTTCCTATTATTTACTGTATATTTTATTCTACTATGATTTCTGGTCGTCCCAGAATCCCGTTCCCCCTCGTTGTAGCCGAGTCTTCACCCCGACTTTCCACGCAGTACAGTAGCACCCTTAGCAGTAACAACCAGTCGTATGGCCCGTACAGGAGTCACATACATGTACATATCAAGTCTTTTCTGATGGTGGCGTTCTCAGCCTATCACGGTCTTTGCAACTTTTCGTTTCCGGGCTAAAGAAGAGTGTTTGGTGCGGCCAAGCGTCGTCAGGGGCAAAGCGTCAGGGGCAGCCAGGGGCCTTTCGCAGACCCCGGCGTCCCATTATCATTCGACCAGGACTCGGGACACACGACACCAAACTTAACTTCTCCAACGTTGCTGAAAGCCGAGTCAGCACTGGCAGGCCGGGAGCGCGAAGATGCGGGATGTCAGTAAGAGAAAGCGTCGTGACAATGCAGGAAAGCATACTGATGAGTATGCGCAGGACTTTTACCACCGCACTCCTTCTGTGTCGTCGAGGACACAGCGGCCACTCCCCAGTCCCAGAGCGCCCGGGGCGTGCCAAGGGTCCGCTGCAGTCTGCAGGGGATTTTGATACGGGGTAGACGATAGATCGACCAGGGGAGGGCCGCATCCCCGCGGCTTTCCAGAAAGCCAGACTTTGCGGCCATTGACAACCGCCAGGACCCAAGAGAGACGATGATCGTTCGCAGGGCTACGCGACGACCTCTACCACTCTACTACGACGGAGGGACAACCTCTACCCCCGTACCGAGCAGTCCTACTTACTGGGTGCCTCTGGCGTAGCCGAATAGCTGTCTTATTCGTCCTAGCTCTATCGCTCTCTGTTGCAACAACCGTTGTGCTGTGTTTCCCCGGCTCCATGCCCAACTGCTACTGGACAGCCCACCCTCATGTTAGCCCCCAATCACCCCGACCCCTCTCATGCCATGAGGATCCAGGACCGGCCTGCCTGCCCAGATACGGAGTAGGGTCCGGCAAGAGCCAGGATGCGCACTCATGCCCTGTGGCTGGCTCTGCGCCAGTCACATCAACGATCACGAAGCCCGCCGTACGTTCGGTATACGCGCAGTATCCCAATATGTATCCTGGCCCTGGTGAGATCTCACTTATTAGCTCACGTATGCCCATTGTTGTAAACAGTCTCTTTTGGCAACCCTCGGGCTCTCGTTGACAATCACAGCACGACTCCGTATATCTGGCAATGGCCTCGTGAAGCCGTGGCTCCTGACAATCCTGGACTAATGCATGCCATTGATGACATTCATCAACCCAGACCACCCATTGAGAGACGCAGCCGGATCGGATTCGCGCTGGAGGGAGACGCGTGGGTAACCCCACTGTCAGGAACGGCCATTCTACGAATTAAGCCAACAATAGCCGGACTCTGCTAAAGAATCCGGAGGTAGTTCTTTTGGTGCTCTTCAGGAGGCCTCGTATATACGTTTCTATACAATGTCTTCCAATTCTTCAGACGTTTTTGGCCGGGGCCGCTGTCCCGCCCCGTTTCTAGAAGCTGATCTTTTCCCAACTACCGGTGGCTGTATGTTACAAATACCCCCTCGTCGTTGAATTGGGAGCTGATGATACAATAGACGTGGATGGGAGATTCTGTTCGGGCTTGCTAGGGATAAGTTGCTGTTTACCTTGTCCACAGACAGAATGGCTGTATCCGGACAACTTCGACACAATTACCAAGTCAGCATCTTGGGTCAATGTTGCTGGGATGATCTGCTCGATGTTCCTGCTCATCTCGTTTGCATTCCTGCCGGTGAGCAAGACACATAGACACTACCTGAGTATATGTCTGGCCATTGCTACAGTCTTTATGCAGGTAAGCATACCAATCTTGCCCAAGTACCGCAAGGAAATACTGACATACCTAGCTGGGCTTTATCATCCCACTTGGAGCCAAGCCCGAGCAATGCTTCAATGCCATTACTCCTAATGGCATGGACAGCAATAATGCCTGTGCTCTCTCTGGAGCCTTTATAATTCTCGGAGGATGGAGCGGCGTGATGTGGGTGTTCCTTCGAGCTGTGGCGCTGCACCTTCAGATCTGTTGGGAAGTAGTCTTGGGCAAGACTTTCATGTGGGGAGCGCTTGCCTCCGGCTGGGGCATACCGGCGGCTGGTTTGACGATCGCCTTGGTTATCAGTGGAGTATCCTTTCGATTCGGAGATACCTGTCACATCAACCACAAGGACAGCCTGGCGGACTTTTGGATCCCGCTGCTCGTGTTCTCAGGAATCACGGTCATCATCCAGTTTGCGACGTTCGGTTACTGCATCAAGGTCTATCTGGCGTCTCTCATAGACGAAACGGCGACGACCAGAAGCTCCGGGTTGCCATCGTACACGGCCAGCATGTCCCCGCGCCAAGCGTACCGGCGGGTCCGCCGGGTTATCCAGTTGCAGTGGAGGGGCATCTCAATTGTGCTCCTGATCGTTGTGGACGTGATCTTCTTCTCCGTTGTTTTCGTATTCATGGACGACATCGAGACCAATCTCCTCAAGAACCCCGCCAAGGGCGAGAAGTGGCTCCTCTGCCTAATCGAACAGAAAGGGAAGAAGGAGCCGTGCACGCACCTGGCTGAGTCCCTCGTTGTCAATGAAGCCACTGTGATGGCGGTCCTCCTGCTCCTCTCCGTAAGTATCCGTGGATCAACACATCATTTAACACCTCATGCTAACGCGATATAGTTGAATGGTATCTGGAGTCTGCTATTCCTAGGCCGTCTCTCCATGTTCACAGGCTGGTACGAGTTGATACGCAGCAAGTTCAGCAAGGGCCCCAGCGAGTTCGTCAGCGCCGACGTCCACACCTTCAAAGACCCGGGCACCGGCACCTACGAGATGCTAAGTCGTGAGCGCACGACCAAGAGCCCTGAGCCGGTCATATCCCCCATCACGCCGCTCTCACCAGCAGCCACGGCCAAGTACGGCCGCGAGACCCCCGATTACTTCGGCCGGGAAGCACGTTATAAATCTCCGTCCCGTTCCTTCTCCTCGCCCAAACCTCCCGTCGGCTACGGCCGGGACTGGGACCCGAGCAGCACGTACGCGGCGCCTGCTCAACCCTACGTAGATCCTCTGGCTATGCATAAGGTGTGAGCGTCGCGTATCTGACCTGTGCCAACTATCTACTTGCGCATCTACTTGCGCATCTACTTGCCTATCTTTCATCCTCAAAAAGCAAAAGCAAACCAAAACCCTCATTGCATAGCATAGCATAGCATTTCCCATCCGGCGATTCGACTCTCGCCATCTTTCTGACTTCAGCGATCTTACCTTCTATCTTGTCACCAACCACATCACGATCTTCACACGGCGTTTCATCCCCTTCCTCATTGTCATTTTCATTTTCGCGGAGCCCGGCGCTTGGTATCTAGGTATAGGCAGGGTTCATTTGGGGCAATTCTCCGATACCATGGCGAGGAAAGGAAAGGAAAGGAAAGGCTGGGCTGGGAAACGAATCTTACCTAGTATATCCTGGATGTATGTATATTTGCGCGGTGTATGTATGGTATCTGTATAGGCAGGAGGAAAAGGCGAGTGGAAAAAAATCAGAAGATCTAGATTTGGATCCCCATCATTGATCGATGGGGGGAGGGGTAGGCGCGAGATAGGAAGTTGGTAATTTGAGAGAAAGAAGAGGACTGAAAAAATATAACAAATCAAATATATAATATGGTATAACTTTTTACATGATCGGATATCTGATGTTTGGATATTGATCGATAGGTATCTTTTTGGTGATAAATGGAGTAGACAGGTACCTTGCAAGGAAGTGTTAACAGGTCTGGGTATGTATGTAAGGTATCTCAGGGGTAAAGACGCATTTCGTATTAACCAGTCCCTTGTCTCTCCCTCCCCTTCCAACACCTTTCACTTCCATTTCCTTCCAATTCCAAACCCCCCTTCATTTTCCCATCCACACTCCCCTCAACCCACCCATCCATCCATCTACCTACCTACCTAACAAACCCAACCCCTTTTTCGCCATCTTATCTTATCTTACTCCTTCCTTACTTACCTATCCTTCCCTCCCTCCCTGCCTCCTTAATCCTATTTCTATTCCGGATAATATCTTTATCTGGACGTAGATTAGGCTTTTGTTTTTTGTATTTTTTTTAGGGGGAGGAAAAAGGGAGAGGAAAAAGGGGGGGGGGGGGGTTGGGGAGAGAGGGAAGGTAAAGGTGATCTTAGGGGATTCGTAGTAGTCCGTACCTAAGCTACCTATACCTATCTTTACTTCTAACCTCCCCTCTTTTCCTTTTCTTTCTTTCCTTTTCTTCTCCGTTCTGCATATTCCTCTACCCCCCCCTCCTAATCCATCCCATCCCATCCCATCCCATCCCAATCCCCCCTAATCCCAATTCCCAATTCCTAATCCAATCTATTTCACTCCCAACCAAACAACCAAACAACCAAATTTTCTAATAATTCAGCTTCTGGATCCCGAACCTTCTGTTCGTTTGCTATTTTAGAGGAGAGTTCTTGCTTAGTTTTTAGTTTTTAGTTTTGGAGGGGGAAGGGGGAGGGGGGAGGTGGGGGATTTGGAAATTTGGATTTGGGGGTTTGGAGGTTTGGGGGGGAAGAAAAGGGGGGGGGGGGAGGTGTTGGGAAGGGATAGGTTATTAAACAGCATATAACCTTCTCCCCTCAGATCTCACCTCCCCCACACAAGACTCTCCCACATTTCAAAGTTTCAAAATACTCATATATTAAAGAAGAATTATCAAAAAGAAGACGTAACACTATAAACATTACAAAACAAGATCCGCAGGTTTCAAAATACTCATATTAAAAAAAGAAGTATCAAAAAGAAGACGTAACACTATAAACATAAACATTACAAAAAAACAAGATCCGCATCATTCATACCGACATACCATACGTATCCCCATTCATTCATAATTAACCTTCGTGTAACATCAACCATGCCCTTCTTTGCTTCCCATCCATTTATTCGTACCTCCATCATTATACACATACCTTACCTAGCATGTATGAAACCCTTGAACCTGACCCGACCAAACTCCAAGACTGTTGTACAAAGAGAATTCTTGCTGCTGCACAAAGAGAATTCTTATAGACGCAAAGGGCTACTTGGCGTGCATCACAATCTCGGCGTAGACGTCGTCAGGGATCTTTTTGATCAGCGTCAAGGTCACTTCTTTGATGATTTCGGCTTGCAGGGGAGGGAAGGACCGGAGGATTTTGGTAGGACTGCTGGATATTAGTAGGGATCTGAGAGGGGAGTGGCATATGTCACGTACCTAGGGGAACTGAGGATGGAGTTCCGGAGGATCACGAGCTGGGCTACGATGCAGAGGATGTTGAGGTGAGCGCCATATGCGAAGAGGAAGTCCCACAGGCGGAGCACTTCGGGGAGGGGAGGCGTGCAGGCGCAGAGGGTGAGGACGGATGGGAAGGCGTACAGTTCGGCGCTCATTCCTTTGCCAATGAGATACAGGCTGAGCTTCGGGTCGACGATGGCGAGGACCTTGTCCACCAGTGCGAGCCCTTTGTGGACGCCGTCCATCGCACCCCGCACGTAGCCCGGACACTCGTGTGTAATGAATCGGTGGAAGGCGACGAATGCTTCGGCCTCGCTGCGCGCGGCGTAGAGGAAGGGTGCAGCGAGGACATTCATGCCCTGAACATAAGTGCCTGGTTCTGACGCGGGGACCTGGGAGCCTTCATTCAAAGCTAGAGCCCTCGCTCCTGGCTCTATCGCCGGGGTTGAATTCTGAAGCACGGGACTCCCGTGCTCGTCGGCCGTGTTCCTCATCTTGTTCCCCGTATTCGCAAGACCCTTGGCTCGCTCTTCCTTCGCATCATGCAGTTTCCACGCCACGGCATTGAGGAGTCGGATGAGACTGGCCTCACTGACTCTCCGTCTGAACAGGGGATCGGTTGCTAATGTGCGAAAGGTATCATTGCGAATCTTGGAGTAGGCTGGGGATGCGCCGCGGTGGATGAGGGTGAGGTAGGAGTCGGTCTCGAGGACGGGAGCATTGAGGAGGATCAACCACACGTAGATGCGCAGAGAGGACTGGAGCCATTAGCAGGGTTCCAAGGGGTGGGTGTCCTGCGCTTACCATGCCATCACTATCGCTCTTGACGCCCTGGTCCAAGATCTTCAACCGCGTTGCTTCCAACCCACCCAAGAGATCCCCGTCTGGCGGTCCGTCCCTTATGAGACGATCCAGCGAGAGAGCCTCTGCGGTCGGCCTCCTCACGGGCATTGGGCGCCTGCCCGCCGAGTCCGGATTAGGGGGGGTCATGTTTGTCGCATCGCTGTTCGATCTGGCTCTCGTGGGCGGATCTTTCTTGACCGGGGTGCTATTGAGCTGCAGCGCCTGTCGATGCTGCCGGGTAATCAGTGAGGGTTGATTGCTGGCCTGCTGTCCCAGGGCGTGGGCGGATTGGAGACGGCGCAGGGCGCGGTGCGATCTGGGAGATGGAGGCGCGTCGAGGGGAGGAATTGGCTTTGGCCAGGCGGGTGCGGCGATGGTCTCTCGAATGGGCGATGTCGACATGTTGGTCGAGGTCGAGGTCGAGGTCGAGGTCGGCCGGAGGGTTGGCGCGAGGTCAATGTCGGGCAGTGTTCATCTGGAGAGTGAATCTTGAAGAGTGAAGTGGCTGGTCAGGAACAAGAGAGAGTCAATGTTTGGGATGGGGTTTCCCCGCCTACGCGACCTCCCGTGTTCAGCCTCATGGGAGAGAAGGCCGGGGGGGGGGGGCTGAGGACGGCGAGGGAGAGGGAGTTGGAGTTGGGGGGGATAAACATGGTGTTGATGGTATATTGTGGAGGGTCAGGCTCAATTGTCCCTTGAGATGTAGACCTCTCCGTTACCTCCTTGACCTACCTCAGGTATCTTCCCTCGAGATCACCTCCCTCTCCAAGGTACCTGGAGTGTACACGTGACACCATCACGTGAGAGAATCACATGACCTCGCCAGGTACAATCTCTGCGCACCATACCTAAAGAAGGTGGAGTACCTGAGATAGGGCTGGATGTATCTGTCTTGTCTTTAACAGCAAGCAAGTTCGTGCAAATCAGAAGCAATGCTTCCGTAAGCTGTCCCTTTGCTGTGAGGCATGCTTACACATCGCGGTGCTCACATTGGCATTAAGTAAAGCGATGAGCAAGATCAAAAGGGCGTTTTCCCAGCGTGAAGATCTTGAATCATGATGTGATTTTGGGCTCAAAGGGCCTGCGATGGCATCATGAGCGGCGGTGCTGATTGGCCGGTGGCCCACGACGTCGTGCATCTCGCTTCGGCAGACGGGGGCGGAGGGGAAAGGCGAGGAAGGCGAGGAAGGCGAGGCACGGGACTCCGCCGTCCGCCTGTTGGACTGACGTTGACGGAGGAAACACCAGAAACAATCGAAGCCCCATGGAAGCTTTGGTGAGAGCGGCCATGACGAATCAATCAATCACAAATCAATCAATCTTTTTCCCATCCTTACACCAGATGCCCATCCCCCCGTGCGCCGTCTGATTCGGTGGTGCTCGGGGTCCACGGGGTCCCTGGATCTGGGCGAGGGAAACTTGATAAATCCGTGAAGATGCGGCCCTCTTTAGACTTTAGCCCCGATGGCGACATCTGCACGCCCCACGGTCTCCCCGTTGGACGCGTTCACTACCAACAGTAGGGCGGAAAATAATGTTCTATGTACCCGGTACCTCTGTTCTGGTGCCGGCACCGTCCAATTCGAGGTATTCGGGACTTCCCACTGTGGAAAGGGAGGGTTCTCCGATGATGCTCTCGCACAGAGAACGCTTGAACTTGAGGCTCCAGGGAAGAAAGCTTCTACTCGTCTTCTCTACTTCTTCTTCTCTCTCTCTCTTCACCTTTCACTCTTCCTCTCTCTCATATCTCAATCTTCCAATCCAATCCAACCTCTCTCTTCCTCTTCAGGACAGCTCCTCCTCGCCAGTCCCCCACACGGACTAGTCTCACCATCTCTCTTGTCTCACCCGCCGCACATCTCTCTCCTCAACCATCCTACGATGCCCTCAAGATCACCTTTCCCGTCTGCGTACCGTCTGTAGTTGTATCCTCATTCATCTCCCACGGTCGATCAAACGCCACGCTCCTTGGGCAATTTGCCTTGGCAGCACGCAATCCATTGGCGGCGCCTCTGGACCTCTCAGCAGCTCTTATTAAAACCTCGAACACTCCTCCATCTGAGCCTCGTCCACTCGCGCCATCTGGGACTACTCTTTGCTCTTCTCTCCCCCCCTTCACCTCTGCCTCGAACGGCCCAGACTGAGCTGAAGAGTCTGCATCCTTGCGCGGAGAACCAAGCAAGTCCTCCCGCCTCCTGCGGACACCATTCCCCAGACGAGCAAGACCCTATATCAGCCTCGTCGTAGTCCGCCCAACCCAGGACCCTGAAGCAGCGCCGTCCTGCAGATCTCCCTGTCACATATCCCGCCTCTCTTCCCTCCTTTGGGAATAGCCCCCCTCGACGACACCATCCGCCTGACAGCTCTCTATATCTTTATAGCTTCATAGCTTTTTGTCTTCTCTTATTTCTTCCTCCTCCTCCTCCTCCTCCTCCTCCTCCTCCTTGGACATCCGCACTTAGGCTCCCTCTCCCTCGTGGCCTGTGGTTACTTGACATCGTCCACCATCCCATCAACATGCCCGGCCCCAAGGCCACCAAGGTCGGCCATTTCCTGGCCAAGGCCCTCGCCATCAAGCTCGATTATCGCAATGAGCTGGACGAGGAGATCCGCCGGGGGGAGTCCGTCTTCTCCACGCAAACTGCTGATACCTATGTTGAGGAAGAACCCACCACCGGGGAATTCCTGCGGGAGGTTATCCCCGACCGACATGATGTCGCCCGCTACTTCATCTCCCTCTTCCCCTTCCTCACCTGGATCACCCACTACAACCTCCAGTGGTTTCTTGGTGACCTGGTAGCTGGTACGTATCTTCTTCAATAGAGACCTTGTCCTCGCTGTGCTGACATGGTCCAAAGGCATCACCATTGGCTGTGTGGTCGTCCCGCAGGGTATGGCATATGCGACGCTGGCGGGTCTTCCGCCTCAGTTCGGACTCTACTCCTCTTTCATGGGCGTTCTCGTCTACTGGTTCTTTGCTACATCTAAAGATATCACCATCGGCGTAAGAAACCACCCCCCGCATCCCCACGTGATATATCCCTAACTCTCGAATAGCCCGTGGCCGTGATGTCGACCCTCGTCGGCGATGTCCTGACAAGAGCAAAGGAAACCCACCCAGACATTCCGGGCCATGAGATCGCTTCCGCCTTGTCAGTCATTGCAGGCTGTATTATCTTCTTCATCGGACTCGTTCGCTGTGGGTGGATTGTCGACCTGATCCCACTCGTTTCCATCTCTGCATTCATGACTGGTTCGGCCCTGAACATTGCCAGTGGTCAGGTTGCCGGTCTCATGGGAATTTCGAAAGTGAACACGCGGGATCCCACTTACTGGGTAATTATCCACACACTTCAGGGATTGCCAAGGACGTCCCTGGATGCTGCAATGGGCCTGACGGCTCTTTTCTTGCTATACGGGATCAGATCGGTTTGCAAGTTTGCGGCGAAGAAGTTTCCGAGACGCCAGAAGCTCATCTTCTTTTGCGCCACTCTCCGGACCGTGTTCGTCATCTTACTGTACACCTTGGTTAGCTGGCTCGTGAATAGACACCACCGCCAGCACCCCAAGTTCAAGGTTCTTGGCAAGGTTCCGAGAGGTGAGTTCCCCCGCATCAGATCCTCCCGTTCTCCAGATCTCTAATCATGAAATAGGCTTCAAGGCAGCAGCGGTCCCAACGATCACTAAGCCAATGATTACGATATTCGCTACCGATCTACCAGCATCCGTGATCGTTCTCTTGATCGAACACATCGCCATCTCAAAGTCCTTCGGGAGAGTGAACAACTACATCATCAACCCCTCCCAAGAGTTGGTTGGGATTGGAGTAACAAACATCCTCGGACCTTTCCTTGGTGCCTATCCAGCAACGGGTTCCTTCTCGCGTACAGCCATCAAGTCCAAGGCCGGTGTCCGGACTCCCTTCGCGGGTTTGATCACGGCCATCGTGGTCCTCCTTGCCATCTATGCTCTCCCGGCTGTCTTCTTCTACATTCCAAACGCAACCCTATCTGCGGTCATCATCCACGCTGTTGGTGACCTGATCACCTCGCCGAATACCGTCTATCAGTTCTGGCGCGTGGCGCCTCTTGATGTCCTGATCTTTTTTATCGGGGTCATCGTGACCGTCTTCTCTTCGATCGAGAACGGTATCTACACCACCATCTGCGTTTCCTTCGCCGTCCTGATGTTCCGGATCATCAAGGCCAAGGGTCGATTCTTGGGTAAGGTGAAGGTCCACTCCGTCATTGGCGACCAGGTCCTGAACGACAGCAACAAACCCCTTGCCGAAAATGGCACGTTCCCCAAGTCCGCGGATGTCGACGATGGAGGAGCCCGCGCCCTCTTCCTACCCATCGATCACGGGGACGGCTCCAATCCTGAGGTCGACATCGTGAACCCCTACCCGGGGATCTTCATCTACCGCTTCTCCGAAGGCTTCAACTACCCCAATGCAAACCACTACCTGGACCAGCTAACCAACCACATCTTCGCGAAAACGCGCCGCACCAACCTCAACCACTACGCCCGGCCCGGCGACCGGCCGTGGAACGACCCGGGCCCCCGCCACGGCAAGGTCCCTGAAGACCACGCCAACCGGCCAACACTCAAGGCCATCATCCTGGACTTCAGCTCCGTCAACAACGTCGACGTCACCTCGGTGCAGCAGCTGATTGACGTCCGCAACCAGCTCGACCGCTACACGGCGCCCGCCGTCGTCGACTGGCACTTCACCTCCATCAACAACCGCTGGACGAAGCGCGCCCTCGTCTCGGCCGGCTTCGGCTACCCAACCCCTGACCGCGGCGACGGCACACTCACGCGCTGGAAACCCATCTTCTCCGTGGCCGAGATTGGCGGCAGCGACTCAGCCGCCGCCGTCGCCGAAGCCGCCAACAACGAGAAAGAACTGCAAGCGCAGCGCACGCGATCACGGCGCACCGGCGACCCCACGTCCCCGGACTCGGACAGCGGCATCAGCGCCAGCGACCTCAAGACCAACGTCGGCGTCAGGACGCTGGGCCGCACCGCCGTCGTCAACGGCATCAACCGCCCGCTCTTCCACATCGATCTCACGAGCGCGCTGCAGAGCGCCGTGGCGAACGTCAAGGCGCGCGAGGCGGCCGAGGCCGAGTTCGAGGCTCGTGGCGGCGAGGGCATTGGCGAGGAGCCGTGATGTTGATTTTTCCCTTCTGGGTTCTGGGTGTCTGGGGTCTGGTGCAGAAGTCGTTTCAATTCGTTCGTTCGTTCGTTCGGGAAGCGAAGCAACAGGAAAGCGTGCGTGCGTGTTATCGGATGACCTTTTTTCAAAAGCACGAAAAAAACAAAAAGTTACGGGTCTGGTCTGGTCTCGTGTGGTCGTTGGGTGTTATCTTATATATATACAAGCAAGTGATACCTCTTCAGTTGGTTGGTGCGTATAGCATAGCGTCGCGTAGCATGCATTTGTATATAGATGGATTTGGATTTGGATGGGATCTTCATATATCTTTTTTGGATACCCGGTTGCGTTCGTTGGATAGGGGTAGGGGTCTTTTGATGATGAAATGGAATGGAATTATATATATGATATGGAAAGGAATTACTTACTTATTCACCTTAAAAAAAGACTACCTCTCTTCCTTTGTTTTGTGAAATACTACTCCAAAGTAATTCATCTCACGAGCAAGACTGACATCAATCATTCCAAGTCTTCACCAAGTCACAAGCACAAGCACAAGCACAAGCTAGTAGAAGTAGAAGTAGAAGTCCATTTCCATTTCCATTTCCAATTCTTTCTTATTCTTATTTCTTCATCTCCCACACTAGACTATCCCCATCTATCCATCCAACTCTCACAATTCATTCGCTCTTCACTTCACCCAAGAAGTCTTCTTTCCTTCCTTCTCTCTAATCCAACAACCGTTGCAACCTCTTCGCTCCCGCTCCACATGATCGATCATGTTATGATCTTATGATTTGCAATAAAAGACAAAAAACCAATCCACCATGCCCGAAAAACTCCACGCTTGATCAAATCCCAATGCCATGTTATGCTATTCCTACACGCTGTGTCCCTAACCCCCCGATTTCGAAAGAGAGGAGAAGAGATGGGTGTTGTTGTTTTTCTTTTTTTCTTTTCGGTCTATGCCAAGGTACCTTATGTGTGACTTGTGTTGTGACAGGCGATCTCTCTACCTCTGATGCGTAGTACTCCGTTCAATGATTTCTCGGTTTATATGTACATGGATTCTTATCCTGCGATCCCTGCAATGAATGCATTTGGGGGTAATTTATCCTAGGGAGGGTTGTCAGTATCTTCATCTTCCTCCTCCTCTTGGGTTCCTGGGAGATATCGGACGTACCCTATTCTGTTGAAATGCGTCAAAGGCCTGGGGAAGTTGCCATCCAGTCTGCTCCAAACAAAGGACTGCAAATTCCATAGTCATACCCGTCTTCTCCATCAACTGGCCCGCCATCGCCTCCTTCTGTTGTTGTTCAATATTGACGTTTGGTGGTGGTGCTTGTGTTGCTATATTGGCCTGATTTGATGGCATGGCCAACGGGGCCCAAGCTCGAAGACCCAGCATATCGCTGACAACCCTGATCGGGCTTCCACCGGGTGCGCCGGGGCCCAGGACGAATGTTCTGGAGAAGCTGCGAAGCGCCTTTTCGGTCGATGTGTTTTGCTCCTCGAATTCCCCGTGCATTGTGATGATAAGTCCATCGACTCCCCCCGGATTCTGTCCAGAGGGATCGGCAAGACCAGGTAAGGGATGGCATTCGATGAGGTACTTGGCTGATTCCGTTGCGAGATCAGGGTGTCGAGTAGCAGGGAGTTCAGACCAGACCTGTTGGATTGCTTGAATGCCCTTGTATCGCCGATTCAATCTCGGTCCAGCGTATGTGAGCTTGACAAGATTTCGAGAATGCTTCATATAAGCGTCCCAGCCGGGAACTGGAGTTGAATGCTCTCGGTTCCGGGGTGCGGACATGTTGATGGCGATCGAGTGAACAGACTCAGCATCGTAGAAGCTTGATAAAAGAGCATTACGGTCGCTGTCGTAGAGGGCGACGAACTGCCTGATGAAGTTCTCGCCTACCTGAGAGACATCTCGAAAGTCCGGTCCGCTGATTGGGATGGGGGTGTTCACAGCTTCAAGAGTAGCGGCAACCTCTTCAGGAGTCCTAACCTGGACATAATTGAGGTTTTGCAGCCTTGGGAACCACTTCATGATCTCGACATTGAAGTTAGGCTCTTGGGTTTCGATCGGATTGTTTGATAAAACTAGAGTTTCCAGACTTCTAAACTTCCAGCGCCATGATGCAATAGACTTCAGGTCTTTGAAATTGTTCGAGGAAAGGTCGAGATTCTTGATATCCGGGAAGGTTTGTGCTAAAGCAGTGACGCCGGAGACGTCGCTAAGACCATTATTGGCAAGGGAGACGCTGACAATGGCATCGCGCTTCTCTTGCCATGTCTTGAATAGCTGATCAGCAACAACCATCAATGCTGGGAACAGCTTGGAAGTTGTCTTCCCGTCGAAGGTTCCGAATCCCATTTCCAATAATCCCGCATCTTGAGCAAGAGCCGACAGATTAAGTAGCTTGAGATTGCCATCATATCGAGTGGCGAGAATGGCTCTGAATTTCTCCTTTGTTTCCTGGGCCGATTGGGAGACTGCTTTCTTTTCTTCCGATCCAGCTGACGGTGGTGTTGATCCACGTTCATAAGCTTTGATTCTCAAAGTAGCTCCTGCAAACATGAAATTGTTTAACTTTGATATCTGTTCGATATCTTCGGGACTGGCGGTAATAATGACGGAGTCACCCTTCATATGTGACTATTCGATGTTAGCAAGGCATAATTACCTTGGAATCGATCGTAGATCACGGAGCGGTATACGCGGAGATGTCGATCCTTGACTCGTTGAGGTGCTTGGCTTGAGAACGAGTAGAAAGAGACGTCGCAACGATGCATGACCCTCGTGAACCCACGATCATATCAAAAGACATACCTTCTTGATCTTCACAGCCCTATTCGATCGGGAGTCCAGTCCAGCGGCTTTTCGTTCCAGGAACCCGAGTAAGCTTTCAAGACCGCCGTCGGAGTTTGATGCCGCTTTGCTATCCTTTAAACCGTCTACCTGGAGGGTTGTGCCACCTTGAGTAATGCGCGAATCGAGCACATTGGCCTGCTTTGCTCCCAAGCCTCGAAGAATGGCTTGCTGAGCCTTCTGTGTGGTAAGATTTCCCCCCCTCGCAGACGCTCCTTTTCCACGTCCGGTTGACTGAGACCGAGATGATGGAGATTCAAGTCGGCCCTTCCCAGATTTTCCTCGCCCTCCAGCTCCATTATCCATGTCTAAATCCCCATCTTTGTCAACTCGAACGGGACCCGAACGTCGCTTTTGTATTCCACCTCGACTAACCCCGCGTACGGTGGGAGAGGCGTTTCTGGAGCCCCGCGGAGGCGCAGAAGCACGCTGGATCATATTGTCGTCGCGAGGAAATCCTCTGCAGCCTCTTCGTGGTGGAACGACAAGAACTCGATGTGTTTCGCGTCGTATAGCGTTCCGAAAGATCTCGGAAAAGTGAGGTTGTCGATCAGTTCATTTGCGAAGATGTCGTAAAATAGTACCGGATGGTATGATGCGCTCTGGGCGAAGAGATGAAGGATATGAGAGGGCCTGGAATATGACTCCGGCCGGGAGAGATGTGGGTTGTGCCTAGTGGTGGCTGTGGATGAATGGTGAAAGAAAGGCGAACGAGGCAGCGAAGGTGAGAAAGAACGTGAGTGAATCAAGGCTGTGACGCTCTGGCTCGTGGTGGGGCCTACCGGGCTAGCCGAGCCGGGTGTCAAATCACGTGCTGTGAGGCTCAAAAATCGAGCGGAACGATATTGGAAGCAAAAGGGGGCCAAGGGCAGGGAAAGCAGGGAATATATGGTACCAGGACCTATTTAGCATACCTTGTGTATAGATGTGATTTGAAGACCTCTGTATTTATTATTTATTTATTTATTTATTAATTTGTCTCATCCCAACTCCAAGACTCCCTCTGTCTTTTCCGCCTCGTTACAGGGGTGGGCCGGCCTGCAGGTACGCGGCCGCGTTATTGATTTGGAAAGCTGGCCTCAAAATATCCTATACCACCTCGCGCGTCAGCACCTTTGAGGCTCTTCTGTGTTCTGCCGACATTGTGTTGCATCTCCTTGTACTTGGTGCCCGTTCGAATCTGCAGCGTGGCTACTTGATCTCTTCTGTTCTGCAATTTATGTATTTTTTGAGATCCGCTCCCTTCGAATCCCTGCCGTAAGGCTCGCTCAGCTCCACCACTACTTCGATATAACTTCAAGTCCTCCGTCCAGCAGGGATGCCTGCAAAATCCAGGTTTACAAGGCTGGATGCCTTCACGAAAACGGTCGATGAGGCAAGAGTACGCACAACATCAGGAGGAATTGTTACGATAGCTTCACTGCTTATCGTTCTGTTCCTCGCATGGGGAGAATGGGCGGATTATCGACGGATAGTGGTACATCCGGAGTTGGTAGTAGACAAGGGACGAGGTGGGTTGTCACGGATATACACCCGGTGAATGCTGCTGATTGTCTTGAACAGGAGAGCAGATGGAAATTCATCTGAACATCACTTTCCCCCGGATCCCTTGCGAGCTCTTGACACTCGATGTGATGGATGTCTCCGGCGAGCAGCAGACTGGTGTCATGCATGGAATCAATAAAGTCAGGCTTGCACCCGCTGATGAGGGCGGAAGAGTCATTGATATTAAGGCTCTGGACTTGTAAGCTGCTAGGTCTGGAGACACAATAACAGGTGCTAATTCTTCCCAGGCACGCCGATGATCAAGCAGCACACCTTGACCCTGATTACTGCGGTGGCTGTTACGGTGCAACACCACCTCCGAACGCACAAAAACCGGGATGCTGCAATACCTGTGACGAAGTTCGAGAAGCGTATGCCAGTGTGTCCTGGGCCTTCGGACGAGGCGAGAATGTAGAGCAATGCGAGCGTGAACACTATGCAGAACGATTGGATTCTCAACGAAAGGAGGGCTGCCGTATTGAGGGGGGTCTGCGAGTTAACAAGGTTATTGGAAATTTCCATATCGCCCCTGGAAGGAGTTTCAGCAACGGGAATATGCATGTCCACGATCTTAACAACTTCTTCGATACTCCTGTCCCAGGCGGTCATGTTTTCACGCACCACATCCACTCTCTCCGCTTTGGACCACAGCTTCCAGATGATGTTATCGCGAAGACGGGCTCTAAGTCGCTTCCCTGGACAAACCATCATTTGAACCCCCTGGATAACACAGAGCAAGTTGCACCCGAACCGGCTTACAATTTCATGTACTTTGTTAAGGTTGTCTCGACTTCATACCTTCCACTAGGCTGGGAGAAGAATACTGGCAGCAGTTCAGGAAGCAACAACGTTGGCCTTGGATCCTATGGGCACCAAGATGATGGCAGCGTTGAGACACATCAGTACTCAGTCACCAGTCATCGTAGGAGTCTGGCCGGCGGTGATGATTCTGCTGAAGGTCACAAGGAGAAATTGCATGCTCGTGGTGGTATCCCGGGGGTCTTCTTCTCATACGTAAGCCTCAAGTTAATGCTTGGTCCTAACCGTCACTAACAATCTACAGGATATCTCACCAATGAAAGTCATCAACCGCGAAGAGAGATCGAAGTCCCTTTCAGGATTTCTCACCGGACTCTGTGCCATCGTGGGCGGTACCCTGACCGTGGCCGCAGCAGTTGATCGTGGATTATACGAGGGACACACGAGGCTGAAGAAGCTGCAATCAAAAAATCTGTGATGGGGGCATGTTATGTATATGGGTGGCTGGCACGGAATGGAGTTTAGAGGGCTTGAATATATAGGGTGAATACCAAAATTGAACGATTACCATGATTTCGAAGGGGGGGTATCACACGTGATCAAGAAGCGGGAGTCAGCTGGGTTCTTGGGAAAAGGGGGGGG